ATTTAAATTTGTATTTTCCACGATAATTCCATAATATGGAAAGAATAATCGAGATGCAAGTGATTTAATCGATCCAATCTCTCATCACGATTGTGGCCAATAGTCGAGTTGGACGTGCTGTTAAAAAAAAAAAAGTTTCTCGCGCGATTAATAGTTTTTGGCACACAAGAGTAAAATAATCGCTTCCCGAACGATGATTATCGCGCGCATTAAGACACGATCGCTGCGGCTGATGGCTCGCGCGCGGAATATTTGTCACTCGATTGTCATTCGCCGCGGTTTCGTTCCATTTCGACGTATTTTCTCGTGCACAAATCCATGTTCCGAACTGATGGCAAAAAGTCGAGACGACGGCTGGCGCGGTGTCATTAGTGTTCTCTTTCTCCCCGAACCTCTCTCTCTCTCTTCTTTATACGCGGCCATTCTTTCCATCGTTTATCGTGCTTTTTCCGTATCTGTCTTCATCGTAGTTTCATCCCCATGAGATTTTCACGTAACAACGCGCAAAATATACTTGATTTGTTTGTCTTCTCGTAGTTTGACGCAAATTAGCATAAAGAGATTATTCTTGTTTGCGGTGGATTAGGTAGCCTGTCCGGAGGATACCTCTTCAATAGCCTTTTTGGGGGCTTTCGGATACATCGTTTTGTATTCAAAATTCGAGAAACACGACCTATCCAGATAGAAGCAATCGCGCACGAGAATTTAATTAGAAAAACCTGTCGTGTATGTAAAGTAACGCATAGAATCGCAATGTTTTCAGAGTCGAAGAAGGAGAGAATTTTCCGAGTGCCTTTGCGTTATCGCTATGGAAACGGACCATCTCGCCCAGCTGCCCAGCACGGATCACGACGTCTCCAACGACAAAGATGTATGCGGTGTCAAATGCACGCGGAACATTTCTAACGTGCCACGATATCTTCTTTTTCTCTAGCTCGTTTATGCTAATGTTTTCAACGGAAAGTCGTAACATTTCGACGATATCTCGAATTGGAACTGGATTAATTCGACAGATACAAATTCTATAATCGAAATATAATCGACTATTTACTTAATGAATCTCTTTAATTGAATTAGCGAATAAAAAAATGATGATGGGGCGATATCGAGCTCTACGTTTATGTGCGTTGAAACGCGTTCCGTTATCGCGACCTCGCGTCATTCATGACGCGTTTGAAGGATTTCTCATCGAAACGCGAGATTCTCTCTCTCTCTCTCTCTCTTTTCTGATTATCTCTTTCTTACTAAATTGTCTTCTCATCGCACACACGGTGCGTAGATCGCGTCACGCGACCGAAACGAACTCTCTTTCCTAACGGCTCGGACGAAACCTCTAATCCAAAAGTCGAGCTGAAATTTCATGGTCGGGTCCCGGCAACCATTAACGACGTTTTCCTTCCACATTCTCTTCTACCGCTCATTTTCTCTCTCTCTTTCTCCTTCTCTCGCGAGAATGCGCGCGGAGCATGTGTGTACGTGGCGTCTTTAGGTGTGGTGAGGATAGACGAGGGACTCTTAATCATCGTCCCATCCCTTCGCCAAGATGAATCGTGCATTTGTATACCCGCACCCCTTTCGCTCTTCCATTCGGTCTTTGCTCGTCTCTGTCTCGCGTCTCCCGATTCGCTCTAGCCATTTGTCTCCGTCGCCCCTTCTCTCTTTCCCCGCTCCCTTTTAGGATCGGGGGTGACTGCCGCGGCCCTTTGTCTATTTCCGAACGAACCGAAAAACAGTTAGGTCGCTCCGGAGTCTTGGTATCGGAAAGGGTTGCGTATTATATCTATAATTCCTGGCGTAATCACGTAGCAAACGTACCTTTCCGCATTTAGTCCGTATTTTGCGGCGACTCTTTCACTCGTGAAGGTTGTAAAATCTCGCTTCGAGATCTACCTAGACCTCTACTTTCCACCGAACGAACAATTGAGCTACACATTTTCAAATTTATTTCTTTTACGACTCAATCTTACGTCATAGCTTCATCTCCGCCCGTCATTCCCGTCGTGAACCGTATCAATTATTTTATCGCGCTGATGAAATTCCAGCTGCGGTTCGTCGCCCATCTCGGTCCCTCGAGTCTTCGTTTCCGTTTTTGGACCCCGAACGTGAACGCAGATGTTCGACGAGGGCACGTCCACGTCCGCGGACGGGGATAAGAACCGGAGAACCAAGATCGACACGCTGCACGTGGTCCTCTCGTATTACCGTACAACCAAGTCAAGTTTGGAACGACCGATTCAATTCCTTTGCGCGATGATTAACGCATCGGTTATTTATGGGTACATTTATGAATGTCAATTAATCTAATTATTTAATATTTTCTCTTAATTACACTTTGAGAGCCGTTTCCGCCGTGAATATTTAATGGCAACAAATAATCGAATCTCGGTTTTGAAATCTTGTTAAAGAAAGTTTGCTATTCTTTCTCGTTTTATCAATCTCATTATTATTAATGTAACTAAAATCATCATTTTCTTTAGAAATTAAAGTATGTACTGTATCGCGGAGCGCCATCAGTATCGCGACCGGACATACCGACGTAACTTTTATTACGGCCATTTCGAGGGAAATTGGAGTAAATTGCAAGCGTGTTTGCCGAGAGTCTTGCACCGTGTGTATACTTCTCGTCGTCACCGTTAAAATTCCTCGACGTCCTTCCGAGATAACGTCGTTCCGAACCATGACTCGTGACAATTTATTCGTGGACAAATTTTCAATAAGTAATACAAAAGTTATATAATATCTTCCTATCGTATTTTCCTCTTTAAATAAAATTACGATCGACGTCGGAGAGGATATCGGCGAGTATATTTTTACAATTCGCAAGAGAGGACGATCTTGGACGACGTCGAGGGACGTGTTAAAAGTCGATTTTTCATCGGCGCGATAGAGAGCTCCGCGGATCTCTTTATTACAAAACCCAGTCTCGACAGCGGCTTTACAGTCGGAAGGACCGATGACTGGCAAGCGACGACGAGGGGCCCTGAACCCCGTGTATAAGGTATGTACTGGTCCAGAGAGCGCCCTTGCCTTCGCTCCGTCAGTTTTTTCATCGTCTGCTCTCGGGCTGCTGCCGCTTTTAAAGCGATCGTCACGGGCACCGCGCTTTTACGCGGTTCTTTCTCGGCAGGTGTGCGCGCGCGCGCGCGCGCGCGCGCGCCTCCTCCCGTGCTCCTTCCTTCTCGCGCTGTTACTCTGTCGCCAAGAACTCGCTCGATCCCAAGAAGATTATAAAAATATTATGCAAACGCGTAATATCAAAGCACACGATATTTTTCTCGGAATGATAATAATATGATAAGTGGGCTGCACAAAGTGCGCAACGTAATCCGAAAATCATCGCAGGACCTATCGAGAAAAACGATTACGTCTAGAGGAAAAAAACACATCGCTCGTAATGCAAGGCATTAAATGTTTATCCGAGATGAATCGTTGCGACTAACGCTCGAAAGGCTGGATCGCCAAGATTAACAAACATACACATTTCGAGATGACAGCTTGGAAATTCTACTTTCGTAAATGTATATACGCATGTATCTTTTAACAAAATTGTTTAATGTACAATTAAATTTGACACAAAAGAAAGCTCGTTGGGAGAGCAATAATGGAGTAAATCCGGTTTGCCTTCCGTCTGATTGGAATCGCGTTTCGATATATTTCACGGCGAGAACCTTGAACCGGTCACGTACAGCGGTAAAAGTTTTTTTGTCGCAAGCGACATGGATTTTGACACTGATCTACATCTATAAAAATTATAATCCGTTATTTACTCGATTGTTCTTGAGCGATCATTTATATAACATTACAAAGGAGGATTTAAATTAAAGTCCACATACATATATCACACAAACGATGCTCTAATTGTATGTATTCTATGATAATTTCTTTTTTTTTTCGAATCGATTCGAAGTAATTTGTTGGGCAATCTGTAGGTTAAGCATGCGAGCAGACTTTGTTCTCATCTGGAAAGTGTCATTCTGATTCGCGGCTGATGTTGCATACACGAATCATTTTCCATCTCCAAGATAAATTGACGATACAAATCAACCTATTTTAGTGGCGATATTTCTTTTATCACTCATACATTTTAATATCAAACAGAAATCGGATTTTCGAAATCAAAGTGACAAAAGTAAATTTCACGTTAAAGAACATCTCGTCTTCTCGCGTCGAGATGTTATTACGTATATGCGAATTAAATATATTGTTTAAATTCGAGAATATCGCCAACATGCGTTTTAATATATTAAAAATACAATACACTTCATTTTCTAAATAAAATATTATAAATCCAAAGTTTCGCCGCTTTTATTTTGCTTGTTTACCATCTTATCTACGGATAAGATTGCTTATATAATGCTCTTCCAATGTTATAATGTGCGCGATCAAGCTGAATGCATTCTATCTCATCTAAGATGCGTAACTTCGCGCTCAACCTTACAACTTGCGTCAACGTTTACTTCAACGCATCTTACGACTTGTACAGCGCGATTAATAAAAGATTTGCATCATTTTAGAAAACTCGACTTAGCAAATCTTTCCGCGAGCGCAAAGACAACGTTTGGTCAAAAAAAAGATACATAAACTTTTAACAAATATACAAGTCATATGTGTCGGATGCCGAATATTTACAAAGCGTATAACGAATTTATTTTGAACCTCTGCGAATGATTACAAAGTTTATCGCCGCAAGACTTCAATGAAATTAGCATATCGGATATTAATCGCTTTTAGAAACTGTTTCTTTTCACAGCATTTACAATTATTATTGTTTTTGTCGCATGTAATATAATAAAATAACCGCGACTAAAAAACATGCAAACGCAAATTAAATTATACAAAAACCAGGCGAGAAAATTATTCTCTCTCTCGCTTATTTTCGTCCCGCGTCGCTTCTCGAACGAAAACCGATCGCGCAGGCAATCAGGTTCGCGAGAACCTGGCCGGCTTTGCCTGTCAAACCGCAGGGACGCGATCAAGAGATACGTGCATAATAGACTTACCTAACGAACAGCTGTTCCTGATTATTCACCCGCCAGGACACCACGGTGGCTCCTGCAAAATGGAAAATCATGAATCAGAATTTCGATCGCGTGACGATGACACGTGAAGAAGGGTAGCATTCCGCGCACCGCACCTCCCCGCGCCATTCGCCGAAGCAAAACGGGCCGATCGAGGGGAGCGAGGGGAGAGATGCTCACTCACACACAACACGCGTAAAACCGTAATGTAACGTAAGGTTTCGTTTCGGAGGAGCCTTTTCCGCGTCGCGACCGAAAACCTCGGAGACGCGCGCGTCCGCGGCAGCTTTCATTCATCTCGCCGCGATTCTCGGCCACGTTCCTCCCTCGATAGATCGACGGAGGCAGATTCGCGAGATGCGCGCGCGCACGCATACACCCGCATCCGTATCGTACCCACGCACGCACACATACACGCGCACACACACCGTGTAAATTGATGGTGCAGGTGGTGTTGTTGCCCCTGTCGAGCACGACAACGCTAGTAGCCGCTGCCATGTTTGAGTCGTGAATGCGCCGCCGGCCGGCCGCTCGACACGGCCAACCTTTGTCCGACGCCCTCGAGCCTCGAGCTCGTCCCCACCCGCGCCCGCGTGTCCCGGCCCCCGGCGTCGTCGCGCGCGCGCGCGCGCGGGTGGCGGCCGGGCTAACCGAGTCGAATGACGGAACGACGATCGATCAAGTAGCCGCGAACGTGTACCATCGACCGAATCACGCGAATCGAGGGACAGACATTGCTCGCTTTGCGATCTCTATGAGAAAAATCCCGTCTAGATAAAGCGGTTACTTTGTGCGCAGCAACGTTGATACTAATGTACGACTGTGCTCGACTCGATCGGTAATTTAAATTCCGTCTGTTTCTCACTAGATAAATAATTCCTACTTTATCTACGAATAGTAAGTTTCTTACTTGTTTATCATCCAAAATGGATATTTTGACTGACAAATAGCGTCCCCTATTAATTGAAAAGATTGCATCAGCGTGAACTTGAAATATCACTATTTCTCTAATTATTTCTTGTATCGCAACTCTTTTAAGGATGTTTTGTATGTATTTTCAAAATATTGAGAATTTAATGAAAATTATACAGAATATTCTTACATATGTTTAGAATCTTCAGTACAATTTTTAAATCGATTCACTAAAGTGTTCACAAGTTATAAGGATTTTAATTTGCACCGAATTAACACGTGTTCTTGTGGGAAACGTATAACCACGTCGATTCAAATGACAAAAACACATGGAAATAATATTCAGAATTTGTTTAAAATTTGCAAAAGTTTAGATACAAAAGAAATATTTGGTCAAATAATATTATACAAGTACTAACTGGCTAGAAAGATATTAAATATAATTCAATCAAGTTAGCCATGTATCTGACACAGGCGAAATTCTTTGAAAGTTAATCATTTCGATGAACAAAATTCGGAATATTTCTATAAAAACGCAATAAATATTAAAAAATACATCTCTGCACTGTAGCTAAGATCAAATTGTTAATATTCCACGCAATTTCTCATACTCAAAATACACCAAAAGTGGATTCGTCAAATCATATTGATTTTCAACTACTTTTTGCTAGGATTGTACATACAAAGCATCCTTAAACGTGACAATAATTATATATAAAAATCGAAAAAATGCAATCTGTGTCAATTTTACATTACTCACAAGTTTATCCATAACTCGATATTTATGACAACTCTTGCGCGTTTGTCTCGATACATTTGTTAAATCATACGCTATACAGCACTTCGATGGAAAGCTCACGCATACGTGTACTTTGCTTGTCGGGTGTTTGAAAACGGCAACAACGAATCAAAATTCGGCGCGGAAATTCGGAGCGACCGTCAGCGCCATGACAGTTGACGCAACGGCAACCGGCAACGGCGCGCAGCGGCCGGCAGCGGAGACGTGGCAGCGTCGCGTCGGCCGCGGCGGCGGCGCACCAGTGGGGATGTGCTGGTTGACAGACAGCTTCGCGTTCTTCCGCCACGGTGATGTGTCGTCGTTCACCGCTGTACAACCGTGCGGTCGCGCCGTGCCGTGTCAACTCGTCGATTAATACAGAATACGGTCGCGCGTCAGCGGCGATAACGGCGACGACGACGACGACAACGACGACGACGACGACAACGACGAAGACGACGACGACGACGACGACGACGTCGACGACGACGACGACGGCGACGACGACAACCGGCGTCGACGACGACGACGACGGTGGCGCGTGTCGCGATTAATAAACGGGCAGTGTGTGGTGCTGTGGTGGAAGGGACGATGAAGGCCGGGGGGATAATTTGGGTGGCGACTTGAGGACAGAAATGTTGAAGTTCGGCAGCAAGAGCGACGTGACGGTGGTGCATCGCGCCACTATTCGACTGTTTGACGACAACGAGATCATCTACTGCGACTTTCAGGTAAGTGAACGCTGCCGCCCGCGAAGGTTTTCGTTTCACTTCGCTCCGTTCCTCTGTCGCACGAGGATATATCCGCGACCTTTTTTTTTCTACCCCGCGACTATCGCCGCAGCCTCCTCTCATTCGCCTGCGCGCTGTCATTCACGAGCATCGGGATCATCGAATGGGCAAGATCCGGATGCTCTTGTTTATACCTTGCTACTGTATCGTTGTATAATTGCTCCGATTTCGATGATACCTGTGTCGGAAAAGTGACAAGTTTCCCTCAATGAGATCTCGTCGCAATGTGCACAGTTTCGTGCGATTTCAGCGGCTCTCGACGATGCCACTCTGCGACGATCAGCAAATGTTGCTAATGTTGTCAATAATGTTGTAATATATACGTATAAAAATGATTTTACACGACGCGATGATAGATTTGCGATTAATTACGATAATCTTAAATGTTTGCCAAGTTATTTTTCTACTTTTTTTCACGTGTTCTATTTACATGATATTTGCATAATAATTATATAAATTGGCTCCTTTCACTCATACGCTTAATGATTGGAAATGATGAAATTTTTGCGAGCGCCTAGAGTATTAATGAAATATTGATGAGTCTAACAGATTATTATATAATCGATAGTACGTTCTCGTAGTGCTATAGTAACTCTGACTGAAATTAAAAATATATTAAGGACATATTTTGGACAATGTATGTATCGCCCTTTAAGCTTCCTTTTCCTTTTCATATCGATCTAAAAGGAAAAAAACTAGCCTAGAGATGAACGAGAGAAAGCGAATCGAATAAATATGCGAAAATACAAACAAACTTTTTCTTCCCAACACGATGATTATCCCATCGTTCGCAGATTCTGAAATAACACATGACGAAAGAAACATAAATTCTTTTAGACGATCTTACGAAATGTTTCGATAAAAAAATGACGATCGTAAAAACGAGGTATCGCCTTTAAAAATAAAATATATTTTGATTTTCACCGAGCAAACTGAGCGTTACAACTCGCGCCATTTGTTTTGTAGAGCTACGTATATTTTTCCACGTCTCGATTTGACACGCATTTATCGAAAGAAACGCGATTACAATATTCAATTTATCGTTTGACTTTTTACGCCTCTCTTCCACGTGCCGTTCCACGTACGTACTTCTCGTCGCACTCTCGTCGGCGCGTGACATTCGAGTTGAGCACCGCTGGACGGCTCGGGGGTCGAACCGTGACTCGCGTCCGCGGATCCGTTTGACGTTTAGTCGTAGGTAGTCGTGGCGTCTCCGACCGAGGCATCTCCTGCTTGGATCGATTCCAGGAGAATCCATCTGTGCACGCGGTTCGTCCTGTTAAAAATGATCTCGCTCGCGCTCCCGAGTCATCCTTGCGGTATTGACATTTCTCGGGTCTCGTACGCACACATCGCCAAATATACGTCAGGATGTACGTCTCGGCTCGATTTTAATTACACTTTAATCGCCTTTAATAAAACTCGAACGAACCGTCTCGTCTATTATTTATCGCAGGCGCGAAACGTTTCCTCTCTGAATTTTATAATTTCATTTAACACACAACCTACGACCTCGAGGGACTTACACATGCCCGTATATGTATATCGAGCAATCGCTATCGCGGTCAGCGGTTACGCAAGTTGCTAGAGAGAGAAAGAGAGAAAGTGTACGCTCCTCGATAAATTGATATTGTTTCTACTGCTGTGTATTATTTTGTACCTTTGCCATCGTCTCGTCCGCAGATCGCGCGAAATTAACGCCAATTGAATTTTATCGGATTTTGCTCTAAAGGCAAATCATGGTATATGCAAATATTCTCTTGACGGGATCATCCCTGGATCGATCGAACCGTTCGGTCGCGGTCAACCTGATGTTCGAATCGGTTTGTTTCTCTTCATTAAGCGCGCGCGGCGATGCGCTCTTTGTGATCGCGGAAAATAGAGGATGCGTGTTTCAATTCGTTCGAACGACGCGATGCGGGTGTTACATCGAAATAATTGGCGGACAACGCAGACAATACGAGGTGGAGAATCATCGATTTAAATCCCGAACGGATGACAATCGGAAAAGTAACAACGAAAAATGATGCAGCATTCGCTCTTCGCGATTAAACGATATCTAACATAATTGTGAAGAGAGCACTTTTGTTTAATCATTTTTTTCATTGCTATATCGCTTTAAAATAATTATTTTTTTTCATATTTTTTACTTTACATTGCGTGAAAAAGGAGCACGTAATAACTCAATGTGTGTAAGATACAATTCAAATGAATTAAATTATGTTGCGATCCTTCAACGATTTTAAAAACTGGGATATTTGAAGAAATATCTTTTATAGAGTATAATTTTTTCTGTACATTATTTCTCATTCTTGTTTATGGACACACTAGCGGAATATTTCTAAACTGGAGTTTCTATATCGGGCACAGAATAGTGTTTAATACAGAATAAAGGAATAAAATTTAATACGGAACGAATGTGTAATTTATCGGACAATAGGGATAAAGTTGCAATTTCGCGGAAAATTAGAGTTGATCCTTTATTGTGATCTCTTTACCGCCATTCACGATGGTAGCCGATATTAATCCGATTTATAGACGAAAATTCTGGGTCATCGTGTTATATCCTTTCCACTGTATTAAGGCGATCCATTTGGCACGAGGCTCGCTAATAGCCATGAATTATGACGGACGACATCATCGGAAAGTGTCATAAAAATCTTGCTTGACATTATGCATGCCATTATATCGCGTTAAATCTCACCCCAATTCAAATGGGACAATAAGCCTTAACCTTCTTGGAACGCCTCCATTCTTGTCTCAACGAGCCGTGTCAAACAGCAACATTGTATCGCGTGCCAAGGTAAACGTTGGTATGTGTCGTCATAAATAAGACTGGTGAATAACCACGATTCAGCTGTGAAATGGAAATTTGCAGATTAGCAGGACAGATTCGTGGACAAGCTCGCGTCATTCGGTTTACATAACAATGCGAATTGGCAAGATTTTCGAAAATGTACGGAAATATATTTTAATTCTTGCATATAATTTTGCGAAGCGAAGAGCTTTGTCGTTTTAGAAAATTAAAATTTTGCATAATCTCACGCGATTCTGATAGCGATAATAATAAATGTACTTTGTTCACGTGACAAGAATTCTGTTATTCGCGCGATTCTTGGATCTTGCTTGAACAATCGAAGCCAGAATATTCCACGAGTCGATTTCGTTGCTCTAGCTGCTAGAGTCTAGCATTATATTCGCAAGTTCAACAGATCTCGCGATTAACGGTGTCCATAAGCCATCGTGTCGGGAGGCACAGGGTTAGTAGGCTACAATCAATGATAAGCATTCTTTCTTATAGTTCTTACTATTCGTTGTCAATGTATATATGCGTGTGTGTGTGTGTGTGTGTGTGTGTGTGTGTGTGTGTGTGTGTGTGTGTGTGTGTGTGTGTGTGTGTGTGTGTGTATATATCCACGTCGTAAAGACAGTTAAATTATTACAAATGCAGAAACTCCCTTCTCCCGGCAATGACGCGGCAGTTGTTGATCGACTTTTAAATTCACAACTTTATAGAGGCTTTTTTATAAGTTTACTACTTCTTTCTCTTTGAGAAATACAAACTAATAGCGAATAAATACTTTGTACGCATAAAAATAAAAGAAGGAAATTAAGGGAAATTAATATTTTAATTTAAATAACATCAAGTAAATTTATTTCTCCCATAATTATGTGACGAATAACTGAAATACAATTTTTATCAACTAGATACGCAAAATTCAGCATATTAATTTAAATTAATCGATTAAATTTTTATAATAAAATAATGTTTCGTAAACAGATGAAAAAATAAATTGAACATGACAGAGAAAAAAATATTTTAACGAAATACGCATCTATGCATTTGCGCTTTTTTTCATTCATCTTTACCATACTTATAGACTCACAAATGTAAAAGTCAACTTGGAAAGTTACGCGCAATTTGGATTAGCTTTGCGAGGAATTTAAAGTATGCCTTTCGCGTTCTTAACCGAGCTTAAAGCACGCTCTTTTAGCACTGAATATTGCGCGTTGATATATATATATATCAGTTGAAAAAGAAACATTCATTTATTATTTTAATATTTTCTATATTTTAGGCCGATTAATCGTAGCGAGAGATATTGAGGATCGATAAAACTTGTTCGTCTCAATTTTTTTTTTATACATGATAATTTTCGTACACGACGATCGCGAGGTGCAAGGTCAACAAGCCGGCATTCGCGCCAGCGACCACAGCTTTACTCGTTTATAATACATTAAAATATCGCCAACGTCCCGAGGAGTAACTCGCAAATGCGGTACGACTGCCGCCTCGAAACTTCTCGATATCGATTATCTCGTTCCTTGACACTGCTTATATGCATTTCTGGCCAATGTATGCAAATTCCTGGTCGAAACATCTGGTTAAATTAAATTTCTATATAAATATATACGGCCGATGTGCGCGCGTGCGCGCGCGGATACATTGATATATTCCCCGCATTATACGATTCCGTTTCGCACTCGTTTATTATTCATATACCTTTAATTAACCATTTAATCACTCATATCGGTTTATCGTAAATTAATCATTAACATTTGGAAGAAATTTATTTTATATTTGTGAAATGGAACTGTGCGAAATTAGCATTTAATTTTTTTTAACGAATTTTGCTACATCTAAAATTAACTGAATAGATTCTTCCCGTTGCTTAAGTTTCCCACATTTATTTTTAATTAATATGGTAGCTGACTGTTAATATTACGAATTGACATGTTCATTTCGTAGTATTGTACTGTCAATGCCAGAAAAAAACCAATGAAACTAGACGATTGAAATGTCATTTTAAAGATTGAGATCATATTGAAAACTGACGTCCGACTCATTCGATCTTGAACTACTGGACGCACGAGTCAGGGACGATTCTACTTATATTAATTTATTTTGAAGCAAAGTCATTCGAGTTCTGCGTAAAAGAATGCTAATATTATTTTGCGTGTATACGTCTGCTTCTGTTTAGATTATAATAGCGTAGAATTATTATTTTTCTATTATTTCTTGATAATTCTAAAAAGATAATCGTTGGACTTTGATTACTTTTTTTCAGTTGATCAACTGATTTTTACATTTATATAGACTTTACGATACAAGAAATTGCAATAGAAATATTCTCTCATTTATTTATCATCAACTCTCTAATTAAACAAAAGAGGAGGTAATTTATATAAAATTTTGAATTCATTATTTTATGACATGACACAGCTATATTGGTTATTATTTTAATATTAATCATTATATACTATTTGCGGAAATATATATATCGTATGCTACCGTATTACATAATCGTGTCACTCTTGAAGTTTGTGACTTGCAACATTTTATCGATTGTTTTTCCAATAATATTTGCATTTTCGAAAATTCCAATTAATATTTATTTCGCGTTATCGTTGCCGGAAGCCGTATGTTCTCACATTTGAGCACGATCGGTTTGCGTCCTCGCCGATTATACGTGTATCACTCGCATGTTGATCGCACGCTGGTCATTAATCTCGCGCGCGAGTAATTTACTCGCAAAGGACCGGCGGTGAGAGTCGTTTCTATTAATACATAACGCCAACAAACACACACGCACATGCACAAACACAAATTCTCTCCACGGATACTTGCGAAATGTTGCCAACTATAAGTAAAGCGAGGAGAAGCGCATACGCGGGTCGTGTATCGCGTGCCTCGTGCTTTTTGACGGGAGCACGCGAGGACCGCACGCTTAACATGCCAGGGATGCATTCGTTCTCCAAAGACGACGCGGCGGTACAAACGACCGACGAGAAGCCTTCTTTCCCTTGTCCTCCCCCTCCCCCTCCCCCCTCCTCCCTCGCCTCGCATTTTGAGCCTATTTTACGGCCGTGGTAGCGGCGAACGTTACGCTCCGGCTACGGCCGCTGAAATATTCAATTTGATTCTCGATACAAGAGTTATTTCGGGACGTGACATTTCGGCGCCGCGCCCCTACAAGGGAGAATATATATTATAGTTCATTCAGTGTGACTCGCGAGAAATTTGCGTTTCCAAAGGCACGAGATAGTTCATTTTACATTCGATAATATATGCACATTTACGATTGCATTGCAGCGCAAACCTTATCACTTCGAGTACCAACTGTATACGGATATATAAAAATGCATTTTTTATTTTAATCGTGTGCAGAGTATCCCTTTCAAATGCAAATCCGTCGTAAAAAGCAAACTTTTCTTTCGAAACGGCGAAATATGATGATATTATTATCATGCCGAGAAAATATAGCCTGTTATATAAATTACGTAAAATTATTATTCGTTTCTGTTGTTTTCCTTTGTTACTGACCTTGCATCGATCAACTAATATTCAACTATGATAATTATGAAGTTATCATGCTTAATGATTGCTGCGATACATTCTTTCGTCATCATTTGTCATTCATCGCAAAGGTCACGACTAAGTCGCCGTTGTTTACATAATCTTCGTCGTGCATAATACACGTGTCGGAAACTTATCTCATCTCTTCTTTTTTTTTTGTTGCAATATATTAGCGGCACGCTAGCGCTGCACAGTAATGTAAGCCACATGTGATGAGATATCGCAAATTATTATATGTTTTTTCAGCTATTTTCTACCATCATAATTTCAATTATGTCGAGTATACTATTAGCATCCATTATAATATGATAAGAAGATCCATTATAATATGATAAGAATATACCATTAGCATCCATTATAATACGATAAGATATCTCTCTTTTAGTAATTGTTCATCTTCTTATAAAGTATTTTCTATATTAAAATTGAATATTAAGTTTGAATTGAATTGAAAAAATATATGTTTTTTGAAGGATTATATTGTTCGAGTCATAAAAAGTAAATTCACGTTATTCGGAACTATTAAAAGTTAGTAGGTTCGGAAAATATCTGCGAAAAAGTCGTGCGAGTACGTGTCCTATTTTCACAAGCTAGAAAAGTAGTCGGGCAAAACTTGATTTACAGCTTTTAGTCTCTTTAGTAATATTTATATAAGGCATTTTTGACTAAAATATGAGACAGACATTTACGTTACACGTGTATATATATATATATATATATATATATATATATATATATTTATTGTATGTACACCTTTAATAAAGTGCGTTACACGACTGTATTAATCTCGGCTCTATGTTTTTCTACAAGTTTTAAAAAAAAATATATAAGAGAATGTATAATTTTAATGCGTAAAAGTCGAATGTACCCATGTAAAAATGCGTATACATACATGCATATGACATTTGAGATATTCGCTATATGAGATTTCCATGCAGCCATGCGGAACTCGGTCGTCTTTTATCGGACTTCCGGTGTTTCACGCGCTGTATACGTCATATACTTACTCGTTTCTCCTGTTCAAGAGTTGAGAAAAAGGAGTATCACTGACACGGATTTGCATAACGATTAGAAAGAGACGCAATTATATAATAGAAAAGAACGCATTTTTACTTTTTTCTTATACTTTTTCAAGAATAATGTAAAACCGGTTTGTAAAAATATTTATTTGCGTCCATCACATTCATACAAGGTTGCAATTTTATCAAATTGATGTTGATTAGTGAAAATATCATTATTATATGTAGAGAAGAGAAAGATTATTAAAGTATCTTTAAATGTAAACCTTTAATGTCAATAATATGCCAATTTATTTTTTATTACTGCCGTTTTTTAGTTACAAGCAAAATAGAATGAATATCTTGAACATACTTGATCATCGACAATTCTTTTTTTGTCACAGCCACAGGACAAGGGACGATACATTCTCGAATATGTCTGCAAACAACTCAACATTTTGGAGATGGACTATTTTGGGCTCCGCTACGTCGATAAAGAGAGGGAAAGGGTAAGTGCTTTTATGCAGTGCAAACGCAATAAAGTCTAATTGTCAAAATTTGTATTTCCATTTGCAAATATCATTTTTTAAATATTTCTGCAAACAACTCAAAGTTGGACATGCAATTTTTTTCCATATAAAGTATTTATTCAATAAAAATCGTTCTGTTTTTTGAGAATATTATTTTGGAAAATCTCGAATGTTTGACGTGTTACAAAAAATGGAAAGATTTTTATGCCGTGCAATTAAAATTGATCTACCACCACCTGTCGTAACATGGCGTGCGCTGCACCTCATCTGGTAATCGTTATTCTTAGGTCATCGGTGTAATTCTGGAAGACTTAAAAATAGACGTGTCTTGAAATACCGACGATTCAACGTAATATACTATTATTCACAAACACGTATAATAATCATTATTTATCCTTTTCCGCCCAACTATGTAATTGTTCCAAATAAATTTTTTCTGACTTTTTCTATCTTTAAGAAACGTTTTTTGTCAACAAATTTATAATGTAAATAACGGCCTTATTTTTCAATAATCGTTGCTATAAGTTTCCTTTGAAACAAAAAATTCTTTCGAAATAATATTTTATTTGATATAACATTGCAATTTGATGCATTGATTGCTAGAAATCTCGATTCTAGAAAGTCAAAGAATATAAATTCAATTTACCTTATAAACGTTCGATCGTCAAAGAGACCTGCAAATGTATCGGAAATGGAAATACATTTGAATATGCATTAATTTTTGCAATTACAAATAGCGATATCTATTTTTGAATAATGGTCGAAACTGAAATAGATATGACATTTTATGTAAAAATTATATTTCTTTTTATATTTACACTATAGTTGTTTATAACAAATATTATAATTTTATAAACATAATTATATTATAATGAATATTAAAATTTTTTCGCAGCAATTAAAATTACGAAATTATGAAATTATAATTTTTAACAAAATTTCAAAATTTATCTTTACGTTTACTTTCTCTTTTATTGATTTATCTGAAGAATTATTCGTCTGTTTGAAACAAGCATTGTCATTTAGATTCAAATGAATGAACTAGTATGCTGGAAAAGAAATACTCAATCTTAATTTCATATCCGAAAATTCAATCGAAAAAAATTCGTTTTAACATCGATTTGGATGATTAAAAATTATTTTTAATTAGACAGTGATAATCATTTTTTTCACATACAAACTAGCATTTTAACATAGTTTTTTAAATTCTTTCCTAAATATTAAAATGGCGTTTTTGCGAAGTTTTATAGTCGTTTGAGAAAAACACGCAAAACTTTAATGGAATTATCTTTATTACAATAAAAAAAAGAATCTCACAATCTAATTGTTAGCATACGCAGTATCTTGCCAAATCGCACTTTTTTTAAAGACTCCTTTAAGGCTTCTTTTAAGGTAAAATCGATAATGCTCGTCCAGACATTTGCGGACATTCAGGTCTTCAAAAATTAAAAGGCCGCACCCTACATCTGCGGGCGCAGCTTCCGTTATTTCTTCGGCTTGTAGAGTTGGATTCGAAATAAATGAGTGATCTTTAAAGAGAATTTTTATCGAGTTTCTGAACTTTTTATATAATCTCGTTGGAATAAACGACGAAAGAGCTACATGTCAGCTGCAAATCTTTCGAGGATGATAAATTATATCGTACGTAATATCGACCGTTATTACCCTTGAATGGAGTCCACCGAATCCTCTCTATTTATTTCCTAAAGGTTGATAGAAAGAGCGCCTCAAAGAGATACACGATGAGCGCTTCGATCCTCTTTTATCCCCATGAACGGATCTGCCGCGTAGTTTGGAGCAACTCGATATTATATACCCAATACAATTGATCGAGTCTCGATACATTTGCGTTTATCGCTCAATTCCACGCTAATATAATCGCGCAAAGTAAAGCCGCGTACGAGACAATTTTTATCTGTTTTATGAATGTAATAACATCGTACGTAAACTCACGTTCTTACTTTAGATACGGTCAACATCACGGTCACTTTAACGAGCTTGCTGAACGGTATTAGAACAGATGTTAACCTTGTCGACGTAATTTAAACGGTAAATTTCTCATGTTCAGCATACGTAAATTATTACGATAATCATGAGAAATTCGTAAATTACTTGTGTTTCGAATTTTTATTTCTTTTTCATGTAAATTTATGCGAATTAGCCATCATGATATATTATTTAACGAATAGATAAGCAGAGGTAACAATTAGAGCGTCTCGAATTTATACATAATGATTGGAGAGAAAATAAACGTTTAAATAGGCAAACATTTGTCAAACGTTATACTATGCGAGCAACTTGCTAAATTAATTGCTTGATAATTTGCAAATGAATAAATAATAAGATTTTTTTAATAGACAGCTTCAAAAATAATAATGTATTTAAAATTATATAGTGTGAATTTTTTTACTATTCATCTATGTTTTACATATACATATATCTTATATTCAAATATCTTTCTTTTTTACAGCATTGGTTGGACCTAGCGAAAACAGCGATCAAGCAAGTGAAAGGTTGGTATCGTTCAAACTAACCTGATTTTTCAATAAAATCAAGCCTTATTTGTTACACCATTTTCTCCCAAAGAATTTTTCTTTTTTCGAAAACTTTATCATTCTCCGTAATTTGTTTGTTTTCGAGGAAACGCATATAAATGTTTTCCCCCGCCGGGCAAATTGCTCGAGTTTTTTCATTCTCGATATACTTACCTGTTTGTCGTGTGATATGCAATTAACTATCCAACGGATGTGCTCGTAATTTGAGGAAATAGACACGTATCAACGTTCGTTGCGAACGTTTTTATTACTCGCGGGCAATTTTGTCGAGTGGGTTCCGAGGAGAAGATTGCGCTCTCCTCCGAGACCGTAATCTTATAGTCGTATAGTAATGTTACCTGTCGCATAGAACACAGGTATCAACGAACAGCTGTGACCAAGGTTTCGATCGTCGTGCCTCTTTCCTCCCGCAGTCAATTACGTCGAATCGAGTCGATGTCATATGAAAGTTTCAAGCAGTCCGCGACCCGCTGACCTATTCTCGTTAATCTGGAGCAAAGTCTGTGTCCGAAAGTGCTAGAGTTTCTTTCTCCTTCCATTTTCTCGACTCGAAAAACGGACGATCCTGGATAGAGATTGAATCACGCGTGGGAAAGAGGATATTCTTGCGCTCGCACGGGTGAGGGGGATTAGAAGGGATTTTCTTTACTATAGAATTTTGAATAGACTCGAATCCGAAGAATCCGTACTGTGTGTGAATCGGGAGCGAGGAATATTCGTGGACCGTGAATGAGCGTCTTTGTCGCGCGTACCTGTTGATCTTGATACATACCTCGTAGACCGAACGGTACCTAACGTCGATATTTCCGCGACGTCTAATTTAAAAGCGCCTACATACACGTTTGCAACTTTGCGTAATATCGCGATACAAATAGCCACGATTTAATATACCCTCTCGTTCAATTTACTCTTGATATTTACATGGGTTTTGCGAGAGATCAATGTTATAAACGGGAAATAGTTGCCTATCAAAGCAACGTGATAACATGTGGAATGAGATCACGACCTTGCACTACTACGGAAACGACATAGTTCGTCGCTATAGTTTAAAGACTGATTTGTAGCGCGATGCATTCATGTATAATTGTGCCTTTAGTTGTACGTTTAGTACAAGAAATACTTGCTAATGCTTACATGATTCCGCTCAAGTATATTCTCACGAGATGCGTGTAACACGATAATCGCTCGTGTTCGCGCAAGATAAAAGCTTGCAAGTGCTGCACTTTTACACACATACACATACACGCGCATATACAACGCGGAATTTTGTCATTAGCTTGCTAATACTACTTGCCCGCAAATTTGCAAACTTGTCTGCAAATTCTTCATCAAAGTGTTTTTGCGCGCGGAATATTGGCAAATGCTAACACGATTTTGTGATTTCATATCGCGTGTTTTGTCAATTGTCGTTCTCCAAAAAAAAAAAAAAAGAGAAAATATACATATTAGTCTGTCAAAAAATCGACCGTAAATTCTATTGTTGTAACGCTTGGCAAAAATAGAATTATAAAATTACACTGGATTTCGTTTCGCCGCAAACTAGAGTCCTGATGACAGTTTTGAGGCATAAATTTAGCATGCATTTGTATCCATAGAATTTTGATGCGACAATTATAATTATACAAGAAATATTTCGTGATAAATACGAATTATATACAGAAATCACCAAGCATACTGGAAACTGCATTACACTTTGCGTTGCACTTTCCTCGCACGTAGGCAAGGATACCGGTTTGTAAAGAAAAGACATGTCGAGTCTTTCACTGGTTACTATTACTGTTTCAGACATGCACGAGATTTTGCTTTGCTTTCGCGTGAAATTCTACCCGCCTGATCCTTTGCGGCTCAAGGAGGAGATCACCAGGTATCAAGTTTACCAGCAACTCAAAAGGGACCTTCTTTACGGACGTTTGTGTTGCACTCCTGGCGAGGCAGCGCTGCTGGTGGCCTGCATCGTCCAAAGTAAGTTTCTATCTTGTTATTTCTTTAATTTTATCGTGTCTCGATGAAAGAGAAAGCAACGAGGCAAGAGGATTCATGATATTCATTTGCCAAGCTTTATCCGAGCAATTTAAGTCGCTTATATATTTATAAGCAAATAAGAGAAATCATTCGATTTATCTCTTTGATTTATTTCAATGCACGTCTGAAATATTTTATCTTTCATTTATTTGTCAAAGATGTTTATTAAGAATTTATGCAAACTCAGAAAATTAATTTCCTTATTAATTAGAAAAAAAATGCAATTAGATAAACAGGAATTTGCAAATAATAAAAAATTTGTCGATAAACGATAAATATATGATTACATAAATAACTAGTATTAATTTATTTATGCAAACTCAGAAAAGATTAATTTTCTTAATTAGAAAAAAATCCAATTAGATAAATATGAATTTGCAAACAATAAAAAATTTGTCGATAAACGATAAATATGATTACATAAATATTTAGGATCAATTTATTTATGCAAACTTAATTTGCAAGATTAATTTCCTTACTAATTAGAAAAAAATCCAATTAGATAAATAATAAATTTCCGAATAGTAAAAAAATTTGTCGATAAACGATAAATATGATCACATAAATATCTAGTATTGGATTCGCGAGCAGTAAATAATGTATGACGTTTGTCGGCTAGTTTTAACTTTTCATATGTTCGATCGGTCAATTTATTCATTTTTATCTCGACTTCGAAAATCCCATAATTCAGTATTTCTTTCCCAGTGACCTATCTACGGTCATCGTGTATCACCCATCCTGCCCGTTGATCATCGTCTATCGATCGTGCAGAATCATTCCGGTAATTCATATATGATTGCGTGATTTTGCATTTATTTTCCTCATGTTCAACTATAGCGAATTAATCACTTTGGCAAATTGTTTTAGTACCGAGTCATGTATTTAATTTCGATAAAGTGGCGATAATCAAATATTGCCTTTATGTGACATATATACATTTGTACGTATTATTAAATTTAATTTCTCGCATTTTATAACGAGATAAATGCAAGAGTCTATTTGTGAAAGACTGTAGATTTTGTTAAAAAATTAAGAGAATCTGAAGAGTAATTTCCCGGGAGTCGATGCTCTCTCTTACGTAAGATATTCAATCTTTCGCTTCTCTCATTATTGAGAAATTCACCATTTTCTACCGATCGTGACTCGTCGTATTAAAACTTGGGTCATCGACCATCAATTCTTCCGTTCATCTTTCAGCGAACCCCAGCATATCGTGACTTTGACGGCAAAAACTCACTCATTTATCGCTTCCGATCTTTTTGTCGACCTTGACAGTAGACGGTTTTATGAGAGCTTTTGTACAACCGAACGGTCGATGCCCTTTCTCTCTATAAGATAGGCCGCTCTTTATGCAGATTTCTCACACTTTTTAAAACGAATGATTCTTCTTATGTTTCTTCTTACGGATTCTCTCCTCGAGTGGATAAAAGAAGGAAATTGTCGCGAGATTTCCAGAGATTTGTTTGCTCCTTCCTCGTTATTTGTCTTTGACATCCGGTTCAAGCAAAGGTCGTTTCTCAATCGTGAAGCGATTTATCCTAGATCGTCCGTGTCCTGTTGCGATTGAATAATGCACGCGATGAGTACCGATCATTTTTCGAACTGTCTACCGCCAATGCACTCGATGTTTGTGCTCGTAAAACGTTTACTTTCTTGTCAAAGTCGACAAATACATGGAAAGTGTTTTTAGATTTAGGAAATGTACGATTTATGCAATTACAGTCTTTAGTGGCTTCTCGATTGATAGAAATAAAACGGAGAAACTGAAAATACACGCGAGAAGGAACGCGCGGTTGATAATTTTGTAATGATCGACATTATCTTGCCTGCGGCTTCAACTAACGGAACGACTTTTCTTTCTCGAAATTCTTGCAGGCGAACTGGGAGATTACGATCCCGAGATTCACGAAGAGAATTATATCTCCGAGCACAAATTGCTGAAGACGCAGACTCCGACGATCGAGGAGAAGGCGATGGAGATACATCAGGGTCAGCTAAAAGGATTCACACCGGAACAGGCGGAAAACTATTTCCTCAGGATAGCCTCGCAATTGGACACGTACGCGGTCGATCCACATCCGGTCAAGGTAATTTTCCCTACCTTTTGCATGTACTCTTACGGTCAGTGAAGAATTTGCAGTTCCAACACTCGTTCCTTGATTCACTTTAATTTCAATTTAATTCAGAATCTCGCGAGATTTTTTTAAAGAAGCATTTCCGGAAAATTGGCCAAAAATCATCTCGTAATCGAGATAATCGCGATCAATAACAATGTCCTGGAACAAACTTGAACATTGTTAATGGCTTGATAGCGTGATTCACTCTGGCGAGATCAACTCGCGTTCTCTTGTTGCCTTTCGTGATGCTAATGACGCCTTTCTTTATTTCCGGCGATACAATTAAATCTATTAATGACGTACGTACTGTCCTTTGAAGCCCTGCACGGAACTATTTTGACCGACGAGATGAATATCAATGTTTCTCGCATGATCCTTTATGAATGATGTTCACGTGTCGTCCAGTGTAAATTTCGAAAATCCAAACAAGCAAGGATTTATTTCCAAATTGATACAACGAAAAATAATCGTGTCTCTATTTAATCTGTATTTATTTAATAGAGATTCGATTTTAAATCATTTTTTTAATTATTTTTTTATTTAATATTTTAAATTATTTTTAAATTATTTTTTTATTTAATTTAATATTACATGCCAATCGTTATTTTATTCTGAATTTGTGAAAATATATCTTTATTCACAGAAATTTATGAACAAAAGATGAAAATAGAAATCACAAGTCGGATACAAAAATAACGAAACTCGTTGCGATCGCGAGTTTTGAAATCGATGGACAAACTTGTCGATAGGAATCGACGGAACATAGCCATGTAACGCGGATAAAAGTCATACATCTCGCCTACGATAAGAGTTTATAACCAGTTTATCTTTTTCGCGCAGAGAACGAGCCCGCTTTGTATTCGTTTCATAAATCGGCGGCCTTCTCCCAGTTATTCCAACAGGATACACGCGACATTTCGCTATTTTGTTACAGACACACATCTAAACTACATATTCAACGTTACACACACATTATCACTAATACAATAACCAAAATATCACATAAATGCATACTATTGTATACGTTAATAACGTTATACAATAACATAAATATCATATAAGCGTGATTACATTATTATTTCTGCAGAGCATGAATAATACGATTTTAGATGTCATTGCAAATAATACGAGATATTGTCAACTGCAAGTCAATATCGGAATATTTACACTCGATTTTAATTTTCATTAGTTTATCATTTAATTTCAGTGTGATATAGAATCACGCGCAAACTCCATTTCTCTTGATATGACTCGATAAGATGGAAAATGTTTTCAAAGATAAAGCCAATATTCTATTATTGACGTTTCCTCCATTATCGCGGGATATGAAGCAGCGTTCATTGATATTCAAACGAGGAACAACCCTTCCGCGGGATTTCCTCGAGAGGACGTCTATTATACCCTGTTGACAACCCGATTGAAGATTCATTCGCTTGTTACAATGATTCCTGTTTGGTTAATAGAAATCGAGAAATGAACTCGAAAATAGGGACTTAATACGCTTTATATAATATCTCGCATTGTTTTTATCTATATCGACACGTGAAAATAATTTCTACGTAAAAGGAAGGACTCCGATTGCTTAATTCTATTATCGGCGCGCCTTTCAATACTGCTTATGCACGCCATTGTTTAATTAATGTATTCGGTTCAATCGATGCGCCTATTGAAACTCCAACTGTTATCTCGGTCGAAACACTCTTGCTGACAAATAAAGCTGCGAAGTAATAATCTTGCGTTCCGTATCGCGCTTTGCGAGAAAAACAACCCGCTATTATTCGTCGCGATGCATTCATTGCATTTTTGTCGCGACGAAGCGCGGGTAGCATCTGTCGTTTATTGGTTTTTTACTTCCTGCTTGCACAGGGACAGTCTCGTTCTGTGAAATAATCGGTCCACACAGTTGCGACCGTCTTCCGTTTAAGGGAAAATGTCATTTTTACGGCACGGCGATGTTTTCCACGTCGTCCATCTACTTGAGAAAGAGTACACTCGCCTGTAAATTATCTGTTTTACGTATCGAGAATACAATTGTTGTAAATGTTACAATTTTCACTAGGTTTATGAATGAATTGCACAACGAATAAAAAAGGCTTTAGCTGGAGAAAACTGATCTGAATAATACAAGTGCCACTAAAGAGAACTAAATAAGTTTACGTGGATATAATAAAATTTATACGATCTGCATATTTTTAATCGGTGAGAAAATTTCTTTTCCATCTAATTTATTTACTCAAAAATTATAATTGAGAATCATTTTCCTTACGTCATCTATTAAATTTTAATAGCTTCCACGTACAAGTCAAAAGAAATTAAATTGGAATTGCTGTCCGGATAATCTTTCAAAGTAGCAAATCTACAAAAATTTTTTAAATTCTACCTTTGTCCGCATAAACGTCTTTCTGCGATCGAGTTGCGATTCTATTTTCTGATAAATATGTTCGCATTACACTATATATACAGGATCCTGACAAGAGTACACAGCTCCACCTGGGCATTAACCACTGCGGGATCCTGACGTTTCAAGACTCACGGAAGATACAACATTTCCGCTGGTCGGAAGTTCAAAAGATCAACTTTGAAGGAAAGATGTTTATCGTGCATGTGACGATAAATGAGGTAAGCGCGCGCGAATTCGCATATTGCGATTAGAATGTTTTGCCGGAAATTGCGATGCACGCAATAGCGATTAATATAAAAGTGGATAATTTGTTACGATTGCAATATAAAACATTTCGTTACGTCGATGCTTTAATCATCGAAATTAAAAGGTGCGTCACATAACACTGGAAATATAGAAAATTCTAAATAATAAAATTCGGAATAATATTCAATCGCGTGGCTTTTTTACCCTTTAGATATTACGTGAGACATGCCGCCTAGAATCAATATTGATAAAAGCTTAAAAAGTTATGTGCGTGTGATTATAAAGTCTATTTAATTCGTAATTTATATGCTAATAGAATTTAATATAATTTAACTGTAAATGTTAAATGGATTTCTAGAGTATCTCGACATTTATCTTTTATGGAAATTTTTTGCCAAAATTATCGATGAAAAATAAACAGTATATCGCTTATGTAATTTGAAAGCGAAGAACCTGTATTTGAACCTTGAAAAAAGACTGTTTTATTTCTCTGATTAGCGTAGTTTAGTACAATGTTGGAAATACACGCTCTTATTCGTGCATGTCTCGCTCGCGTGCACCGGGTGCGTGCGATATGCGCATGTGACGTCAGGTACTTTAATAATCATAAGTTAAGTAATCCTATTATTTCTCTCTGTTGGGCCTGCTCAGGACGTAAGGACAAAGGTGAGTGTAGAGAGCGATTGAAGTCATTGAATTTTAATTCTCGAAATTTAATTAATATAAAATTTAACATTTCAAAGAATTTTAAAAAGACATTTTAAAAAGATACATATTATCGAATAAAGTGGAGAAATCGATTTTAACAATCCTATTGACGTATATAAAACGTAAAACGATTTTCCAAAGATGCGCATCTTGAGATTTATGTCTCTTTGTGCGCGAATAATAAATCTTTTTTTATCTCGAGGAACCTGTTCTTATATTCATACCGCATTTTTCGTTGTTCATAAAAGTAAAAATAAAGTAAGTAGTCGTTGTCGCTTGGGAATTGTACGACGAATATTCGTCTCATTTTTCGTTACGCTTTCCCGTCACAAAATGTGCGACGTGTCGCGTTTACCAAACGTTAGTTATATGTATAACATTGTTTCGTTTTTTCCTGTCGCCTATCGCATTACAATTTTAAGTGAATTGTCATCGTATAATCGTCGTCAGTTTTATCATTAGAAACAGCTCATGTCTCCATTAATTTCTTTTTCATGTTTATTTCATTAGAATGTATCTATGCATGTCGTATCATTTACTTTGTCTAAAGACCAAACAAGTCTTTATCAAAAAGTAAATATTTGATTGCAGTATATTAACATTCACGAATAAAATACTTTTCAAACGTCTTCATATTTGCAATTTTCAGAAAAAACATCTCGTCGGATTCAAGTGTCCCACAGCAACAAATTGTCGTCATGTGTGGAGGTGTGCCATCGAGCAGATGCTGTTTTTTACGTAAGTACCTATTATTACATGTATCTCCTAATGACACGTATGAGAGATGGCATCATTCTATTTTGCATTGCATTTCCGTCGTCTACGAGAAGAAAGTTTTTATTCATTTAGATATCTTTTAGAACAAATTATTTGAATACGTATATCGAGAGTATTAAAGTTTCTTATCTAATTTTATTTCCAGCTATTTTGCTCATCTTTCTTTTATACGCTACGTATGTACAGCACAATCGTTCCGTGAAATTTTAGCGACAGATTCTTTGGAACGAAGTTGCGATCCTCTTCTCCGAAAATTTAATTATTTCAGATATTTAGGTACTTAGTTTTCGATGTTAAGTTAGCGAAATGTCTTTCTGGGCGAATAAGCGGGCTTTCACTGTGCCAACTGTACGTGCAACTTTTCCAAAATTTTTCGAGATAAGTAATTGGATCGTAAAAGTAGCTCTCGGGTGTGTAAAAGATGCATTCCGCTTCTTGAAAATATCGCTGGCATTTACGTGCACGGTTTATCGCCGTGGCCAAATTTTATGTTTTTACTACGAGCTTCGATGGACGGCGGAAATGCTTATTAAACAGAATTGCTACGTATCAATGCGATTATATATACGACTCGGTATATACTGTTCTTACATTACGAACGAAATGAATATTTATTCGAGTTTGGTTGTCGAACTCGGAGCAAAGCCATCGCTCGTTAAGCCTCAAGACGTTTGAATCTGGATCTATCTCGCTCGTGTCGTAACTCATTAACGATTTACCATTCGAAACTTGATGAATTAGGACCAGGTACATTTGCGACATCACGGCGAAGTTATCTGGAACATGCTTAAACCAACGTTTCTTGCTGTTTGTGCAGTTAATTCTCGCGACGGATAATTCCTTTTCCCTCGAGATTTTTTTCCTAACGAAAACGAAATTGTAAATTTTTCCCGAAGGATTCTTCTTCATGTGAAATTTGGAAGGGAGGATTTATAGGATTTCATAATTGCAGCGATGAAAATCAAAGAGAAAAGCAAACAAATTCAAATCAGCAAATATGCGATTGTAATTTGAACTTGCTATTGATTCTTTTGGTTAAACGTCAGAGAGAATTGCAACAAATATATTGAAAAAAAATATTTTAAAAACACATTCTCTCTCGCGATTGCTAAAAACAGTCCCAACAGATTTAGACTCAATTGCAAAAATATTACAGAAAATATTATGAAAAGCACGATTCGATTAATACGGATAAATTAAATTTTCACGGGTTGCTGAATTTACTGCTTACGATTATTCGGATTTGACTAGCAAGACTAACACACTCCAGACTAGTTCCGCTCAACAAATTTGTGACGGTCATAAATTTTCGCGCTTATTCAAATTCTAGTGCGAATGTGAAGCTTATTCTATCGATATTTGCAATCTTTTTGCCGTGCATATTCATTGTTTACGGAGTATCGCGATGCCGATTCCGTGATTCGATAATTTAAGCAAGCAAACTAATATCCTTTCTGATAATATCTTTCTCAAACAAACTTGAGCGTTTAGCATTTTCTGCAAATATCTCATTTCGCTGTGGATATAATATAGTGCTAGTGACATTTCTACAATTTATACTGCTAGTCACATTTCTACAATTTAGAATATATGAATTATACCCTAATGATCGAACGCGTCGGATTTGTGCGCAGCTTGCCGAGGGCGTCGGACGCACCGGTGGTGAGTGGCGGCTCCATCTTCTCCTGGGGTTACAAGTTCAAGTATACCGGAAGGACGGAGAGAGAGGTTCTCGAAGAGGTAGGACCGCTCCGGAAGGAGGAACCGCCGATTCAACGCTGCCAGACGACGTGTCTGAGAAGGAAGGCCAGCAGCGTACCGGCTACTCCCAGCACGCCGAGTCAGGATCTCGTCGAAATACGTGAGCAGTTCTTTCTTTCTCTCTTTTTACATCCGTCGTATAATTTTACCTATTGCCATTTTTTACTTTGGGCGTTAAACGAGAGAGAGAAAGGGAAACACGCTTTCCAAGGGAAATTGATAGAAAGTTGATTAGAATCGGGAAGGGGGGATAATCGTCGCGATGAAATTAGCGAGGGCAACGGCGACAGCAACAGCAGCAGCAGCGCGATAAAAAAGAAAAAGACACGAAAATCATTAAACGATCGTCGAGCCGCTGATGTCGATGAACGCGATATTGTCAGGTACGAATATCGCACGATAGCTATTTCTTCTCCTTTCACGCGTTTTCAGGATACTCCAGCCTACCGCGTAGCTGTCATAGCGCGGGCCTGGACGGCACCGGGATGCTGGAGGGCGGTGCCGGGGTCCTCAGCTCGCCCTACTGTCCAGACAATACCTTGCCCCTTCTGGAGACTGTATCCGAGGACCAAGAGATTCATGCCAGGAGAAACAACGGTTAGTTGACGGCCGTGTCTCTCTCGCCTCTTTCCCTCTTTCCCTCGTTCTCTCTTTTGTTCGAAATGTTGGATCTCCTAATCTCGTTCAGCTCCCCCGGCCCATTCGAGCCCAACGCCGCGACGCATGTGTACACGACAATCAACGCAGCGAATACATCGAGCTCTATTATTTATATTTCAAGCTCGCTTCCAAACTTACAACAGAGAAATATATTTTTAGATAAATATCTTAGATATTTGCCGACAATCTCGAATCGACAATTATTGAGGAGGTAGCTATGCAAAGAAACTATTCTTCATAGAAATTAGTGCATGAAATAAAGTATAATAACGGCATTGGTATGCTCTTTTTCGAAAAAAACGAGATGATGTTTTTCGACGCTTTCGACCTGGAATTGAATAATTTTATGTTCTTTTATACCGAGAGGTGATTAGAAAATTGCAAAGCTGACATACATTCGTTCTTTGTTAAAAAAACGGAGCTCGTACTCCAAGTGTCAAGTAAATTGAATTATCGTTCACTTGCATTGCTCAATAAATTGGACAAGTCGATCGTGCATCGACAATGTTCGTTTGCGCAGCCGACAAGAGCCATTCCCTTTTTTACGATCGCCGCCGCTTTTTTGGCTTTTTTTCGACCCTCGGTTGATTTGTTTTCCTCTTTTCTTTCTGTTCTTTTAGCCGTAGACGAAAATGATACGCATGCGAGTGCCACCCACACGTCTACTACTACCATCACTACCACCACTACTACCACCACCACCACCTCCAACACCATCATCACAAACCGTGCGAAAGCCAAACTGAAATTTCCCAAGAGCACGCTGAACCGACCGCAACCGTTGTACAGTCAGAAAATAGTGATAGGCTCGGAGGAGCTGGCGGGTCGCGACATCGAGCACGTTGTGCGGCAGCGTATTAACGCCCTAATTAACGAGCGGAGCCCGAAGGTGGTGCGGTCGACCGCGCTGATAATCAAGAGCTCCAAGGCGCCGGCGAGCGCCAACGGACGCATCCCGATCAAAAAGAGCCCCGCACGCGACGATAAAAACACGCGCGTAGAGGTAAGCGAGCTCGACGGCCGCGGATCGACGCTGACGACGACGACGAAGACCGCCAACGGTTGCGCGAATCTGGCCGTCAGGTCAGTTTTGTCGAACGGATTCGATCGACAGAAGGCAGGAGGTAAGAGCGCCCCGAGAGATCCCAGGATGAAAGAGAACGTTTTTTATTTCCTTTTCCTCTATTTCAATTTTGCTCGGAATCTCCTCTCCTATATCTTGCGTGTGTGCCGTCGTTGGATTCTGCTTTGTGTTTCTTCTGTCGTCTTCCTTTATGTTACGCTTCCAATACTGCGATTTGCATGGGCTTGCGTCTGTTATGTATAATAAAAGTCAAGACAATATCATACCCTGTAATAGATTCGCGAGATATTTTGCACACTCGATTGTCGTTTGTCGATTGGCTATCGGATTATCTTGAATAAATTTTACGAAATTCTAGAAAAAAATCTTTATTTCATCTAGCCAAGTCGAGAACGATGATTTTATCGATATAAAATATCAATCGTATTATAAGATTATTACAAGAGTGCACGCATGTAAATTTACGTGTAACAGTCATTTGTGTTTGATCTCCTCCGCGAGATTTCCTCTGTTTAAAGATTTCTGCAAAAATTGATGATCCATGTTTTATATCACGATTTAATTTATCTCAGCGTGCTATCGCTCGCGACATAAAATGTTTTTTGTAAAATTTTCTCAAATTAAATTCTTAAAATTGCAATTTGAATAAAATAATGAAATATTTAATAATAAAATGTTATCGATATATTTCCAATATGGTATTATAAATGAATGAAAAGATTATCGCACATATGTACACATACACAGAATTAATTATGTATCGCGAAAAATCTCGCGTTAACCTCATAAATGCGATTTTAATCAATCGTGGAGCAAAATCGCACCTGTAACGTCCCTTACGCAACTCGTCCAACTGACGCAACTATCCAATAGCATCGATCGTATTCTTTCTGTTTCAGTCGGTCAGCATGAGGGCGAGGCGAACGACTATTACTTCAGGGACTCCTTCGATCACTCGTCGTCGGAGAGCCAGCTGTTGGACGCGTCCGGCAAGCCGCACAGTCGCTCGGTCACGCCGGTACCGAAGATGCAAAAGCTACAAAACTCCAAGCTCTGTCTTCAGCAACAACAACACCAGCATCAGCAGCAGCATCAGGGCGTTCGGCGCGTGGCGAGCGGCAAACTCAGACATAAGAGTCTGCATGTGATCAGGCTCTTTATACCGGCGTTCATGCTCACGATCACGGTATTGTTTATCGTGACGGTTCTGGTGTTTGAGACGGACACGACGCTGTTCAATAGCCTGCGCAAAACGCCAGAAATGGTGGCCTTAAGGAGCCAATACTACGTTCCGATTAAGGAGTTCCTGCGGACCAAGCTGGGCCTATTCTGATGCGACAAGATGACCGGGCCGAGGTCGTCCTATGTCGTCGCATAGCTCTCTCTCTCCCTTCAGTGCCAAGTCGCGGACGTGACTCGTGACTGAGAGATTTACGATTTAGTCGCGGAAAAGAATATGCGCCTTCTCTCTCTTCCCTCTCCACCCCCTCTCCCTCTCCGTTGCGCGCCGTCGCGTCGCAGCTTGGTCGCACGAGCGAGTGAGTGCTTCGAACCGAGAAGATTGAGTGTTATCGTAAGGCTAGAAAGATAGACCGGAAGGCGGAGGAAAAATAAAAAGCATCGTGTCGAAGAGATTAATACGGAGTACGACTTTGAAGTCCGAGAAACGTATTCCATTCGATTCGAGACGAAAAATCAGAATTTTGTAAAAAACCAAAAGAAATTGTACAAAAACCTGTATGTAATCGTGTAAACAGAATGTATGTATAGAATTATGTTTACCTATGCGATCTAATTTTTTTTCTTAAACTATTCTCTTAGTTTCAATTTTTATTTATTTATATATATATTTTATTTAATTCAAACTATTTTTCGAATCTCAATTTTTTACAATGCTTTTCGACCGTCTTTGCCCGAATTTTTATTTCACCGAGTTTTCTAATTTTTTATTAGTACATTCGAGTCATATACGAGTCACTGTTGACTTGCTCGCTATTTCAACAGGATGCATATCTGTAGAAGCAAATGGTATTGAATTTTCATTAGTTTTATGAAATAATAATCACTATTAAAATATATTGCAATGTAACAGAGAGAACATTATTATTTAATTAATGAAATGTGTGAGAACAATCTAAAAATGGAATTAATATATATTAATTTAAATATTGAATTTCAACTTTTAAACAATTGTTAGAAATGATTAAAAAAGTTCTTTTCTGTTGTGACAATGATTTATTAAACGAATTATTTATTTTGAAAATAGTTTATATAGAAGAGAAAATCAAACGATAAGATTCTTTTTTCGTTATAAGGAATAAAATTATAATGACATCTTACATTCGTTACATTGCAATACTCTAATCTTGTTATTACTTTTAAAAAATGCATTACGAATTTCGATTATAAATGTTTAATTTTATTCGGTACATGCGGGCGGTACCTTCCGGAATCTCGGATGGATATTAGTGTGATGCTGATTATCGAATGGCCTATCATGTTATTGAAAAGGACAAGACTGCTCTCTAGACATGAAGCTTTCTCCATGTGTCGTGGACAAAAAAAATGCAACGCCACGCTGATATAAATACAAAAGTATTTTGACATTGTGAAGAGAGAGACGCGAAGAAGAGAGCACATAACACATACATACAAAATGAACACGTAATATATATATGTATATGTATATATATACATATATGTATATGTATATGTACATATATACACAAGTCGCCAATGTGAGAAGTGACATTACGTATTTATAAGGACTTTAGATTATTTTAAACGGTCAACGAAAAGCAATCGTTTCGTAGATAATCGTAGGCTATATACGTGCAGCTCTAGTACGAAAACAGTAAAAGGTGGCAAAAATATTGCATCGATGGTAATGTTGAAAAAATTTGCAAGATTTCCCGCTGATTTTATCCGCTGTCGATTTTTTCGTTTCTTATTCGGATGTGCGCTTGATGTGCGTAATCTAACATTGTCTCATTATCTTATTCTACATCGCGAGAGTATAAAATGTATACTCTTTTCGTCACAGCATACAAATTCTTGACAAGATCTTAAGGACATGTCTTGTACGAAAGAATTTACATCTGTCAGGACCTGCCTTCGTAAATTGCATTTAAACAAAGATGATTATAAAGTTAAAAGGAATTTTAGAACAGCAGATTTACTTTTTTAATTTTCACGATTATATTTTATATAATTGCGTGAATACAAATAAATCGATAGAGATTGAACGGAATTAAAAAATAGATTGGGACAATTATCAAGCGTGCGCACATGTTAATTTTCAATTTTACCGGATATATATAGTTTTCGAAGCCTTGCAGAATTATATGTATAATGAAATACATTTGCATGTATATTTTTTCTATAAGAGCAGGTCCTGATTTGTCTTATACCATAAACTGAATGTTCGCTCGAGCGTTTTACTCGAAAGTATCGGTAATAAAAGTCTTCAAAGACCATTTGTAACTTTCGAATCTCTTGATTACAGTCTTGTACAGTCGTTCTTGAGAATAAAAAGACCTTTTAACTCTCGAGTGGACACGCAGTCTCATCTCATCAGTCCTTTTTTCCTAAAAGTGCCTACGCTGTCTTACACTCTTTCGTGTCATCGGATTCGCTCTAAGCTGAACGAAAATGGGGTGACTCGAGGGAAGAAGATAAAAGAATAAAGCAAAAATTAAATAAATGGATCCATCTTATGCCGTGATCTCCTGTTCGTGAGAAATAAAATAATTCATCAAAACTTTCTGAAACAAATCCTGAAACGACGCTTTTCGTCGCTCGACGATATTTACGATGTAAGTGAAAAAAAGGGAATCGATCGAGCACAAACGATTCTAAGAAATTAGAATGGTAATTGTGCGAAAGACAAAATATATCATTGCTAACAGCAGGGGCGTAAAAGTTTATAAGACTTTGCGGATCATTTTCAGCCTTCCTGAAATATTGATCATCAATCTTTTGCTGTTTTCGCGTTTGTCGTCGCTTAAACTAAATAAAAAGTCTCTCCTATTTAACGTTGTCGAGAAAACTACGCATCTCTGGTGATCGCAAAACCTCAGAAACTTGTGCGCCTTAAATTGACTGGGATGAGATTAATTTAAATCAAAATTTATATTTTACCTAAATCGGATAATTGAAACACAAGGATTAAGATTCTTATCTTGTATAGAATTGTGTTTGTTTGAAATGCTTCTCGTTTCCGAACAGGAGAATATCGCGGGCAATAAAAGTTAACTGTATAAATAAATGGAGGTCAATTGCAATATAATGTAATTCTAGTTATTAATTAAGAATACCAGGTCGTTGAACTGATCGATATAAGAAGACTAAGATGGAAAGGATAAAGACTACGCGCACAGAATTCAGATTGCGAAAATTCAGAACGCGAGAATTTCATGTATTACTTGTTCATTCCTAATCTGGATAATACTACACACGATCAACAATCACGCGTCAAATAATATTTCGAATAAAAATTATTTGATGAAGAAAGGAAAAGAAAAGAAAATTCCTAATTTTCAAGTCGTGAAAGTTATACTTGTCAGAAGCGACTCTCGGTAACAACATTTTCAAGAATACAGCTGAATTCAACATTGAATTTGAGACTATATGGCACTCTTGGGAACTTACAATTCTAAAGCTCTTTGAGAAACAGAATACCTGATTGTAATTATCGCGCAAAGTCACTGCTATTGAGAGTCTCTTCAGAGAATAAAACTTTCAAGTAGACAGTCGGTCTAAATCTATGGTAATAGACAATTGTTTGATACAATGGATGGAGTAACATTGAGTTTGTAAGATTATCGTAATGTGGCATAGCTTCTGTGCGATATACTTTTTAAAACTCTTCCAGTAAGATAAAATTATCATAGAGACGATACGCGCGTTATTCTCACAACTGTATATAAGATCGAAAAAAATTCTCCGCAATGTTAAAAGCGTGAGATGTTGGCGGATCGCGTGGTATTTGCGCAACAATAGGACGATATATGCGGGACGTGTTCCAAAAAGATATATATACATCTTTAAAAAAATATGTTTCTCGTATAATTTAGATTACAATTTGTAATTATTATTATTGGTGGCGAATTTGGTATCAAACGTTATATAAGTAATATCAGCGACTTAAAATTTGTATTTAATTTCGAAAAACGCTCGGCGAAGATTTCAACTAAATCGAAATAGTTGATAGATCGTAGAGATAGCCCCTTGATTTGAAATTTTCGTATAAAAAAGGAGAAATTCCAAATTCTTTTGAAAAAATATGTGTAATCCTATATTATAGATATGTATATTTTAAGGACATATAGTTGCGCAGATATGAGATTTATAGTAAAATATCTCCCTCCTTTTACGATATTCGTACGGATAAGATTTTTCTATTATCTCCCTCTCTTTCTCTGTCTCTTTCTCTCTCTTTGTCCTTCTCGCTCTCTCAGTTGACATTAATATCGTAGGTCGCGATTCATCCTTATTGTAAATCAATTGCAGCGTAACGCGATGTGTTGTAACGAGATCGCAAACAGCGGTATAATTCTTTATTTAAAATTAAAGCGTGATACTGCTGGCGAGAAACGCGCGTCGCGCGTTTGGTTTTGACGAATGTCTCTAGCTTTTCGCATGATTGTAAACGAAAAATGCAAACTTTTTCCTTTATCGAATCGATAAAATTCTCGATACTTTTCCGATATACATAATCACTGATTGATCGTACTTGATAACTGAACACGAACTTATATGTCACGTTGTTACTTAATTTTGCGCTACCAATGATGCGCAGACTTTCATACAAGTCATGTACATTTAGCCTACCGCGTTACCTTCAATAGTTTAACTTTTTAAGGTTCTCGGGATTAGTTTGTTAGATATTTATTTGATAACTAATTAACACGTAAGAATATATAATTTATATATTCGCTGTAGCTGCTACACATAAGTGAATTTTAACCGAACCTTTATACGCGCGTGCGCGAATAATTAAAACAGAGGGCTAAATATATACTACTGTTGTGTACAAATTGCGAGATGGTGGATGTAAATGCAATGTTAATTAAAAAACGGCCGACGCGACGACGGAAATGGAGCTCTGCGCTAATCAAAAAATGAAATAACGATGATAATCTTTCTACAATCTCCATTCGTATGTACACTTTTTGTACGCTTGCAAATTGTAGCGAACAATTCAAGTCGTATGAGGGGATGCGTTTTTTCTTCTGGTCTGTTAGTCCTTGAAATTTTGTATCGCATGCATGAATAAACGAGACATTTCATTGCAAAGGAGCGAAACGAGACATGTAATAAAGTGTCGTTTAGAGCTTTATAAAACTCTCTTTTTCTCTCTTTCTTTGTCTTTCTCTTTAATTTATGACGTTTGTAAAAATTCGACCGATTCTTGCGTATATTCAAACATTTGATATTTCTTTCGAATAAAGATAAAATAGAAATCATATACAAAGTACATGTTGCCTCAAAAAAATTAATTTACATATGTAGTCTATCGCTAAAGATTACTTAAATATTTACTAAAATATGAGTAACAATATTGATAAAGATACTAGAGTTGATGGTGAAATAATCTAATCGGTGATGATAACGAAAAATCACAACAACGCCTTACTTATTATTAGTCACTGTAATTTAAAAGCGAAGATATCATTTAGTCGATATAGATATATTTATAGTACACACGAGCATGAATACATGGCGCGGATATAATAATGATTCACCACACCATCACGAATTCTAAAAGTCAATCTGCCTGCTCCGATTTTTCCTTCATCATTAGTGCCAAATGTATATCTAGATAATATTGATTTTCCCTTGACAACCGAACGTCAAATTAATAAATCGATTCTCACGTGAAGCATTAGCTCGATCTCTGAAATATTCATTTCTGATAAGTAGCTGCATAATCGCTTAATTACATCATGGAAATTAGGAGATCGTATCTCGTAAAACTGGGACGAGTTCATCCATGGAAAGTGAATTAACCGCGGCCTTGAATTAACGCAACCTGGCATAAGTGCGCAAGAAAACGCGACACGGTGACTACGCCTGCCCGTGAAAGGAGAGTGCTACTCGCTATCGATGTTTCTCTAACAACTAATGCCGAGACACAATCGTTGTAGCGGTTGTCTTACCACGATATGTATACAAACATGAAAAAAAGTATCGAATTAACTTTCACATCAAAATGTATGCCGATTTCCCTTTTAGACAAGTTGTCTTTCGCGCGACATCGATCAATTGGCCTTAAATATAAGTACAATTTTACATCCCTCTTTTTTACACACATGCGAGATAAATCCCGAAATATGTATGATGAAAAAATATTCAATTCTCTATAGAGATTTATCTATAAAGATACCTACATAAATTTTATCTAGGTATTTTATATATATATAGATTACAAATCGATATTATATATTCCTTGCTGAAAAATAAGCATCCTTTTTTTTCTCTGATATAATTTCCGGAAATGCATTATTTATGAGAGATATCTTATTCTAATACAATGAATAGAATACAATTGCTGTTTTTCAATTTTTTGAGTGTAAAAATTTTGATAATTCTAATTAAATCTAATATTTTTAATATTACATGTAGATTTTAATCTAATCTATTTTGTTTATTATTTTGTCAGAGTGAGAAAGCATACTTTGCTGTCGATTCAATTAAGACTTGTTCTAGTATTTTATTATAAAAATTTATATTTGATTAACAGAAATAAATTCTTACGGAAAATCAAGAAAAATATATCAAATACACTATATTGGCATATTAAAATATGAGACTTCTCTATAGATGTATATAATAAAGAGTAAAATAATTTGAAAATTATTTATATACGCGATAAGAAAGGGGGAGGATAGCGTGAAGGATCCAGATGGCCAGATCAACGGCGGACTCAACTCGATACCGATGTGATCTTCACGTTCGGCAGTTAATTCTTATAAAGGCGAAGAGTGACGAGTCTGCTTCTAGCTGATACTTTACCGGCACTCTCTGTGACTCACCGAAGGCGAACATTCAGTCCGCGACGGACTACGAAGCCGTCGACATCGGGCGCATGTCCGTGTCATCGTGCTCGGTGCAGAGCTGGAGGATACAGTGATCATCGTCCTCAGTGTGTGCCACGTGCGTTACGTGTGTCGACGACATGATTCGAGGCGGCTGAAGCACAGTTAAGCAATTCACTTGGCGCAACGTTTGGAGGACCTTCAATTTTCGCGACGACATGGTAATTGAAAATTAAATAGCGAAATTGCGTTGATTTTTTAAGAAGTCTTTTTCTTGATCGAAAATACCCGGCTGCAAAGTATTCTCTTAGTTATATATATAAATAAATAATACAGAATTACATAATATTATAAAAATCGTCATTTTATAGTACATATTATTTATTTGTTATTTATTCGTAATAATATATACTATAGAACAGTACAGTTAAATGAAAGAAATATAATTATCTAATGATAATAAAAAAGTCAAATTTTTAAATTACATTAAAATAAGTAACGTAATAGATCTCTACGCAATATTTTATTGCATTTATTTTTCCACGATGTGAGCTTTTTTTGAAATTCTAGCGAATCTTAAATATAAATATATGTTTTCTGTCATATTCAATCTGACCTCGGAATAAACTTTAAATACTTAGCTCGGATTGTCTCACACGCTTTGACTCCTGGATCGTGAGTAATGAAGTTTCTCTTGTGGTCGAGTGACGTCAGAAATATTTCCTTGCCAGAGATCTTACCTTTGACGATTATATATAAATTAGATTAATAATTATATAGAAAAATCTCACCCTTGTTTATATCCCTTGTTAGCTAGTTAATTTTTGCCATGAAAAGTATATGAAAACAAAAGAATATAATTATATGTATAAAATATTTATTAAATAATTATTATTAAATAATATAATCCATATATAAAATTTAAAACATATAATTGCGTAAAAAGATTGATCTTGTAAAGAATGAATGATCAAATGGGCTGTCGCTCCTTTTTCTTTGAAAACATTCTTTGAAAACATTATTTTCTCGTAGCTCAATGGCAAAAACGTAATGCTTTGGCACGTGATGCAGAAAAACACATTCCTAAAGCAAGGATGATCGATTGTTTTTGTTAAAAAAAAAATGCAACCTTCTCGATGTTACGTTTCGTCAACTCGGGGAGGATATTGCGCAGACGACTTGGAATTAATCGAAAACCGATAATTATCTTATTTTATATCGACGTCATCGTCATTATGTCTCACACAAGGACTATGGCCTATAAATTGTTCGCGAGAGGATAAATGGAACGTCAATGACGTGTTTGATACACATCGGTTGGGCGATCATTTCCGAGAAATCTATTAATCATCAGAGCTTTGGATTTTTTAAATCACTGATGTGAGTCACAGAAATTGTCAAAATATTAAAATTGTCTTAATAATATCTTCAAAATTAATATAAGAAGTAATGGAGAATATTTAAAATCGATTTGTTCGTCCCATCCACATTGGATCTGAACTTTTCGATAACAAAGTCTTTAACGAAAGATACAAAATAATTGACACTTATTTGTCAGAGAATTGCTAAGCAGCGATTTCCGTTGCAATGCGCGCGTTTCGATCGCTTCTTAATCAATTTACAAAACAAGATTATAGCATTGTCTCACGCGCGTCCCTCACAATGAGTCACGATGGACTTTAACAGGTTCATTGAACTAGTTTGCGTCTTTTTCTTTTCCTCTACGCGATGTTCCTCACTTTGTTTAAGTAAGGTAGACATCTCATCGGAAGAATCTCGTAGGCGATCTCTCTATTCGGCTTCAACGGTCAAAGAAACGACTGCGTGCTCAGCATACGTCGCATAAGCTAGGCAAGTGCATCAGGCTGAATAGGCCGCCTACAATTATTCAATTACGTTCCAAGGCCAAAGGATTTTTATTTTTTTACAAAAGCATTTTCAAATATATTTTCGAATGCTTATATTTCGCACAAATATATTCGGGAAATGAATATATTCCTGATGAAATATATTCTCTCCCAGATTGCCGTTTGTTACAGTAGTCAGGAATCCGACCTAGTCAAGAATCCGGATGCATTCAACGTCCAACTACTATAAATGCCATTCGTCTTCATGATTTCCGTGATTAATATAATATTACCCGACAGTTTTATCCATGAGACGAAATTCTCTTCAATTGGAACTATCTGAATAGACCATCGCGACTATGCGAGAAATTAGAGCGACCAATCGTCACTGATGCGTGTATAATGACGTATCTTAAAGCCCTCCTCAATAAGGTATGCGTATCGGCGTGAACCCCCTTTCTCTCTCGTACCTTCTAAGAAAACCTTTAAGGCCGTTATTACGCGCCGAGAATTTTACGGTTATGCACATTGCGTACACCGACCGATCTAATGGAACATCCTGTTAGACTTTGGTGACGTGCCATCGATGCCCGATGGATCGATAAGCGTATTTATTTTAAAACGATGGGAAAAAGAATGTAATTTTTTTTGAAAGAATCATCACGAGGAACGAATTGAGCGATATTTGTTCACTTTTATTCGTAACATTAGAGTGCAAATCTTATCTTCTTTTTCTATAAATGTTATCGCATCGCGCGATAATATAATTAGATCGACTATTTTAATTCGAATCATTTGGAGGAGGATGCGGAATGACATAATGTCACAGCTCCATCTCTTTCGAGAATAATTATCGGCGTTTTAATTAGCGGCGTTTGCAAAAGAGAAAGATCGTTATCGGAGCGAGTTAAGCAACGCCAACACGTCCTTATCAGAGACACGGGCAAACATATAATCTAACGAGACGATAACATACGCGCGCGACCTTGCCTCGCGTGCTTATAATCGTGCCATTGTTAATCGCTTCGAAGGATGAGTGGTAACAAGGCCGGGAGAGAGACGCGAATCGAGCCCTTCCTGTGCACGAAATAGCGTCTTATTGTCCGAGAAACTGCAAGTTGGTATATTCTAACGTAACTCCGCACGTTTTCCGCAATGCCATGAGATAATCCTTCTGAGAAAATTCTAGGGTGTATCATTTTCTATCAACGGACGTTTCCACCTGCTGTGAGTCACGAGATTTATTTCTCAGAGATTATTTTTAATGAATAGATCTAACGCTCCTCAGCTCTTGAGTCGTTGTTAGAAGAAGCATTTTCTCTCATACGTCGATATGGATTATTTAAAGATCTTTGTCACATTTCTGATGAACTTTGAAATTTTAAATGCCAAAATTAAGCTTTAAAAAAGCACTGTGTTATTATCATTTTTCAGATGTATACATATGAATATTTCAGGATACACCCTGATATCATATCGATTATCCAATTTTGCTTATCGATAACAAGAGATTGTCTTATCATTTGGTTGACAACTTCCTGCGTAAATGAATGTACTTTGAATCAGAGTGATGAGGTTTCGAATCGATTAGAAATAACACAACATTTCAATCAAAAAAAATGTACGATATCGCGCGCGGTACAATAATATTATACATACTTTACACATATTGCTTTATACATTCTTTCAGATCCAAGCTCGGGTTTGTTTTATCTATGATAGTTTATCATCAAAGCTTGAATTAAAAAATTTTATAAGATAAAAGAATTATGTAGAATAAAATTATACAATAATTCAGATCCTAGTGATATTTAAATACAAAATGTCATAGCTGGATTAAATTATTTCTTTCGTAGAGAATTAAAATGATGCACTGCGACAAGATTTCTTCTTAAATCTTTTAGATCCAAGTGTGGCTTTTTCTTACTTATGATAGTTTATCGTCGGAAGCTTGAATTAAAAAATAAAAGAATTATATAAAATAAAAATTTACAATAATTCAGATCCTAATGATATTATTTAAACACGAAATGTTATAGATGAATTAAATTTTTTTCTTTTGTAGAGAAGTAAAATGATGCACTGCGACAAGACTTTTTCTTGAATCTTTCGGATCCAAGCGCGACTTTTTCTTATCTATGGCAGTTCATCATCGGGAAAGGGGTTGAATTAAAAAATTCTGTAAAATAAAAGAATCATATAGAATAAAAATTTACAATAATTCAGATCCTAATGATATTTAAATACAAAATGTTATAGATGTTATCTCTTAAATTTTTCTCTTTTGTGGAGGACTAAAATGATACATTGCGACAAGTGTTCTCGAATGAAATATACGGGCATTCGGGACGACAACAACGATATCTCGTCGACCGCTGCCTCGGCAGCGGAACTGCGGTGAACGAACAGACAGTTTCATTGCGCCGGCTGCGCCGGAAGCCGTGAAATCATGCCTCTCTGCTCTCTAGTAGTATGGCACGCGTCGTACAACAAGAGGGAACGTTATGCGATCGATGGCGCGGTCAGTAGCCCCATCAGTCATAATTAGCCGACCTCGCAGTAGCCCTCTTCGCTGATGACCGGTCGTTTAAATTGTGTTGACAAAATTTGCCCATCATTGAAACTGCGACGATGAGAGAAGCGGGAAGCATGTCTATTCATCACGTTCATCTGGACATTATCGGTTTCTGCGAACGCTGTTCCCGCTTTTTGCCAATCGACATCTCTCTCTCGTCATTTTCTCTGGCTTTTTCAGCTGTCGTTTGTTATAGTCTGTTTGTGAATCCATTCGCGTGTTGCATCTACACAAATTGTTCTGCCGGTATAAATCGATCTCTTGGACCGAAATGTCAACGATGCGGTGACATATGGCACGATCGATAGCGATACCATCCCTAGAGAGAACGAGAGGGAAGGGAATTACACGGATTATATGCCTACATACATTTTCTCAAAATGTTAGCTGATCCATCTCTGCTATCTATTATAAAATATACATATATATATATACACATACAGCTTTAATATAATTTACGGTCTACAAGACCGTAATCAATATACGCTTGTATTAATCCGTATAATCCATTAATTGACTTTGACCGACTTTCTACGATGGATTATACGAATCGCCTCGTTTAAAATGCAATTAAGATTGATGCTCCCTCGAGAAAGGGAAGGTCACGGAAGCACTATCTTACGTTGCGCTATATTCGATTCTCCTTTATATGGATGTCGTCGAAAGAGAATCACGCGGCCGGAAGTCTCCGTATACGCTGACTTCGATTTCTCTCACATTTCCCGACGCATGTGCAACCGGGAATGCTCGTTTCTCTCTCTTTCACACGTCAAAATTTCCATTCTTAAGCTATTTCTACACAACCAGTTCTCACTCGAGGCACTGTTTCTTTTATTCATCGCATATGCAAATCGCTTATGTAATCACAAGAGAGAGAGAAAGAGAGAGAAAGAAAGAAAGAAAGAGAGAGAAAGAGAGAGGAAAGGAGAGGGGAGACAAAATTGCTAAATAAAATAGAATGCGTAAAGAAATGAGAGAGAGAGAGAAGATTCTTTGATATAAAATCTCAATGTGTGTGAAACTTTACGTTGATGTATGCAATAATCCTAATATTGACTTTTTTATTGCGATAATCCAAAATAAATAAATAAAAATATTTTTTTATTACGATAATCTAAAATAAATAAATAAAAATATTTTAATAAAAATTTGACTTTTAAAAGATATAAAATTTTTGAACGCGTTTCTGGCAGAGTACTATGACATCAAGTATTTAATATGTCAAGCGTGTTTATAAAAATCGCTATATATAAATAATGCGTTAAGTATAACGCCTATTATAAGCTACATTGTGGTGAAAGGGCGTTGAAAGAGGGCATATTGAACCTCTGCTAAAAGAAGAACGGAAACGATCGATAAATCGGGCGATCCGTGAAATGTCGGAACGAATGAGCACGCTTGCGATATTCACGATACAGAAAATCAGTAATTGGATTTGTGGATGACGTCCGCCAATTCTTCGTACGTCATCTCATTCGTAATTAATACAATTTTCATTGATTCTGCAACAGCGTAAAATTCTTTTTACACACATTCAATTAATTTAAATTTACTTTCAGGTGTACCACTGGCAGAGTCAAAATGTCAAAATTTCCGGCGTGGACGACATGGTCCTCCTGCCGAAGATCAACGAGGATGCCATCATCGAGAATCTCAAAAAAAGATATATGGACGATTACATATTCGTATCCTTTTTCGTGTGATGTGTTGTTGTACCCATTTGATTTGCAAACTATCGGAGAATTTATTATCTCTCGTGCAAAAAATTTGTACAAATTCTGGAACGTGTATCACATTAATTTGATTAAATCAACACGCATAAATTTTTGCGAAACGTTTCTTAACTGCTGTATCAGACATGTATCGGACCCGTATTGGTATCGGTCAATCCTTTCAAGCAGATGCCGTATTTCGGAGAGAAAGAGATCGAGGTATATCAAGGCGCGGTACGTATTATTCTTTTCGTATCAAGAACAATTTTATATCACTTTAATCTTTTCTAAAAAAACAGAATTATGAAATTATTGTCACTATTATTTAGGCACCGTACGAAAATCCACCGCACATCTATGGATTGGCAGACGACATGTATAGAAACATGCTAATTGACAACGAAAGTCAATGCGTCATTATAAGGTAACTGCGATATTTGCAATAAAATTATCTACTAATTTTCTGTATAAAAAATATGTTAGCTTCATTTTTCGTTAATATATATCCTTGTATCGAAGAATACGTATTTATTATTCATACTTCAAATATTTATTTCGCAGCGGTGAATCTGGCGCTGGGAAAACAGTTGCCGCAAAATACATAATGTCCTATGTAGCAAGGGTGAGCGGTGGCGGCAAAAAAGTGCAGAGGGTAAAGGACGTGATTCTGGAATCAAACCCGCTTTTGGAAGCCTTTGGCAACGCAAAGACCGTGAGAAACAATAACAGTAGTAGATTTGTACGTATGCGGATCCATTCTAATTTTCACTGATTTCGCTATTTCGTGAACAAGAGCGCAAAGAAAAAACTCGATACGTATTTTCAGGGAAAATACGTGGAGATGCAGTTTGGTTCAGGCGGTCAGCCAAACGGTGGTAAGATTTCGAATTTTCTTTTGGAAAAATCGAGAGTAACCTGTCACAATCCCGGCGAGCGAAATTTCCATATATTTTATCAGCTGGCAACAGGCGCCAATCAGGAGATGAAAAGTGTGTATATAATTGACGAATATAATATAACTGACGTAAAAAAATAAAATTACTTTGAAAAGATAATAATTAAACGTTTAAATTTTACAGCGGAATTTGGATTAACGGATCTCGATTATTATCAATATTTGAGTTATGGTGGCAATTATAAAGTGGACGGCACAAACGACGCACGGGATTTTCAGGAAACCCTTAAAGGTGTGTAAGATGATTATAAATCCTATCTCTTATAATTTATTGATTAAATTCTGCGTAATTGAATGAGTAATAATTTAATGTTTTACGATTATTTTAATACAATTTCTTCTTTTTCTTTTAATTAACAGATCTCATTTGTTATTTAATAATCATATATCGTTTACAGCATTAAGCGTTATGGGTATAAAAGACACAGAAGTGATGGATATATTCAGATTGGTAGCTGGGGTACTTCATGTGGGAAATGTACAGTTTGCTGAAAGCGGCAATTATTCGCAAATAGCCGATAAGCAATGTAAGACACATTCTTTCTATCAAGAAACAAAAGTGATTAATTATATATATTATTTATCTGTTATATTATTATATCTAACTTTATCTATTTATAAATATAAAATCGCATGATTAATCTACCTATAAGTTATCCTATTAATTGATTTAAGAGATAAATTAATTTTAATAATGTAATATGTATATATCTAATTGTGTGTGTTATAATATTATTTACATTTCTGCCATAAATTTCTCCTAACTATATGTAAAAATATATTTTCAGTTCTCGAGTTTCCAGCTTATCTCTTTGGAATTTCGGCAGACCAGCTATCGCATAAGCTAATTTCTCGAGAATTCGAGTCAAAATGGGGAAGTCAATCTGAGAGTGTGGACGTGACACTGAATGTAGAACAGGCGCTTTATACGAGGGATGCCTTAGCAAAAGATATCTACGCCAGACTTTTCGATTATCTAGTCAAGGTGTGACGGAATATTTAAAATTCTTTCAAAAGACTTGGTCTCAATGCTACATCTAACACGGAAAAATATGTCCTACGTTAATTGCTGCGTTTTATTCTACAGCAATAAATACAAAAATGATATTTTTAATCCTAATTATAGTATTTAAAATTTTTACGATAAATCTATATACTTTCATCGACTAACTTTTCCTTATCTAAAATTATTATAAAATTTTATAAAAGACATTTAGATCTCTCTTAATCGAGTAATTGACAATTTTGCAGAAAGTTAATTCTGCCATGGAGACAAACACGGACGGATACGAGATCGGAATTTTGGACATATACGGCTTCGAGATCTTTGAGAAAAACGGCTTCGAGCAGTTCTGCATCAATTTCGTGAACGAAAAATTACAGCAGATCTTCATCGAGCTCACGTTAAAGGCAGAGCAGGTAAGCTTCTGTTAATATTTTCTTTCCAATTTACATTATAATATATCTAGCGTTTCGTCAAATCTCTTTTCGTCAAAGATAAAAATTCAATTGCCAAACATATTAGAAAATAAAAATATTTTATCAGCACGTGTGCATACTTTTTCACTTATCGTGGCAAGTTAATATATATTATTCTATTGTCTTAATTTTATATTAGGCGATTTTATATATATTTTAAGCACACATATATTAATCTGTATATAAATAATGATATATGTGTAGTACTCTTATGTATATTAATAATATTTATATACATATAGTATTCTTATATGTATATTCATCACCGTAAGTTGTCACATTCCCGGCGTAAATTAAGCTCTTAAGGCCGATGATTCAACATGAATTTTAATGATATTAGATTCTCAAGACGAGATAATATTTTTTCATGCAATCACAGCTAGTTCTCATCGAGGTTTTTAAAGTTTCGTGACCATGGGAAAATGTGATTTTAATTTTAATTTGATTACTATGTAAAAAATGAACAAATTCGGAAAAATAATTATTAGCGCTCTTTATAAAGCTCGCAATACGTGAATAAGTACTTTATAAAATAAAATGTTTTGTCGCAATTCTTTTTGGTTATATTTTTTTGTACTTTCGTGCTCCTAAGCACGAGTGCAAAATTCTTTGCTATCGCAAAAACATGCGTGATCGCATTCGCATTCTTCGCGAAGAAACCAATTTCATGCCAGTTTTTATTCGATTATTCAATTATTCCTCGATGAAGCCGTATCCCGGCAAGATATCCGTTCTCCTGAACGCGTACCTTTGTACAGGTGTGGTCTGCGCCATCAGCGACCGAACCTTGCTGGGCGGCGCAGGTATCTGCTTGGGCAATTCGCTGGACGTGACCATGGAGTTCTCCGTGGTTGACGGATCGTCCACGCGTTCGTACAATGTCGCTTGATCGTTTGTCTTATTGTCTACCTCCTCGCTCTTGGACGAAACGACACCATCCACGCGACGGTCGAATTTTTTGGGCGGTCGAGCTTTCTTGTCTCGCGTCTTCCAGTCGGTCTGCCTCTCGAACGGTCGCGTCACCCTGAGGTATCCCACCGCACCCTCGCTCGGGGTCACCGTCAAGGTCGGCGAGACAGCTTCCTTGCGGAAGGAGCCGCTGTGTCCGCGCACGTTTACGTAGACTCTAGGCCGACCGCTCTTCAAGTAGTACAGCTTCTCGTCGAGGCTCTGCAGTTTCGGCGACGTCCTCAACAGGACTCGCTTGTCGTCGTCGAAGGTGTCCAGTCGATAATTTGGACTCAGCCCCATGTCGCGCACGCCGAGAATCGAGTGCGGGATCACCTCGGGATTCGGATATCCGGGGTCGCTCGGTATTTGCGGCTGCTCGCTGGTTTGCTGCTGATTCAGCATCGCGTGCACCAGACCTTGCAGATTCGCGGCGTCCATTTCATCCGCGTTTCGCAACTCGATTTCGACAAATCTACAAGAGCAAGAGAGAAAATATTGAATTTTCACATTTTTGCATAAAGATCACGCGGCTTTCCGGTATCACGAGTCGTCGGAAAGCGCACTCTTCGCGGTTCAGAAAATTAACTGTAAATATATAGTACGAGTAACGGATACAATTATTAATAAAATATGCCATCGAAGCTAATCCGATATTAGCGGTAAGATAAACATCGCCAACGGAAGATTACTTTTCGAGCCGCGGTCCATGGCCGTTACTCGATTTTCACGACATTGTAAGTGTCATTGTACATGAATGTCTCCTCTTCACGGATATTCGCGATTATTAAACCGCAGGCGATCGTTGCGGCCGCACGAGAAAAGGATCGAGATAATCGGCTTGAACCAGCCTTCGTCGCTTTATTCGCTCGATACTTTGCTTTCAAAATTGTTTCGGTTACTCTGTTCCTTCCGCCCCCTTTTCAGGTATCGATGCCTTAAGATACGTATTGCGATCACGTAGATCTACCGTCGTTGAAATTACACAGGAGCAATTACTCTCGGTCGAGTTTCTCACGTTTCTCGTGCGCCGACGAACGAAGACGGCTTTTCATTTGCCGCTAATTGGGCCGCTTTCTGGCGGTGAGAAAGAACGAGCGGGATTTTCCGCTTTTGTTCGAGCGCTTTAGAATCACGAGATCTCGGAGCAAATATCGTTTCTTAATCGTGCTGAGTCAGTCGACGGAATTTCTCAAAGAGAAGCCGTTAGAATCTAACAGAATAACACACCAAAATGTTAGTGTCATCCATTAATATGCATGTATGTTATACATGTATGACCAACATTTTGAATCTAATATATATTGACAAAAATAAATATATTAAAAGAGAGCTCAAATAAAATATAATTTATACATTAAAATGATACACGCAAGGGAGATTCTTTAAGGATGCTTTGTATGTACAATCCCAGCAAAAAGTAGCTGAAAATCAATATGATTTGACGAATATATCCACTTTTGGTGTATTTTGAGTATGAGAAATTGCGTGGAATATTGAAATTTGATCTTAGCTACAGTGCAGAGATGTATTTTTTAATATTTATTGCGTTTTTACTGAAATATTCCGAATTTTGTTAATCGAAATGATTAACTTTTGGCAGAGAATTTCGCCTTGTGACAGATACATGACTAACTTCATTAAATTATATTTAATATCTTTTTAATCAGTTAGTACTTGTATAATATTATTTGACCAAATATTTCCTCTGTATCTACTTTTGCAAATTTGAAACAAATTCTGAATATTATTTCCATGTGTTTTTGTCATTTGAATCGACGTGGTTATACGTTTCCCACAAGAACACGTGTTAATTCGATGCAAATTAAAATCCTTATAACTTGTGAACGCTTTATGCCTGATTCCATCAACTGCGTTTAATTTTAATCTTAGTTTAACTCACTTTTTATCTCCTTCTAACTCTTCCTTTAGAAAGAGACAAAGAGTGAATTGAACTAAGATTAAAGTTAAACGCGGTTGGTGAAATCGGGCCTTAGTGAATCGATTTAAAATTTGTACTGAAGATTCTAAACATATGTAAGGATATTCTGTACAATTTTCATTAAATTCCCAATATTTTGAATATAAGTACAAAATATCCTTAAGCCTTTCATAAAATCTCTACGATCACAATCTTTCTCAAATGTATATTTTGCATCGACTCGAAGTAGAACGAGTTTGCAGTGAATCGATAACAATCAACGACTATTTATCGGATTATTTCAAACTAGTTCTAAGGTTCCGAGCAAGCGAAAGTGAACTGTTGTCGAGCGCAACGACGGCGTGTAATATCGATACCGGTCAGCGCGCGATGAAGAAAGAGAGGCGCTACAAAACCAAGGCCGCCTGAAGAGTAAATTATCGATAGTAATACCTGTAGTCTTCGGGTCTGTCTATGTTGATGTCTCGGGCGGGGACTCCATGAAGGGACTTGCCCTCGAGCGCTTTGCGCGCTGACAAGTCCTGATCCTGACGAATGCGATTAGGATGCGACGAGGGCGGTCGCGGCAGGACCATAGCCGACGTGGTCAGCTCGAGCAGGACGAGCACCACGGTGGCGCAGATATTGATTCTCCACGACATTCTGCAAACAAATTTTCTCCCATTATAAAATTCCATGTTCCATATTTTATAATAAAAAATTCGGGCTTAATTATTCGTATGTTATATACAACTTTTACACATTCCAGTCGCTTTTGTAATTAAAGCTCGTAGCTAGATCATCAAAGAGAAATTGAAGAGACCGTTTCCAGCTGTCTTGGTCAACTTCTTTACGTAAGGCACAATGCATGTGACTCCGATTGAAATTGCTAGGCCGGAAAGGATTAATAACGTGCGATTAGTCGTCTCGTTGCGCGAGACAGCGACCGAATTTCCGTAATCATGCCAGTTACGCGAGAGAGCGCGTTATTCTTTCGAGAGTCGAAATAGGTAGACCTCGGACGATTTCACGAAGCGTTTTCTTAACCGCCAAAAAGCCGTGCACGACAAAATAACGGGGCGATGCCGACATGCGTCGACGTAACGGGCCCGTTAGTAATGAACGTGGTGAAAGTTTTACATGCGCGGACGACCCGGTCCCGACTCAAGAACAAAATGATACAATTTCTCTTGTTTTCCTTACGTAAGCTACGAGAATGCATACAAAGGCAAGCACTATAGAATGATCCGGTCCTACCCTTTTCTCGGTCCTTTAGGTTCCTAGAATCGCGAGAAAACGTCGCGATAAACAGAATGAAGCGCGAAACGTGTCTTTTGAAGAAGAACGCGAAGAAATGGCGGATCGAGCGGCGACTCGTTACACTTTTGCCTGATACCCAGTTCGCACGTTTTCGATCTCCTAATTTTGCGCGAACCTAAAATAGCTCGGAGCGAGAGATAGTCTTGCGATATAGGAACGATCGGAATTTGCGTCTGTTTTGTGTAACATTGAGCTCGAAATGAATTCAACGTTGAAATCTCACATTGGCGTTTCTGCGTATAGATTCTACACTAGTTTAGCCGCGAAATGATAATTGTCCGCCGCTAGCACGACGATACGTTCCAATAAGCATCCAGCTCTCCGCTTTGATGGCGCAATGATTGAACGGGATCGGGAGAATATTTTCTCAAATGCACTCACCTTGCGCCAAGAGCGAGGTTGAGCAGCGCGGCGAAAAACTTGCGTCAAGTGTCTCTCCTCTCTCTCGTGTGACGTTTGTTACGTAATTATATTACGTTAATTATTACCATTCTGGAATGTTTTTTTGATAATTTCCAAGAATAAATTTTTTTCTTCTAGGAGTACCTTTCGAAAAACGCTTGAAAAAAATACAAGTGCGTGAGTAGGCCGCGGAAAAGGCTGCTTTCGTGAGATTTCACGATGAGCCTGGTGGTTTCAGACGGGTGGTGCTGCGAAACTCATCGAGGCAGGCCACGTGCGATTGTTTTCGCGTGCAGTTTCATAGCTTTATCTAAACGCAAAATCTCCTTTCTACTCTACTATCGGCGCAGTCGAGGAAACGCATTTCTCGAATCATCAAGTAGTAAGGATGGCTCACTCACCGTCCTGTAAAATTTATCGCACATTTGCAATCAAATTATAGATAATATCGCCTACACATTTTATGTGATTTTCTTCACATAAGATTAAACAGAATTCCTCGAATTTATTCGATTTTCGTAGTTTTGATAGTTTGCGATCGTAATAAAAAAGACAATGCTCCCCTAAGAGCGAGTAAACTTATGTTCTTTTCTTTTTTTTCTCTCGATCGTGAAAGTATTCGTTTGCTAGCCGAATAATCGTTACAAACTTTTTCCGTTCTCATCGTCGGAAACTTTTTCAATTTTGTCGACTACTTTCTCCTACTCTCTTTTTATCATTTTATATCGTCTCCCATTAGAAATTTATTAAAAGAATCAATGATCCATAACTTGCCGAATCGCTTTTTATGAAAAATTAAAAGCGAAAATAATTATCGAATGGTTGGGCGGTATATATCGATCAAACAATTTGCACGCACGTTGAATAGAACGATACCACAAATGGTTATAAAAACAATCTGATTCAGCCATCAAGTTTAATAGCCAAGAATATGACTCTTTTTCTAGAGAGATCTTCAACAGATCGCTTTTTAAATCATGTTTTATACGCGATTAACTAGCAAATCTAATAAGTTCAACAATCTCTAATAAATATTAAGTAATTTGATCAAACTAATGTTTTTCCAAAAAAGGTATATCCCAAAGTACAAAAAAAAATAATCAGAAAATCAAATATATCGAGAGAGATGCATTATCGCGAAGTTTAACGAAATAAGCAATAACATTATAATATATACAAGCCGGGATCCTCTTGTACGATGTTCGCAATCTCGCATTATCGTTCTCGTTCGACAAAAGTATAACGGGGAGCCCCGCTCTCTCTCTCCTCGCGAGATCTACTCGGCCGATTCACGTCGCCAGATAGGTGTGGTTCACCCACCTCGTCGGTGAACAGGTTCTCTTAAAAAGTGCAAGTGCAATCGTTGCCCCGGTGAACGCGCTCGGCTAATGCTGAGCGAAGCGGAGCGTGCGACTCCACGTGGAGTCGATCTGTCAAACGGTGACGGCGGCACTCCGACTCTCCACCGTTCTCACCAGTTGCACTCACCTAATCGCTCGACATTTTTCGTGCCGACGTCATTGCTAGTGCACTCTGTACTGCGTTTTCTTTCCATATCGATTTTCTCCTCTTACGCCGCTTACGTAAGTTATCTGAGTCGAGAATGCTATTTAAATCGCTACAAATCGATTAGTTGGATAATCAAGAATTTACATGTACACTTGATGATCGTTCAAATATCTCGTAATTTAATTTGCCGTTCAATTTTTAGTTAGATATCGAGGATGACTCGTTCAATTCGTGCGATCCTGCGTAATGTATTTACATTTGTAATTGCAATTTATCGTTGCTTCATTTCCTACATCTCGCGACGACGACAAAATGACTGTGCGAGTAAATATGCTTAATTTTCGAGAAAGTTACAGACTCGATCAGGTTTCTCGACTGATTTCTTGCGGTCGGAGAATAATCAAAATCGCGCGGTTTGCGTTAATCGGTAGTTTCCCTTAATCGTCGGGAATCATAGAGAATATCTTTGGAATTTCCTTGAAAAAAAATCTCCTTCCTTTTAGCGGCAAATAAAGTTTGTTGATTTTTTTCTCAATATCGGATGTCACGAATAAAATCTCTTTGAGCAATTGTTAAAGAGCAAAACCTCTAACAACCTCAATTAACGGTATAAACTTTTATTGTAAAAATTCTGCCGATTTGACTTGAAGAGACAATTGCGAATCTTATGTCGATCGTAACGTATTGCGCAAGATGGAATGATATGAATTTATATGCCGCTCTATATGTATAGATATATTGTATAAACGAGCGAGAGACTTTGTCCGTTGAACTAGGACAAGAAAGAAATTCATAAAGTTATCTCTCTATTCATTGTCGCGCTTTCAGTTCTGATTAATGAATGCTCGCCGCAAAACACACCATAAAAGACCATTCGTTCCCGGCGTATCCGCGAGATCAAATTTAAATGCCACGTTAAATCTCTCTATTCGGAATAATGTAGCGCAAAGGGTAAAACATGGACGCGAGACGATTTACAGCATATTTACAATTGATTCCTCATGGCATGAAAAGCATCGCGCAAACGGATCGCGTCGCGCGATCCGTAGGTGGATCTCGCGAGCGAATGAAGACGAAACGGTAGCGAAGTAGGACGTGGAGAATTTATTGTCGCAGCCTCCGAGCGCGACGGCGTGTACTCGTATTCGTACGACACGCGAGCTCGGAACGAATTCATTCCGGACAGAGATTCATAAATAATCGTCGATACGAGTTATATATGCGCGCGTAAACTTATCCCGTATCGATAAGTCTGATCGATTCCATAGAGATGTCTGACGAAGAATATTTGCATTCTCGAAAAGTATAACGCAAGATGAAGAAAGAAAAAATGATATTTTCTCTCTCCGTCATTCGCAACGTTCGTGAATTTATCGTCGATATTATATATGCCTACTGAGAGAAAAAAAATTTGGTTGCATTAATTAGAAATCTAGGAAATTCAACCAGTATGTCTGTTGGAAATTGAACGAATCAGAATTCCTTCAGGAATTATCAGATGGATATGATTAATTTCTTCCTGTTAAATTTAATGTTCTTTAAAATATTAAAATATTAATTAAAAATTTAAAATCCTTTAAAATATTAATTTCCTCCTGCTAAATTTAATCAAATTTTCTTGGTAATAATACTAAATTTGCAAAAAGGAATGGCATCACTGTGTCCTCGTTTAGTTATATAACAGGAAGTCTTATAGATCAAACTAAAAAATATTAAACTAAATCCTTATATAAAATTTATTAAACGTTCTAGTTATAAAAAGTCGAGTCTTATCGCGATAACTAGAAATTCTGCTTGGTTTAATCAAAATACCTTCTACCAGATCCACGTCTTGTTGGTACAATCAAACGATTTTTCTCAGTGTATATACAATACTTGCAGATACTTATTATGAAGGTAATCATTAGATTTCACACCGGAAACAGCGACTCGCGACTCATGTATCGGATATTACACCGACAAATTTTTAATTAACCGGCGTATTGTTCTGCTCACACGATGGAAAATTTATTATGTCCGTAATCGCAATATCGCGTATTATGTCTACGATAAATCGAAGGAGTTTACGCTCGTTAAACGAAGGAATCGAGACGGAAGAGGACGCGTGCCGATTTCACTATATTAATTAGTATTCGTAATCGCGTACGCGCGCATTATCGCAACGAGAGACGAAAGAAAGTTTTTTCTCTTTCCTTTCGCGTTGTCATTGTTCGCTTTCCCCTAGATCGACGAGAGTTTTTAAACGGCTCTTGTCGGAGTAAATATTTTGACGAGTCGTTCGAAGACAGGATTCTCAAGTAATGATCGACATTCGAAATATTCGAGACTGACTACCGCTTCGAGGGACGCTTTCGATCGTAGAATCGCGCACGTGATAACCAAGACAACTCGGCAATGGTCAACGCGAGCTATCGCGTTATATCGGAACTTAGAAAGTCGAGGAAACGTTGCCGGTTGCATGCGAACTGGTCGACTCCCACGCCACACTTACGGGCACTTGCTTACATTCTTACGTAAATACTCGACGAGGATCTCTCGATCGCGCGTTATCGTTCGCCGACCATCGAACCATCGCTCGTCGTGCAAGGTGCCACGAGGAAAGCAGAGATGCAGCAATTAAATTCACACCTGAATGGAAAGTGAGAGTCTTGTGGTCAAGGCCCGGAGGCTGGGCCCCAGGATGTTGCTCGCGTCCTTTAGCGGCTTCGAGAAACAGAGAGAGAGATAGAGGGACGACTTTTACGTATCTAACCAAGTTGTGCGTTCTCATTTAGATTAATCATTCGACTGTCCTTGGAGCTGAAAAGAAACAATGTCGTCGTTGTTTCTTCCGCTCTTTCGACGCGCGTTGTAGGATTCTGTGGCGAGGAAGAAGAATCGCGTACGCGAAGCGAAGGAGATAATTGCAACTATTATTACATGTCAGTTTTGCTGCGCGGGAAAATAAAAGCGTTAAAATAAAAGCGTTATATGCTTGCTGGGAACAAGAAAAAAAATTGCATTCGGTGCGCCGCGCCTTTCCTCGTTCCGTTTGCCGCGGAGGAAGGAAATGATCTCCACGTTGAAAACGTGGTCGTCGGACCGCTTCGATAGATCGATCATGATTATCCTGCAGCGGACACGAAACGAATGAACGGTACGTTTAATTGATCCTTTATGTAACTACGAACTTTTTATTCGCGCGCCAATCGAAAAGTCATCTCGCGCTTTATTTTTCTTCATCGAAAGTAAAGACAAAGTGCAACATTTTTCCCTAAGGCAGAAACGTTTGTCGTTAATTAATACTGTGGGATAATTTATTAACTTACTTGCTATTCATGTGGTTTAATTATTCTATACTTTTAATTAATTTTCTCATGTTAACCAAGCCGTATTTGTTGAAAATTATTAAGAGATAAAGAAGAAAGAGAGAGAGAGAGTGAGCATATTTATAATATAGTAGAATATTTATCGCAAATTTATGCAGGTGATATTCATTGGGAGTGACGTTTAACGAGCTCATTTTGATTACAACTTTACGGCCGCTCTTCGTTTGCGTTGCGATTACAATGGCGTTTCGCAACGCAAAGCAATTAACTTCCATTAGAAGATTATTGGCGGATGTCGAGCGGTTTAATCTAACGCAAATTGACGATTGCAAAGTATCTATGTATAAATGAATATTGTCCAAACGTCTAAACCTCTTATAATGTATAATTATTCGACTCATTTGTTATGCATCATTCTTCTCTTTCTTTATTTTAAATTTCCATGACGAATATTCCGTAATATTCTCTCATACTTTAATAAAACAATTTTAATTAATAAATTCTACATTTTGCAATCGTGTTTTATCCTTTATATTCGATGATTGAATCGCGTACCTACTTTTCGGTCAATTCTTTACATCTTAACAAGTCTTTGAAGCTGTTTTTATAAATCACCTATCACGATACAAATTGAAGTCGCTTTTATAAGTGTGATGCGGGGATAATCGCGACGATAAAATTTGAATGTCGGAACGTCATTGTACGCGACAAATCTTCTTTATATAATCTTCGTCACGTTGTTGAATTGATCACTGCGTGAAACCGTTGCCGCAAAATTCGTGACATAAAATGCGTGACATATCGAATGCGCGACTTTGCAAACAAATTTCCATCAAAGCCCGAAATTACTCTTTAATGGAATTAATCGAGAGACCATCCGCTTGATACAAACATGTCTCGTTTAAATTCCGAAAAATTATTAATACGTCGCACTTTTAAACTTTAAATTAGGCGTGCGATTTGTTGAAAAACGATAACGCCAACTTGATTAATAACGATAATGATTATATTATATTAAATGATTATATTACAAATGCAAGAAGTAAACATTGTATTTTAAAGCGCGTGTTAAGCAAGGGGAACGTACCTGAAAGGCAACCAACATATGATTTTGGATCCAACACCTCTCGCGATGCACGGGTCGGTTTCTCGTTTATCGTTCGCGATCGTTACTCTTCTTCAGCCTTCGAGCAAAAGTAGATTCGAAATCACTCGATCTTCTTATTATGCAACGCGCGATCCATTCGTTCGCGTGTGCGCGAGGATCGCGCCGATTGGTATCATCCACAATGAGGCTCGACGACGAAACGTGGTCGCGGCTCCGTGTTGCACTGCGGCCAAGGATCGAGTGAAGGTAATGAAATAGCTAAGTGAAGCGATATCGTTGTCTCTCTCTTTCTCTTTCTCTCACTCTTCCCACGTGCGGCTTCCACCACTCTTCGCACTTTAAGATTTTCTGATTGGCCGCATTCTGTGTGCCTCGTCGGTGGTTTTTAATTTTTTTCGCGACGCACGTGACTCGCGAAAATCAAGTACATCTTGCAATTAAATCAAGCGTCATCTTTAATTAAAAGGTCCATTTCTTTTTACCGCGAGAGAATCAATCTAACTTTAACGCAAGCGTTTTTTTGAAATTTTGAAATATTTATTGATAAAAGAATTCAAATAGCTTTGAAGAGTAAGAAATGTATGTATCGCGCGAAAATATATATATTTGCAAATAGAACTTTGATTTCACGAGGCAATCGTCGCCGTAGTAAATGTGCTTCTAGATTAGCTTTATCTCACACGCGATAAATGATGCAATATAACTGCAAATCTTCTAATAAAGTTAACATTGTCGCAACGGTAGTGACCCTTGAACTTCTTACGGATATATCAAGATGACATCTTTTGCGTTTCCGATGCACGTCGCGATAAGGATACAGTTAACTTCAGATTCCGGTAAGACAGTGAAAACTAGGATAATACGCAATTATTATCACATTTTGTTGATTGATATTTCTCTCAATACCGTCTTTATATAATTTCAAATTTCTTTCGCTTATAATGTTAACATATAATACATAAAATTAAAATTGTTTTATTGTCTGTTAAAATAATTGTACTTTAAATTTAAAAAAATATATATATATAATTTTAAGGAAAATTCTCCTTTTTCAACATTTTTGTCTTGTCACATAATTAAGCGATACCAAATATGGGTCTACGTATTTTTTGATAGCCTAATCTTTATGTATATCGAAAGATATAAATCATAGTAAGAAATTCCCGTCTCTTGCTTAACGCAAGAGGAATTCCGTTAAGGAACAAAATAGTTTGACCGCGAGTTGACATTTGGCATCTAACTGTCTCACGAATCCGGCGATCTCTCGTGAAATCGAGATGAGGCTACCCTCCTTTTTTCTCTGTCTCTCTCTCTTATTTTCACCGCCGTTAACCCAGAATACACACATCTATCTTCTCCATTATCTACGTTTTTATACGCCCTTCTCCTCTCGACAAACCCCAGTAATTCCGGGCAACAATGAAGCGCGATTCCCATGAGCGATATTTGCGACTCCTGATCTAATTAGTTTAGCACGTTGCGACCTTTTTTTTTTAACTCATTAACGTTAATTCAAAATGAACACGTGGTATACGTATATTAGACATTTGTCTTTGTAAAAGCGTAAAAATTGGAAAAATATCTAGAGATGTATACCCATTGACACTTAATGTATAAAAAAACGAAAAGATTTGGCATATAAATATAAACACATACGCATTCATATATACATGTGTATGTGTGCGTGAAATTAATTGAATTCTGTTTCGATAAAGTAGAGCATATCAAACACGTGAACTACTTTTTTTCTTCATTTTTATATTAAGATTGTGATTAAGATGATATAGAAAGCTTTAATAACTCGTTCTTTAATCAAATTTGTGCACGTAACAATCATTCTTTCTGTATACAAGTCCAACACCTTTGACCGTCTCTATTAAACTTTTCTCTTTCTAAGCAAAAAAAATGATATTATCTCTCGTAAGCGACAATAATCTTGTACTAATCGCGAAATGACGAGAAATAAGACAAAGAATACATTACGTAACGGGTCACACATCCTTGCGTTGTCCACACGTGCGCGTTCGTTAAACGAGGCGCTACTTTTAATTACCGTCCCGCCCGCCTATGCGGGCTCTAACGGAATCTAATTTTGAGAAAATTGCCGGAAACCCCGATGGGCGCGGGTGCGCGAGTGTTTACATAGGCAAAGCATCCGGGTTGCATCGGGTGCGGGGACCGGCACGACAATGCATCCATTGGACGCGTTCCGCGAGGAACGATACGGAAATCAGAACGCGTATCCGTCGGGCGTCCTTAAACCTTACGGAGTATGCCGTGCAAGCGGAGCAAGCGGGGTCGGAGGTGAAATGTGTCAGTGGAAAGTTAAGGCGACAAGACAATTGCTCGCGACAAACAAATCTAATAAGAGGATACAATTGTCCGCGGATTGAACAAGCTCCCGATCTTGAGAACTTGTTGCGCGCTCCTCTTTGTTCTCTCCTCGAGTTTTTCCTCCTGTCGCACTTTTTTGACGCAAATGAATTGAATTTAATTGTCCGCGAAAGGAAAACTACGCCACGAGTGACTGCAACGCGTGAAATGACAGATCATTGTATCTTGTGGCGCGAATGCGTAATTGATACTTGTGCGCGTTTCTAACAATCAACGAAACGTCACGACAAAGTAATTGCGCGTAATCAACATGATTAATTTGTTTATCGCGGCTAATTAAATATTAGCGACGCGTCTGCATCTTTTTCTTTTGTAAAAAAATAGTTTAATAGATATATTTCCTTACCGCGATATTATTTTAATTAGCGTGTATTAATATCGCGTGTAATAATTAAATTCGCGTCTTATTCCGACGAGATTGATCGAACAGTTTTTTGCCAAGGGACAGTTCGAGAGCGGCGGAGAGGTGAAATAATAATGGCCGCGCAAAGTGAAAGCACCTGCTCCGAAAGGACGCTAAGAAATCGTGAATAAAGCGCCAAATTTAGTATACATTAATTATCCACCATGTTACGAACCATTCATTCGCCAATCACTCGAGAGTCGTTTGATTGACGCTCCATCCATCGACGGACTATTATTTGCCAAACACGGAAATGGAGTATTATAAAATATTATCAGGGAGAGAAAGACAGAAAGGAATTGATAATATATATTAAATGTACGCGAATCGGTTGTTTGCCGAGAGGATCTTAAATCTTTCACGGAATCCGAAACTGTGAATACAGAAAAGAATCAAATTCGGGGCATAATGTCATTGTCCAGCGCAGTCTTCCGAAGAACAATCAAGATGGAAACAGTGTCCATCCATCATAAAGAGGTCAAGCCTCATGAAAAAGAGTCGTTAACTCGACTAAAGGCCACGACGAAAAAATCGTGCCACTTCTGGTTACCGAGGTGGCGTGTCGCGATCGGATCGCAACTAGACCGAGTAAAAAAAACTTGACCGTGAATTGCCTTTGCGAGCGCAAAGACGAGCTGAAAAATTGTCTACTTAAAAGCAAGACCTCTCGGGCAAGCCCAATTTCGGGACGATCGTGCGAGATCGTAGCCTTTGGTCGCGTGTAATTATGCGTGACCGTGAAAAGGAATCCGCGCTGACGATCGAAAGATTATAATGGATGCAAGTCCTCGGGACACCTGATGAGGAAACATATTTCATCTTACGTATTTGATTTCACGTAATAATTACGCGAATGTCGCAGGACGGGCGAGTTGTTGCGAAACAAGCCAGTCTAGGACTGGGGAAAGGGTTGAAATAAGGCGACGAGACCAGTTTTCTCGCTGGCTGCAACGGCGAGTTCTCCGGGTACACCTTCGGCAATGAGCTGAAATGGAAAGCGATTTTAAAAGCGCCCGGCAATCGCGTTATTACTACGCCTTTCCCTTCTATCGCCTCGAGAAAACGAGATATAAATCGCTTGTACGTGCGGGATATATACGCGGTGTTACCGGCGGCACGCAATTAAGCCCGTATTTTCGACGTAACGCTGTTTGCGTGCCTCGCAACCTGCGCATACCTTCCACGAAAGTTAGATCGACAATTTAAATCACTCGAGTAATCTGTGACGCGTCTGTCACAGATTTTTCATATTTATCGACATCTTTCTCTCTCTTACATCTGTCGATCATGTCACCCATCGATTAATATGCTTTCTTAATTATCTAAATAATTGCGAATGAATGACAACAATTTTTTATTTCTTATTTCATAAAAAAAAATCTTGCCATTATCACGATGTACTTTATCTTGCGTACCTTGAATCGAATCCCTCTTCGTTTTTAGGAGGAGTATGTTTCCGAGAACATTAGATGGACACCCATAGAGTACTTTAATAACGCCGTCGTAGTGGAACTTCTCGAGGGTAAAAGGCCACCTGGTCTTTTTCTAGTACTAGACGACGTATGCGCGACGCTCCACGGCGGTAGCACGGGCGCCGACGTCGACTTGAAGAAGGTATGAAACGTTGCAAAATCCAAATCGGCGCATTTTTCGACGACGATACTCTTTACGGTTCAATAATATTCCAAATTATATTATAAATCTTGCAGAAACTGGCAGGAACGGCCAAACAGCACGTGCACTTCCAAGACATTAGCGACGGTTTCGCAATCCTGCATTACGCCGGTGCGGTGTCCTACTCTGTCGATGGATTTTGCGATAAGAACCGAGACGTCCTCTTCTTGGATCTGATCGAATTGATGCAAACCAGCTCCAAGTAAGCGATTGCATTACCTGTCAATTATACGTGTGACAAATTATTCCAAATACTATGCTAGACAAACTCGCATAGCGTATCGCTTGACGATGATTAATTAACCCGTACTATTTCTCTCTATCTTTATCCTTTTTTTTTTCTTCGATCGGATATTTCATAACGAGAGCATAAAATGGAAATAAAACATTACCACGAGAGAGATTATTAAATATTAAAATATTATATAATAGTAATAAAGAGGGAGAGAGAAAGTTAAAAAGTTTATTTTTCGCGGGGGTTAATTATGAAAGATACGAGGTATTAATTGCGTTTTATATTCTACATTTCTCAATAATCCGAACAAATATAAAGCGGAAAGTTAACTGACAGTTATCATGCTTCAACATTTGCAAACATAGTATTAAAACCTTTAGCTGTTAAAAATCACTGCGCTGTTACGTAAACTCGTCGATAATTTAATGTAATCATCGCTTAATTACTAATCATGCACGTTCATCATTTACGTAAGAATTACGCGGAAAATGTCGCGCAAGTCACGTGTAATAAAGAGTTACAGATCGCCGACATTTTAGTAAAATCGATGACATAATGAAAACTAGCCGATTAATTTTTTTTCATTTTTTTGTGAAATGTTTGAAATTATCGTTCGATGCGTTATATAATATTGTCTAAGAGATATATAGATATGTATCTGAAAACAGGAAAAAATAATATTTTCTTAATATGTTTCTTAGTTCCTTGGTGCGTGAACTTTATCCGCGAGACACCGGTAAAACCAAGACTCTCAAGTCCAGACCAACCACCGCGGGTAGCAAAATCAGAAGTCAAGCCAGTCGCTTGGTCGGTCAACTGATGAAATGCACGCCGCATTACATTCGGTGCATCAAACCGAATGAAACGAAAAAACCGCGAGATTGGGATTACCTGAGAGTCAAGCATCAGGTATAATAATTTGCCTAGAAAATTTTATATTTCAGAATAAACATTTACCACACGCAAAACATGAATAATATCTATAATTTATATATAATGATACATCTATAATCTAGAAAATTGCAAATACTTGTGAAAAAATCAGACAGTAATCGATAATTTCAAAAAAATGAGCAAACAAGAATGTTAATGAAATTGTCTTGGTCGTGTCCACATATTTAATTTTTAATTCAATGATGCGATATTTCGACAAACTATGCCAGAGCGATTAAAGTATCGACAAGGTATCTTTTCCTCTTCCTTCGGATAATAACGTTGAAATTTTGTTCGAGAAAGTCAATACGGCATAGTTTTCACGTTACAGTCTGCGCTAGAATGATAGTTATCCTAATGGAGTAGAATGCCCACAGAGAGATGTTCTAACGGAAACGTATTACGTGGACGTTATATTTTGCGATCGATAATAATCAGTTAAATAGACCATCGGTTACGCGAGTATTTCAATTTTAACCAAGCAAACTCGGCGGATGTACAGTTATGACTTTTTAAAAACCTTAAAAGCGGTGAATCCGAGATTCGATACCCTCTCGGCGATGAATTAACAGAAGACGATAGTAATCGCACAGTTTTCCACAATCTAGGTGGAATATTTAGGTCTGAAAGAAAATATCCGAGTACGCCGAGCTGGCTTCGCCTATAGAAGAACCTTTGCCAAGTTTCTACACAGATATGCGATCCTCACCAAGGAAACCTGGCCTCGTTGGCCCGGTGAAGAGAAACAAGGCGTAGAGTGGATATTAGGCAGCATCCATATCGATAAGTCGCAATATCAGCTTGGCAGATCGAAACTCTTCATCAAGGCGCCGGAAACCGTAAGTTTTCGTCTCGCAAAGATCTACTTTTAGCGTTACTCTCGCAGACTTGACAAAAACACACATTTCGAATTAAGTCAAGCCCAACGAATTGATTAAATAAGACCATCTACTTAGCTCTTCATGCTGGAGGAAGCTCGTGACCGGAAGTACAACATGTATGCGCGAGTCATACAGAAAGCCTTCAAAAAGTACTTTGCCCGGAAGAGGCAGCAACAACAGAAACAGGAAGCCGCTAATCTTCTCTTCGGTCATAAAGAGCGAAGACGGGCGAGTCTGAATAGAAATTTCGTGGGCGATTACATAGGGCTGGAAGGCAAGTCGCAGACAATGAGTCTACTCGGAAGACGGGAAAAGGTGTTCTTTGCCGAGGTCGTGAAGAAATACGATAGAAGATTCAAGGTGAAAGTCCCGACAATTTCGAATCACTCGAGCGTTCCTTAATTTATAAAGATATTATAAAGATAAAGATATTACCGCGAAGAAATCTATTTAATAACATACTTTTTACATTAAGATTAAAGCCTTTACGATGAATAATTTGTAAAACAGATGTGCAGAAGAGATCTCATTCTCACTGGCAAGTACCTTTATTTAATCGGCCGAGAACAAATAAAGAAAGGTCCCGAAAAGGGTAAATCTGTGCAAGTTATTAAAAGGAAGCTCCCATTTAATCAAATTAGCCACGTGTCATTAAGCACGCTGCAAGTAATTATCCTTTTATGCTAATCTGTGTACGTATTATATAATAGTATCGTATGCATTTGTTGATAATAATTTTCATTCCAGGATAATTTCATAATCATTCATACGAGGGAGGATTATGCCAGCTTATTAGAATCGGTATTCAAGACGGAATTCCTATCTGTTCTTGGCAAAAAATATCTCGAGGACATTGGCCATCCTTTGAATGTTAAATTTAGCAACGAGTAGGGGCTTTTTTATATTTCGTACATGGTTTATACTAACGCGACACACGTGTATAATGCATTCTATGCTCGAGACAAAATTCATAAATTTATTTCTTTTTCAGCTTAGAATTTAAAGTGAAGAAGGAAGGTTGGGCTGGCGGTGGAACGAGACACGTAAGGTTTACGCAAACCGATTATGGTGATAAGGAGATTTTAAAACCTTTCGGCAAAATTCTCAACGTCAGTATCGGTCCAGGATTACCAAATACAGCAAGTGAGTTTTTTATTTTGGATAATTCAATTTCGTATACGTGCAAATTATTAATTTAATAATTAAAATACCGACGAACAAATATATTTTTTATCATATACACATATGCGTGAAAAATATATAATTTCTTATTTATATAGACGCAAGTAATGATACCGCTTCTATTTCAGAACCCAATTCAGATCGATCAACATTGTTTGTTCGTTCGCATAATGATAACATACCGATTCGTTCAGCACCGAAGCTGTGCGATTTGACTTCAGTCACAATTGGGAACAATCAGACGATTATAACAGGTAAACCTCCTCCTCATCCGGTAGCAGCTGTAAGATCTACGACTTCTACACAAGCTACTTTAAACGGTAAACCAAACATTCCACCAAATCGTCCGAATGTTCAACCTATACAGCTTCAAAAAGCTATGAGAAATGGAACAAACTATCCTAACAAGCTACGGGATAAGCAGACTGCTGTAATGGGCATGTGTTGTATCAATCCCAATGCCGGACCACGTGGTAAGTTTCGACGAGCTCGATTTGAAGAAATATATCTTCAAATAAGTGAAATGCGCGAAAAAATACATAGCTTCGCAAAAATTACTTTAAAAAGAATTTTTAGGATGATAGGATCTATAAAATCGCGTATTAAATTAAAAAAATGTCAAGTGAAAAAGAATTATTTACATTTAACTATACATTAAGCTCACTTGCATAAATATTTAATATTCTTTTCCGGATGATTCAAAGGTATACTTAAATTTCCTCCACCACCTACGGACCCACCGCCACCGCACGAACCTATAAGATTCAAGTTACCCTCCCTCAATGACGAACATAACGCTTCCGGTCATCAAAGTAAAGGAATGCAAACATCCCAAGAATGGAACATGAAACAACCTAACGACGCGTTAAACCGCGTAAGGAGAAAGGAGGATAACACCGCGTACGCGGTCGCTAATAGAAAGATACCTCCCCAAAAACCGATACCACCGAGTTTGCCAAAAGTCAAGGCCTTGTACGATTACGAGCCGCAGGATCTCGATGAGCTAGGCCTCAAGGAAGGCGACATCATAGAAGTACTCAAAGAACGTGAGTTTATACATGTGATTCTGTATAATAAATAATATAATATGTTAATAATCGATAATATAAAAAGAGAGAAATAGAGAGAACATATAAATATGTTAGTATGGTATTAATTTCTTACTAAAATAACCTTTGCGTGCGTTATTCCTTTCTATTATTACAAGTTAAAAATTATAAGTGTGATATGTTATGTTAATCTACACAAAAAAAATGTAACAAAAATTCTTTACATGTTAAATAATTAATAAAATATAATTTTTGTAGATGAAGGCGGTTGGTGGCACGGAAGACTGAAAGGAAAGACCGGTCTTTTTCCTTCAAACTATGTTGAAAAAATATAAACTTTGTAACTGAATTTTCACTTAATTATCGAGAATTAGCGAAATAAGGAAAAACAATAAGTACACGTCTCCTATTCTCTGTTGTTTGCAATTTCCATGATACACTTATTGCGCGAAACTTGATTAAATATTAACGGAGAAGATCATTAATGCCAAAGTGAACAAAGAATTTGTAATTGAAAGTAAACGCAATAATTTTTGCGAGCGTATTGTTTGTTATAAATAACATAAATAATTAATAAAGATTGTTACGCGATAAGTTTAGTAGTAAAGATTGTGGAATCATAATATCATGGTTCAAATATTTCTTTTTTCTGAAGGAAACTCAAAAAACTCATCTCTTGTTGTATAATTCAATGAGTTTATAGACTCCAATAAACTTTATCTACGGTAAAACATCTCGTTACGAAATTTAAACAAAGAGTAAATATATCGAAAAGATATAGATCGTTGTTATTAGTTATTAGTGTATAATAGATTTGTAACTTTTCATGTACAGGTCGCAATCGATATTTATATAGTCAACTAAATATGTCACGGTTAGCAAACCTGAAGGTGACAAATAGTCAATCATATTGCATAAACATGTAACAATATGTATATAGTCACTGCCATCTGCAAAATATCCGCTAATAAAATTGTATCTCAATTACATTTTGTTGTTTCTTTTTAATTTTTAAATACTATATTTATTTTCTCTTCAAGTATGCCGTCTTATTTAAAGTATTTTTCACTTTATATTATGATATAATTTCTTGTGTAAAAAATGTTAAATGACAGATGTCATTTAATATTTTTTACATTCAGAAATTACGCCATACAAAAGTCTTATTCTAGATATATAAAGTTGATTATAATAAAAATAAAACGGCAGTACCACATCGATAGTATTATCAACATCATATTTATTATTTTCTTCTGCGGTACTTTATATAAGTCTTTCCTTATTCATGGCGAATGTTGCGCGATACGTTTTATTTTCTCGCTCGCTTGCACTCTCACATACAATACTATGATTAACATCGGCAAAGTAAAATAAAAGCACATGTTCACAAGACTATAGCATTGGCAAGAACGATTATCTTTACAATTATTATTTATCGTAGTAATACAGGATAAAATAAGTTATAATCGATCCAGTGTGCTATGATTTTATAAACATACAAGTATGCATAGGCACTAGAATAATAAATTATTGCTAAATCGTTCACACACAGAAACGATGTAATCCCTTAATCGCGTTTGCACGATTTTGAAAAAATTTTATTTAACAGCTAATAAATCAGTTGGGGTACCCAGTATATGAGTTTGGCTTACATCAGCCTTATTTAAGGCTTTAGCGAGATCGCGTAATGATCGACATATAACAAGAGTAAAGTCACGCTTCGCTTCGCAATGATATATTTCGTGATATATTTCTTGTTTTTCAATATTTTAACCGTGCAAAAATTTTTTCATTCTTTCATTATCTGAGAGCCATCGATATTACATGATTTTAGCTTAACGAAGATTCTTCAATTCTTTCGAGAATTAACAAAATTACAAGAATTAAAGATGAAGATATAAAATCATTTAAGACGTTATTATATAATGATTCACTTATAGATATACATGTGCATGTATGTGTGTATAGTGAACAGGGAATATTTTTCCCCAATGTGTATCTCGAAGCTTTAATTACATACACTCTAAATATGTTTCGATAATTATACACGTTCTCAAAAGGATGATTTTACATGGTCTGCTTAAAACATGTGTATATATCTGTGTATGAGTGTAATTGAATCGATCATTATGCTTGTATCACTCTAATATCTCGAGCACTTACGCGATGTTTTTAACGTATGCATTATTATACGCTTTTAAAAATAATTACATAAATTACTTGCGTATATATAGATATATGTTAGTATATTTGAATAGAGAGTATTTAACAGAGAGATGACGTAATATCAACTTTCAAAAGTTATTCTAAATTGTCTACAGGTAGACTGACACAAACGTGACAAACGCATTCGCAATGTTACTTTTTGTTTGGCGAAAAATATTGACAATACTCCTTGTGATTGTTCATCTAGCATAACATACATAAAACAATTAATTTCAGCACACGTTCTTTTTCTATCTTTATCTTTATATATTTTAAAATTTTACATGAGATACCGATGTAAAAAAAATATTTGAAAATTAATATCTTTTTGAATATTAAAATTTAAATATTGAATTTACGATTTTGTGGTAAAACCACAATAAAATAACATGTGCTTTAGGAGAAAAATTAATTAAATTTTAATATTTATTTTTCATATATTACTTTTGGCAGATAAATCCTGCATTCAATTCTTCGGAACAATCACATTACATATCGATAAATATTTTTCTTTTTAGACAATATCAGCAATTTCGAAAAAATTAGACAAATTAGAGAGGCAATAAATATTTATCAATGCATTTTCACAAAAATTGCATCAAATATAAAAACAAACATTCGTCATCCGTCAATTTTTTGCCTGCGAGATCCGTCAAACAATACGTGCTGCGTAACAAAGACCAACTTTTACAAATCGAACAAATAAATTTTTTTTTCTACGTGTTCTATTTAATCTACGATTAAAGCACTTGGAAATAACGTACCATTTCATTCGAAATACTTACAATCACACAGTGTGATATCGGACGTGCAAACATATCGTATAAAAGGAATTACCTTTAATGAGAAGTCTTAGTCGTTAAAAAAGTATACATCCCGGTAAAATTATTTCCCTTTAATGAATCCTCTCGCACCGTGAGCTTCTTACACAAGTAGCACGTAAAATATCAGTATTTATGGCACAAATAGAGTTCATGCGAATGAATAAAAACGAGTCCGAAAATTATACATATATAACTTCGACGCGCGCAAAGTTCTTTTTGTAATCAATCTATTCTTTGAAAATCAATTTAAATCGATATCTCGCTATCAATTTAAATCAATTATGGATTATCGATTAATTACTAGATCAATTTTGACGCATAACTAACCTCCGTAACCAGGTAGTAGCTATTAAAAATATTCACGGAACAACACACTATGATCAATCAAATCTGTCACTAATATTTTTTGCACGAATAATGAAATTTAGGCTCATTCTACAATGAGTCGTTAGTCATAAGCAAATTGACCAATCACAGTTAAGTATTTTCGAAATAATCGATTGTGATTGGTTAATTTGCTTACGATTAACGACCAATCACTCATTGTAAAACAGATCTTAAATTGTCACATTTCTTTGGTTTCTCAATTAAATATCTTAGCGCCACAAAATAATCTCTATATAAATTAGATGTTTCAAATTCACTCGCTATGAATTAAAAATTGTATTTGGTTTACATTTTTGAATTAATTATTAATTATACAAATATATATAATTGTGTGAACAAAATAATATAATACAGTATCAAATAATAACTTTGTAATTGATTACTTTTTAAATCTCATCGAGGCATATCTTTATTAACTAACTTCCACTCTTTTCATTTATTTCTTGCATTTGCATTCACTCTACTTTTGCTAAACGCATTTTATCTTCCAGTTTAAAAAAAAATTAGTTTTTATATTATTAATTGTGAAAGTATTTCGCATGATTTTTTATCCGATAACATATTTATCTATTTGCACACGATTCTATTAACGCGCGGTAATCCACTTAAAACACACAGTGAAATGCTTATTTTATGAAATAATCGATATTAGGTACTCTATAATATACAAGAAATTAAGTGCATTTACGCATCTCAATGATTAATATTTATCTAATGTTTGTTATTTTAATTTTTTGCGTTATTTTTCTTCAAAATTTCTTACGAATTTAATATATTTATAGTAAAAGCGAAATCTGAATCTATTTCGAAATTCATTTTTAATATACAATGAAAAAAATGAGTTCCTAAAAATAATCTGTGTGTGTAATCATGAGACACCATAACCATACTTAATTTTTCAAACTCTAATTTCGTCAATTCTTTGGCAACTTTGCAGTAAAATGGGTCATGCCTGGAAAAAACACGTGATTAAAAATTTATATTTTTTTGCATATTTAAAAAAACAAAAAAATTTTTTGTGCAAGGATAATCTCATTAAATAACAAAAACTCAACATAAATTATGTTGCTTGCTGAAATATTAAAGCTTTGATTAAGATGCCATTTAAATAAGAGTATAAAAAAAAGAAATAAGATTTTAATAATATAAGTAGGAATCACAATTTTATTTTATTTATTACTTTCATTTATTTTGAAAGATCTTATTGTTGGACCTTATATAATTTAAACATTTTAATTCAATATGAATTTGATTTAGGAGATTTATCTATCAGACTTAAGAACAATAACAAATTTCTATAAAAAGATTCTATAAAAAGATAATGAATAAAATATCAATGAATAGAATTTAAATTTTATATATGGGAATAATAAATAATATATTTACTCTTGATTTCTTCACTTTTTGAAATATCTTTCTATAATATCAAGCAACTTACCTTCAAAATAGCGTCAGAAAAACACGATAAATAATATAAACTCCTCATTGTACAACACAATTTTTATTTCGTTGAGCTAATCCAGCACGAGATAAATCGCGCTCTATCTCGTCATCATCCTCAATGCTGAAAATTGTATGGGAAAAGTTAAAACTTAATAATTTTAGAGAAATGTAATACACATAATAATATGTATCAATTATATTTACGCTCTCTCTTGTGTATCGAGATGATGAACCAATTCATCTCTTTTATTCACAATGGATACCAACTCTTCCAACAATAAGTTTTCACGCATTTTTTGCTCGGATGTTTTCCGCCAGTCCTCCACTGCAAGGATACTTCTCAATTCGCGATTTAAAAGTTCAAATCGTCGTTCTAAATCGTCTTCTTTCTCCCTAAAGATAATTTCATCAAATTGAGATTATTATGATAAATATTGTTTATATAATTTTCAATCAAAACGAAAAATAATATAAATCAATTAATCACTTACAATATGTTTAATTGCATTTGCCTTCTCAAAAGTGCATTCTTCTTGTTAACAAGTGTAAACCATAGAGACATTAGTCTTTCCGTTTCATCTTCATTATCACTCTCCATGGCTGCTCTTAATTGCTTTTCAAGTTTACCAGCTTGTATGTCGATTTGATTCTGTTCCCTCTCAAGCGCTTCCAGTTCATTTTGAATATACGATGTCATATCTTTACCCAACTAAAATGTTGAAATGTTATTGAAAAAATAAATCGTTATTACAACTCAATAAAAATTTAGAATATACACTGTTTCAAGTATATCATAATCACAATTTTTCAAACTTATGATTTGAGAGATAAATTAGTCAAATTAAATTAACATACCCCACGAAGTGTATACGGAGTTCTGTCAGGACTTCCTTTATCGGGTGAAATTCGTTCTATGATTTTGGAGAAAGAATACAAAGGTGAACCAGTTTTCTTTTCACCATCTATTACACTGGTATTCCCCAGAATGTTTCCATTATATTCAGACTAAGGAGTTAATTTATTTTAGTTAACTACAATTTATTATTTCCTAACATATAATCTCAGTGACATATTACAAAAAAAGCAAGAAAAGTATTATTTGAAGTACCTTTATGCTGAGTCTATCACCAGGGGTCGATGGTGTGATGCTACGTCTAGGACTATTGTTCTGATCGTCTATCGATCGTCTATCACTACTATTATCGTCATTCAGTTGACTTGGAGTCACAGTGACGCCCATTTTCACTTCTGCTATTAAGCGTCTCGCCCTTTCGCGCAATTGTTGTTGCCTTTCATCATCATTCTGTGTCTATAAAAAATATATATACATAGTGTATGTCTACAATCATATGCCTCGAGAAATGCTCGATATATTAGTGGGATATTCTTTAATACTATATAAATAGACAACCTCGACGGGACTAATCGCAGCAGAAACAAATCCGGATGGTTTCGTCTGATTTCTGGCTTGTTCTAAGAGTTGTCTCGCACGCTCTCGCAATTCATCGTGTCGACTAACTAATGGCTAATATAAAAAGAAAATAGAAACATAAATTGATTGATATCTTATGAATTAAAGTGGTAGTAACAACAAGAGCAAGTATTGTTAATTACATGCGAACGTTGATCTGCATATGGCGGCGATGCACCTTGGCATTCTGTATTACCTCGGCCTCCTCTGTCATCAGAATTTATCAAATCCTGCAAAAAATTATTCTTAATATACTTGCACTAATAAAACTTGGTTGCATCAAGATATTGTTGTACAATTTCTTCATGTATATATATATATATATATATATATATATATATATATATATATATATATATATAGAGCTCAGTTTAAAAATATTTTTGTACAAAGAAAGGAATGCAAACTGAAATAACACATAAGATTATTCAACTTTTAATTTATTTTTATTTAGATGTCAATTATAATATAATAAAAAATTTTTTTCTTATATAATTTTTGAAGACATTATATATACAAAATATATAAGTTTTAATTTTAAAGAAAATTAAATTTTTTGTACAATCAAAATTACATGTGACCTTTCTTTGCATACTTGTTACTTTAGTGTAGAAACATTGTAGGAACCCATTATAGAATATTTTGAGATAAGGCTTGTATTTTTTAAAGATACTTGTTTGCAATATTAAAATTTTTAACATGAAGCATTTTTAATAACTAAAAAGAGCAAAATCTTGAAATTAAATATTTGTTAAACTCGGCTAAAGACTAAAACTATATTTGCGAAAAAGAATTGAATGCAAAGCTTATGAGACAGCCTATATAAATCTACATTCCGAACATCGCGAAATATTTATTATTTTGCGCACTTTTCTCATGCACATTTACATGCAAATTTACGACGTATTGTATAGACAATACTTGGCAAAAAAGCGCAGTTATAAATTTGTACGCCAATAATAATGAATGAAAAGTAAAAGTAAAACAAAAAAGACGCTTTTTACTGATAAAAAAAATAAAGATACAACAATGCGCGCTTATTATGGATTTATTGTTAATGCAGCAAGGTATAATAAGAGGACTGCGTAAAAAGCAACAATCTGCGCAATCTCGTGTATACTGACATCACGAATTGGGGTTTGCGATTTGGTAATCGAGATCGATTGTGACCATTTGTCATCAATTATCTGTATGTTTTCCTCTTCATCGTCAGAGCCGAACGGATCAGTTAATTGGCGGCGTGTCATAAGTATTGGACGTTGCTGCGCTTGTTGCACTCTCGGTGGGGATTTACTCTGTGATAAATTCGTACTCATTTCCTCACAATGAAAAAAAAAAACTGCGCACCAGTTACGAATCAAAACTATATATAACTGATCTAAAGTCGCAAAAATCGGGAGCAATGTCAAAATGTTGTTCGAATTTTATTTTACGTACCTTCTCTCTAGACAAATATTTTTCTTTGGTTGGTGATAACACCTTGCCCAGAATGCTTTTCGAGCTAGCCAATATGATATCCTTGACTTCCTTCACGCTAGACGGCGACTTATCTTTGTTACATTGATCATGATCTTGATTATCTGTGTTCAAGCTCAAATGTAACTTATTTTTCAGCGAATCGATACTGATATCGTCCTTTTTATTATCGAATGGATTCGATCTACGAGAGTGAATCGCAAATTTCTAATTTTGATCTTTCGATTAAATGCTTCTATTTGGTATTATGATTTGTTTTGTATTAGCAGCAAGTTGCAATGTCATAACAAATATATTTACCGTCGATTATTGTCTGCTTTATTATTTTTCTGATCGATCTGTTCCTTCTTTCGTAAGTTAATAATTTCTTGACCAAATAACTGAACACTCACGTCTGTATTGTTGTCTGTGTTAAATCTGCCAATCATGTAAGAAGATTCATCTGTTGTTTTACCTATTTGATGTACCTAAAATGATTTGTTTAAAGCAATAACAAAGGATTAGTAGTATCACACCATGCTGTCAGTTGTGCCAAGTATAGCATTATGTAAAGAAAAAAAGAAATAGAATCACTGGTAAAGACACTAATAGAAGAGAATTTAAAATACCTCCAATTCATGGCCTGTAAAATGCGCTCTCAATTGATACAAATAAGTCATCACAGCCAATTTATCAGGTACAGTTAATATGTCCATGTCTGCTGGTTCTATAACTCTGGGTATGCCTAGAGCTTCGCCCGCATCAAATGCTCTCTTGCAATTGCCTTTTACATCGTGAGGTAACAGCGAATCGATATCTCTATAAATTTTTATTTCAAATATTATCCAATTTGCTTAAAAAATCAAATTTTAATGATGAAATCATAGCAAGATTATGTAATTTATAATTAGTTTTTAATACATTAATACAGAACATTTGAAATCATAAGACAATGTATCCAAGATAATTTATCCAAAGCACTTTATACAAAAATAATTTCTCATTTCAAAACGAGATAAATTCATATACATTGTAAATGTGGCGTCTACTCTCTCTTCTTTATATATTCATTTATTTGCAATAATTGTACATATATAAATACGTCGACCTTTCTGATGTCAAAAATAATCTTTAAAATGTTGGCACAAATTGGTTAGCGCGAAAAACAATGATGATCTCAAACTGTTTATTAATGGAACGTGTTAGTAAAATATTCGGCAGATTGCCAAGGTCATTGATTGACATTTTCTTCCTAAGGAAAAGTAACGCGAAGAATGCGACGATTTACGAAATTACAATATTCGATTAAGACAATTTCTATAACAGAAATACTTACATTAAATCAGGTCTAAAGTGATGAATAATTGCACAAAATGCCATTCCGTTTCGCCAAGATGTCGTCAAATTAGTAACTTTAACACCGGAGTAATCCTTAGTAACTTCTTTACACCATTCCAATAAGTCCTGACCAGGAGTAATCTCTTTCAGTCTTGGAATATTTGCCTCATTCTTTTTAAAATCCAATGGCTGCAGCGGCAACCTTAACGCGCTATGTTCAATGTTTTTACTGCAAAGATATATTCATAATTGTTAGATTATATATTATTATAACAAGCAAATAATCATGTCTATGTAGGTTTTTCATGTTTTTTTTAATTGAAAAAATAAACAGGAAATTACATATTCTTTGTAAAAATAGTAAATATTTAATATTATTGTTATATTATATTTTTATCTTATAGGACATAATACTGTACATACTCATTTTCAGCAGCAACATGATCTTTTATGGGCGATTTTTCTTTCAGAGAATCTCCAATTCCTGTTAGACTAATGTCGCGTATAAAGTGCTCTCCATCATTTACAGGGGTTGTATCATCCTTTGATAAACTTGCCACTATTAGAAGTATGATTATTTCATTGTATAGTAATAATAAGTAAAAGCAATTTCATAATTTATAAATAGAATTACACCAAGTCTTATTAAAACATATTTTGTAGAATCTTCAAATTGATTTGTATTCACATTCAATAAATTTATATTGTATCAAGAATGTGACTATTTGATTCTCATATTAGTGAGAATTAAAAAATATTTCTATTTTGATATTAAAATTTCCAAATAATGAAGTTGAAAACATGGTGTAACAAAATTAATTAATATCATGGCAACGATAATTATGTAAATATAAATTAATATATAAAAATAATTGTAAATGTTGAATTTTTAAAAAAATATTTATATTAATAATATATAAGAATCAGCACTCACCACTTATAGGAGTGCTAGGTAATTCACTTTCAGTAAGACTGCTTGTCATTAAATCGAGTTGAGCTGAGATATCTAATATCTCATCCAAGTTTTTTACCGATACCTCTTCAACATCTTCAGGTATATCTTCATTATCAAAATCATCCAATGGTGCAATATCGCTGTTATTATTAACCGACATTAAACTAGCCATACTTTGCATATCCTCATCCCTATATGGCAGATTAGAAATATTTAAGTTTTCATCAAGGAATTCTAGTAAAATGTATTTTAAATATTTAACAATAAATAAAATAATAAATATTCAAGTCAAATAGATTGAAAATTTAGTATTCAAACTCAGTAAACATACTGTTGTAAAAAAGTATTTAATTAGAATAATATATTTCTACTTATACAAAAATTGATTAGTCATTAAACTTGAATTGCATGCTTACGTTGCTTTGCCTTCTCGCAGGAATACACATGACAAAGTACATTCGAGTGTAGCACTAACAATCTTCTTAGAAGTTGGTTTTAAATCTAATTTGAGTTGTTGCTGGCTAGATTCAAGGGTTGCATACTTTTTCATATTTATATTAGTAGCAGCGACATGACGTCTTTTTCCCGTCGATGATACCTGCTCGATAACAGGACAATGTACATACACCACATGCCGCACTCTTTCGCAGATATATTAGTATACTGCACTGCTTACATCTTCGATGACAAATGTCCAATCTTTGTCTTCTAGTTCGTGCGTTCGTGGATCTTTGAATAGTGTCACAGAAACTGTGTGATTGTCAGGAACTGCCCAGCTAATAGCACCCTTAAGCGGATCACTCAAACTTGGCTCCCAGTCTAAGGGTTCCGAACTAACTCTTCTGCTACGTCTTGTCCAAACAATGCTCAGTTTGTTTGGTTTCCTATCAAAATATTATATATCGCTATATATTTTTTAAAATAATGTACATTAGTGTAATATTTATCTTTAACAAATTTATAATGTAACACTTTCTTTTGCATAGTTTTATAAAATAGATAGTTTTATAAAATAGATAATTTTTAAATTATTTCGTGTATACATATGTCATCTTTTCAAAATGCACATAGCCTTAAATAAATTACATAATTTACATAAATTTAAAACTGTCATTCAAGTTGCATTATTCTTAAACACATAGCTTGTGGAATTCAATTTAATTTATTTAAAAAACATGATAATTTATGTTTGCATAAATATCACTTGTTTTCTTTTACTTTTAAAAACACTTGTAAGTTTTCAATAGGATTGTTAATACACAATAAACAACATACATCCTATTGAGAAACACTAAAAGAATAAAATTCCCAATACTTTTTTTTTTATTCAAGTATAATTGGAAGTAATTATGTTTGTGAAAAGAAAACAAAGTGCGAGCTAACGAAGATAAAAAAAAATAAAAATAGAGTAGAACACAGAATATTTTTTTCAAAAGCGTTTGTATAAACAAAAAAAAGTTATCGGCATGATTTATTTGACAATAAAAAACAAAGTTTTCGCTCGAATGATTAACAATAAATCATTATACAGTCACTTACCATTTCGTCGTCGTTTCCAACGTGACCTCATGATAAGAGACGGTGAACTGAAACTTGGCGGCTCTCTTATTCACTCGCTGCAAACGTTTCCAGACGGAACTCATGGTTGTTCGCTTCGTTCTTCGTGTGGATTATTACTCGTTGGTCGTCAAAAAGCTTTACTGTCGACACGCGACACGACGCCTCATCATTTCTACGAAACACACATGCAATCGGATCAGATTCAAGCGATAACGATAGGCGCAAATCATTATTCACTTCCGAACGAATCGACTTTACCTCGGCAATGATCATATGTTCGATGGACGATCCTGTGCGATTCCACGCTCACGCGTGTTCTTCAACAAGCAAGTGAACTGTCATTCTCGCGCGTACATACGGACGTATAATGCTCCGAACGGAACATGCGTATACGCGTGCACGCACACACACACACGCACATGCAATGACGGGTTGAAAAAACGTGCCAGAAAAGGCTTAGTTGGATTCGCCTAAATCTCCGAACTCCCCTATCACCTCTAATGTCGTCTTCTACGACCAAGTCAGACAAAACTCGCCAAACTTCACTCTTGAAAAGATAAAACTGTTTTCAGCGCCATCTATTTTAAGATGAGCAAATTAAAACAATCACATGACGGCGGAGCAACGAGTCGCGCTAAATTCAAATACACGTCATACGCATGTGCGAATATATGTGTATATAATAAAAGAAATATCTATGAGAATTTATATTATTATTCTACATATAAATTTTTCTACTCGATAAATTTGCTGTAATATAATAATTAATAAAAACTGTGAAAATGTCAAAAATATATTTAATATGTTATAAATATCTTAAATCTATACTGTTGCGCATATGTGTGTGCAACTGTGTGTGGCATTTTATATTATTAATATAGAACATTTAATTATAATTGATGTAATATAAAAATATATCGGTATAAACTGTTGGGTAATCATGATATAATATATACAATTTAATAACAAAATGTAGAACATGTATTCTATATACATGAAATTATTTACAGAACAGAAACTATTTAATTAGTTAATCTAACTTGAGTTTTTTAAAAATTTCCATCTTCTTAGTTTACTTACATGTATAAATATTATTTCCATTTATCCCCGAAATTGTTTTAAATGCATTTACAATTCATCTCTATCTTCATCATAATCAATATTACTAACATAATTATTTATAGAATCATTATCATCATAATCATCATCATCATCATCATCATAATCAATATAATTTTCATTACAAATATTTGAAATCTCTGTACAAAGCTTCTCTTTCTTATTGCGTATACCATTAATGTATAACGATACTATATCATCCTCAAATTCTTCAACTATAACACTGCACTAAAAATATTAATACAAATTAATGAATAAGAATGTTCCAAATATCCAAATATAATAAGCAGCACTCACATAATGTTGTAGACTCTTATTTAAATCACTATCTTGAATTATATCAACTTCTTTCATTCGAGGATTCATTATACCTGGTGAAGACATGAGATTTAAAATTGTCAATTGATTATTAGACTTTTTTGTTGCTCTCACATAATCTGTCATTTTCTCACAGATACCATCCAACAAATCTAAGATGTATACTTCTGATCGATTTAATGGAACCTTCAAATAAACAAACATCATATTAATATAATAAAAAATGAATATATAAAATTTACAAAATATTGCAATACACAAGTGGCTAAAATATTCTTAAAATTATTCAATGTTGATAATTTATATATTTTTTTTATCATTTTTATTATTTACCTTTTTGTGTTTGGTATTTCCCTCAGCATCCATCCTATAACTACCTACATCGATCAATTTGTTAGGATCAGCTTTAGATACTTCAATTTGTAATTCTTTTAAAGTTGCCCTACAAACTAAGAGAGCAACAATTATTTTTCCACTAGTAACTTAAATTATTATTTAAATTACTACTTTAATAATAACTTAGAATACTATTTAAAGTAATTTGAATTGTAATTTTAAAGTTATTAAAGAAATAATTATTCTTTCATAAATTGAAATTAATTTTTACCTAAACATTTCAAATGTTTTAAATCGATTTCATTAGGCTCCGCAAATACGCTTATCAAAAATAGACTTACAAATAACAAGCCTCTCATCTGTAGATGTAAAATATTCTGGATTTTATATATTTCTCACAGAAAGATAAATTTACTTATCATGCAATTTTTACATGTATAATTTCAAAGAAAAATTCCATACCTTGTACATCAATTATTATGCAAGTTATGGTACACTTTCAATTATATATATCAAAGATTTATATGAAGTACAGAAAAAGAGCATGCGACACGTGTACCGTACATCCTCTGATGTATAAAATCTTATCAAATTCTTGTAAGCGAATGGCAACTTGTAACGTGTAATTCTTGATAGTGCCAACTGTTTAACTTAAAATATAAATGCTATAGTAATTATTCTATATCAAAAAATAACAAAGTTGTACAAATTCGGAAACAGTAATACACACATTAATTGACTTATTCATTCACTTTACTGATTATTTTATATGAAATTGAAAAATATGAAGTTAATATTGAAATCATATGTCAATTGAATTACCGATTTGATAGGTACGAGGGTAATTTAGAAAGTTTTCGGTCTGGTACAAAGATGACGCTGGTAGTATCATTTATTAATGGCAGTTTACAAACGCAGGTATTAATCTAGAACAGTTTATATAAAATGTGTGCAAGCTATAGAAAAAGACATAACTTTGTATAAATATATCAAATGTAATATTACAAATGTAATATTACAAAATATCCTAAACAATTTCCCTACCTTATAATCTCATTTAATTACACAACTAAAAAGTCTAAACCTACTTTCATAATTTATACAATTGCAATTTTCTATTATAAAATTACAATAATTAAATTGATCAACAAATCCAAATACATTATAAATATTAAAATTTTTAGATATTTATCAGAAATGCAATTTATCGAATGTGTTTACATTTCTAAGTCTCTAGAAATGAAGTTACAACTTCGCCTGTAAATTCAAATTATTGCAAGCATATAATGCAAAGGCACGTATTTTTTGTCATAAAATGAATAAAATAAATTTAAATAAAATCAATGATCGCGATTCCATCTCCAAATAGTTGCATCATCACAGACGCATAATAATACAGAACCATCTCGACTTAAACTAGTTTGGCGAATTGGTACAGTACAACGAGGATGCTGGAGAGACCAGCAGCGCGCTTGTCCAGGCTCTTCCATGTCCAAATCCCAAACATAAGTACGACCAACTTGATTACCTAACGCGATCGTGCGTTGCCAGAAATCCATAGAAAAACGTATAAACCAAATGTCACATTCCTTAAATTCAAAACGATGCATGACTGTCGCGCTCGTTTCTCCGTTACGCAATTGCGAATCTTCGAGTCTACCTGGTTTCCAGCACACAATACAGTTCTCGCAGGATTTGCTTAGGATAAAATCACCGAACCATTTCACACAATCGACATAGTTTCGGTGAACGTCGCGAGTGGTAAAGTCTGGGAAATGTTGGAGTATCGAATCAAAGGGTCTGCCGTTACGACTGGGATTGCAATGATAGGACTGTTTTATCGCCTCCTGCATGTCCGGTTTGTCCAAAGACCACAACTTGAGAGCGTGATCCATTCCGCACGAAATGATCCGTTGACCTCGTATGTCGAAATCAGCGCTCAATACTTCGTCACGGTGACCCTCTACACCACCAAAGATTGCAATACATACATCTGTCTTGATGTTCCATAATCTTAAAGCATGATCCTTCGACGCAGATAGCAATATGTTTGGATCTTTCGGATGAATCTTTAGCTCATTTATCGCATGTCCATGACCGATATAATGCTTAATGCAGGTCATTGTTGCGGGACTAATAATTCGTATGACTCCACGTGATCCGGCCACGGATAACAGAGGTTTCCCGGAGTCATCGTATGTCCAAGCACATGTATAAAAATTTTCCTCCGTGTCGGGATCGGCATAACACTGTTGCAATCGTATATTTCCACTTTGCGGGCACTCATAGATGCTCACTCGATTACTGCCTACGGAAGCGAATATTAATGGCTCACCCTCCTTCAAATGATAATTAAATTGCACTCCAAACAACGGTTGACCGTGATCCTCTTTAACATTACAACAATATTTGTACAATGGCTTGTCTGTAGAAGGTTTGTATTTGGTTGTTTTACTTCTGCGACGACCCTTTCGTCTGTAACGAGCACTTCGGGTAGGCGTATCGCTACGATGAGTGCCAGCAGTAGAATTACTCCCAATACTGCATTCAGTTACATCACTGTCATTTTCACTATCTTCCTGGCTGGATGCATATGCTTTACCAGTTGACTTTTTCATCTTGTAGTATATAAATTCTAATCTTTGCAACTTGAATAATATTGCAATTAGGAGAGAAACTCACATGCAGACAGTTTTACATTTAGTCTTTGATTAAAATGCAGTGCAAATCACTGGTACAAATCATCCTATACAATACTTAGCTTTGCAAGTATATCTTAAGTATATTGCGCCACTGTACCAATAATTGGTATACCACTATTTAATCCCATTATTCCTTCCATTATATTTAAAAGTCTGCTCCCTAAATAGATACAGGCTTGCATATCCTAAGAATAAAAGATAGAATTTTAAATATAAATGCTTGAGCAAAATGATTGTGATAATAAATTTTGATAATATACATAAAAATTCTTACGAAAACATTGGCAGAGAGAAAACGAATATTGTATTTGTGACAAAGTGCTTTTGATTTATGAATCAATCCCATAACATTACGGATTCCATTACAATTTACTAAACAAGTTGCACCAGATATTATGTAATGTTCATCTATTATGGCTATATTAGCTTCTATCTTAAAAATTGACAATAATTAATAAAGTAATTTATAATAATTGATTAATAATAATTAGTAATTAACAAAAAAAGTGATAACATAAAAAAATATACTAAAAATATATGCTTATACACATTTGAAAATCCAAAGGATACTTACTTCCGATAAGGCATGGGCAACTTTCAAGTCGGATGCAAAAATAATAAAATCTACAGAGATATCTATATTTGCTTTTACAACATCAGCAATGGATTCACACTGATGCACAGATATATGCCATCTCCTCTCTCTTGCATTTTGATGTAAGCCTTCCGATATCTTGTGACATAACTCAGCCGATCCTACTATCTGTGGAAATAGATTTTATATTAGAAATATATATTTATATAGCAAAAATTATATATTAAATATTACTACGATCCAGAAAATTATAATACACTTGGCATAAAATTGATTTTTTAGCAAGCTATAAAAAAAATTATTCTGTATTTTTTACTTTTAATTTTTCACAAGAAATTTTGTCAATTATAATTCATTGGATCATATTACATATATTACCATCTTTTTAAATAAATTTTATTATTATATAAAGTTTATTTAAATTTGAAAGGAAATATAAATTAGTAAAATATAAATTAGTATAATCACAAATTGTGATAATTTTCTGAATGATGACTTATATTATAAAACAATTAAATTATTAAAAAGATTTACTTATTTATTAAAATAACAACATATTTCAATAGAATAAAAACAACTATAACCATTCATATGGTCAATATAATTTAAAGAAAGTGGATTAGAATTCATAGTTATATATTAGATATATACACATATATGCTGTAGATAAAAATTTATCCTCTTTTCTTCTCATTTATGTTTAAAAAACATAAGCCTAATAATAATTTTATTATTGAGAAACATGTGAAATTTAAAAAATCAAATATATATAAATTTATCGCAATATAGCTGAAAGCAATGTAGCAGTTTTCACTTTTCCTTTGGAAAATTATAAAATGTAAAACTATAAGGAAACAATGCTAGTTTATATGATTTTCTCCTTTTTAATGCCGCACATTTACCATGAAAGATATCAAACACTCGCTTCTTCGTACTCTACCGTTTCTGAAGATTTCAGCCATGGTTGAAATGCCATTCCTAGACAGTTGGACCGGCAAGACGCTTCAATGCGTTATTTTTAATACCGTTTTCGAATGGTCGAATACTTCACCCTGGGTACTTTACTAGACGTCATTGACCAATCACAGACATTCTTCTGAAGAATATAACCATACATTCTTTAGAAGAACGGCTGTGATTGGTCAATGACGTCTAGTAAACTATCCTGAGTAGGGTCAAACCCGACCATTTGAAAACGCCATTTAATTTTCAATGAGAATACGGCCACATGGACTGATATTTTCCGCGTAATGCGTACCGCGTAACCAATTAGAGGCGTAATTCTGTTGTGCTCCTGTTATGCTATAACTGAATTACGCCTCTAATTAGTTATGCGGTACGCGTTACGCGGAAAATATCAGTCCATATGGCCGTAACCCTGACTGTGATCAAGGAGACGCTGAGAATGCTTTGAAGCGTTTGATTGATCAATCAGGTAAGGCCGGGTCTACAATAGACAATTTAAGACCTAAGCCTTAAGAAATTGACCAATCACAGTCGAGTATGAAAAGAATACTCGACTGTGATTGGTCAATTTTTTAAGATTTAGGACTTAAATTATCTATTGTAGACCCGGTCTAAAGAAATCTTTTCTCCTTTTATCCTGATTGGTCAATCAAACGCTTCAAACATCCTCAGCGTCTTTTTGATCGTAGCCAATAGCCGCATTCAGCAGGCTCATCAGTTGGGCAATATTACTAGATTTTCTTATGTAATTCGACGCTGATTGGTCGGACCTGAAAGTAGGAACCAATCATGTTTTATTGCTACTTAGTGGTGTGTCCGCTGAATGCGGCCATTATGTATACTACATACGTCATAAACACATGAGAAAACGTATATATGTATATACATGAGGTAATAATTGCTTTTGTGTTGTATGACAAATAATAATTTAATCAAACTCGTTTGGTTGCATGTACGAGTGCAAGATATCAGCCTATCATAAAATGCCTAATGCAAATTAATACATTATATATTAAAATACAATATGCAAATTAATATAAATTTCATATTGAAGAAAATTTAAGTTATGAAATAACTTCATTAAAATTGCGCTTTTTTGGTAAGAGAAAGAAAAGAGAAATATTGTTGATTGTTGACTTACTGACTAGATTTATCAAAATTTACTTTAATATAGTGTTTTTCATGAAAAAGAAGAAGAAGGAATAATGCCATTTTATTTATCGGTTTGAAATCGCGTCTACTAAAAGTCCAAAGTTTGATTTGATATATGTATATATATATATATATATATATATATATATATATATATATACGAGTTGTGAGAAATACAATTTATCTTTCACAAATTCGAAATGACATCTACTATTATGTCGAGTGATAATTGGAAATTAAGTTGTATTCTGGGAACTGGAGGCTTTGGAATTGTTGAACTTTGGGCACATGTCCAGAGTGGCAAAAAACTTGGTAAACTACAATATGATTATATACACATTACAAATTATTTATATCCTGTTTTGCAAAAAATTCTCTAAAGAGAAAATTGATATTGATAAAATTGTGATTTTGATTGATATTAATGTAAAATGACGATATTAATGTATAATTATGATTTTAGCTATAAAAAAATGCAAGTGGAATTACTCACAATTGACTACAGTGCAACAAAAAAGATGGTCTCATGAAGTTGATATAATGAAACGTTTGAGGCATCCAAACATTGTGAAAACAGAATGTATCCCATTCAAGCTTCCAAATGTAGAAGAAAACCTGCCAGTTCTGTGTATGGAATATTGCAAAAAAGGAGATTTAAGAAAAGTTGTATTTTAAATTATTTGCCTGTATAAATTATATTTTTGATCTTTTATCACTAATAAAATAATTATATATGTACTCTCTTACAGATTTTAAATCAGTCAAAAAATTGTTGTGGAGTTGTTGAAATAGAAGCAATCAAAATAATGACTGAAGTTTTATCAGCTGTGGAATATTTACATTCACATAATATAACTCATCGAGACTTAAAACCAGAAAACATAGTATTACAAGAAGAAAAAAATATGGTAAGATAATGAGTCGTATCTTTATTGAAATTATTAATAAGTGATATGATTTTATATAAAATATATTACAGCTTTCATACAAATTGATAGATCTTGGATATGCTAAGGAACTTGGAGAAATGAGTACATCTGCTTCTTTAGTTGGTACACTAAATTATGTTGCTCCAGAACTTCTCTGGAAAGAGAGATACAGTTGCTCTGTTGATTATTGGAGTTTAGGAATATTGTTTTACGAACTTATAACTGGAACAAGACCATTTCTACCAACAATGCAACATACCATGGAATGGTAAAAAGTTAGAAATGTAATGTGTAATGCTTAGAAAAAATAGTATATATTAAATTATAAATTTAATATAATTTTGCAGGATGAAACATATTCAGAATAAGAGTTATGATGATATTTATGCCTGTGAAGTAGAAGGAAAAGTCATTTTTGGGAAAGATATTCAAAATCCAACTCATTTATCAAAGTATATAATCCATTTCATATGTTGTGTATATTCTTTTTAATTTAACAATCTAAAATGTGTAACAAATATCATACGTATTGTTACTTTATTTTATATAAAACAAAAATATTGTGTTTATATCTATCTTTTGTTTGATACAATTTCTTTCATATAAATATATCTACATCTTATAATATCATATTTTTTTCCTCCAGTTGTCTCCAAAGCAAAATGGTTCAATGGTTCAGACTAGTTTTACAGTGGAATCCACATACAAGAGGTAGAATGATCGACGAGTCTGGTACATCTCATTTAGTGGTATTCACAATGTTGCAATATGCATTATTAAACAAGGTATGTATTTGTAGAAATTAAACACCTTTATTCTTATTTTTTTCTTCTCTTTTAATCTGTATTTTTTGTATTTAGATAATATATATTTTCTGTGTGCCTTCTTATAAGATTTATACATATGAAATTGATAATGCTACTACTATTAGAGATCTTCAGTTATTAATAGAAAACGATACTGATATCGAAGTTAAACATCAAATGCTTACAAATTACAATGGCATGATGCTCACTGAAAGTACTGCATCAATCATTTCACAAACTAATGTATGTATATTTGTATTTATATATAATGATATATGAAAGATAAAATATTATTTTTAATACAATTTTTCATTATTTCTATTACAATTTTGCTGTAGGATCATATTTTCTTTCTCTTCAGAGACGGATGTTGTTTAATAGAAGATATACCTAAACCAAATATTCCTAAAGCAGTGGAAAACATGATAATACAATCAAAAAATGAATTAAATTATGAAGTAGTGAAAGATTATTATCGCCATGTGATATACTTTGTGACTAAAGAAGTTAATTTATTTCAATTATACATTTTTGCTCTTAGTATAAATATGTAAGTCTTTTATACAAAATTGTCATTTATAGATATTTTTATAATTAATAAATTGTAAAGATATATATTATTATACAATGTAACATTTATCATATTACAGAGATTTATTGCATCAAAAAATCAATGCATTTAATACAAACATGGAAATGACGTTGGAAAATACAAAAGTTCTTATAGACCAAGTACGTACAATTCGTATGAAGTATGTGAATACAATGGATGAAGACACAATTGATAGAAGCAAAACACAGATCTATTTTGATAAAGTTGATAAATTGGTTAGTGCAGCCGATCAAATAAGAATGCAATTTATGTCTCTGAAGAAAGATAACGATAAATTGAGAAATAAAGCTCAAAGTATCGATTGTGTGAGAGATTTATCAGAAATGTAAGTAATAGATAAGAATATCATAAGATATTTTGTCACATATATTTTGATATTTTTTAACTTAATTTTCCTTATATAGTTATGATAAAATGTGTGATATATATTCGGAATTTAAAAAAGAAAGTCCTCGTAGGACAGTAAAGCCACTGAACATGGTAAAATTAGTATTTGCATTCTTGACTACACGCAATGCACAACTTCAAAATAAAAACATAATTGATATTATAAGGTATTAAAAATTTTGCTTTGTGATGTATTTTATGCATGATAAAAATTAAAGTAGTCTCTAATTTAATTTCTTATTTGCATATGCGTTTCCAATAGGCAAATAGATAAATTAAACGATGGATTGCTGAAGCTGGAAAAAATATTCAATTCTGTTACTGTCATGACGAAATTATATTGGAGAGAATATCAGTTAATCGCACAATTGGACATGTCTCCGATATGCCAGCAGCAGGGCAATCAATCTTTAAATATTTCGTCCACTGAATTAGATAAGGTTATCCAATCAGAAGACAATGTGATATATGATAACTTGGTTATACGTTGCAGGTAAGTCTCCTCCAGTTATGTCATTCAATTTTTAGGACAAATTTATCTTAGGTTCCAATTCTTTAGGTTAGATAAATTGATGGCTGAAATGCAGAAAAAATGTGCCAAAATAATTAATTTGGATCTATGATTAAAAATATAAAAACATGCATATATGTATATTCTACATGGTATATCTTATATATATTATAATTGTAAAACTCACATTTTAATTTCTATATTTTAATGTATTTAATCATGGAAATCCATTCGTTTTCATACTCGTGGAACATAATGTCGCACGCCCCACTTGATATTGGCATATTTATCAGTTTTAACAAACGTGTAAACTGGCTTATTCAACAATTGTTCCGATTTTATTATTTGATATCTATCCTTCTGATCTGTTAAAAAATATATTTGTTGAAGAATACTTATGTTCCTTTTTTTTTTAAGGCCTCTATATCTTTTTAACTTTTTAAAAAAATCATATATATAAGAAAACTTTTACGCATAAACAGTCTATCCATTATATTGTATAGATATGTAAGAAATGTAGATATTTTGGTTACAAAGAATATATATTTAAAAATCAAACTAAAAATAGTGGCTGTGAAAAATAATATAATTTATGATAAATTTTATGTATATTTTTAGTTTAATGCACAATTTGTGTGTTTTCAATGTGTGAATACATATGTAAACAATATTTATATATGTTTCAAATAATTTCATAAACTCGCCTTTCTCTCAAATTATTTTCTTCTTTTATAATAACTTACCCTCCTCAGATGCGATAATCATGATCATGATATTAAGAAAAAAATAGAGAATAAAATAAATTTTAAATATCTGAAATGCAGACATGTAATATTTAATAGAATCAATGAAATATATATTTTCAAAATATATAATACACTTACTTGTGTTGTACAAAATATGCTCATTGTTCTTAATATATCTACCCAGATATTCTGTTAGACTGTTCTTGTAATGGATCAGCAAATGCTTAAGTTTACCAGTTCTATAATAAAAAGTGTAACGGTTGAGTGATTATTTGTTAATGTGTGTGTGTATATATAGTGCATGAATACTTTTTACTACACTTTCCCTTAATCTCGATTTTTTAAATATCTGTTTCTCTTATTTGTCGTTGCTGGATTGTGGAAAGGAGGAAAAATATTTTAATTCTAATGAGAAATGCATTTTAATATAAATATATGTTCCATGTATACAATAAGATATATTTTATTATAAAATTTATATACATACCAATTGAGGATTGTACACATCCACACATAAATTTAGGATTAAACAACGATGTTAAAATAAATATTATGTTCTTTATTCGCTATTACTTTCTCCACACTGACAAATTTTACACACCAGACTATTTTTCCTAGATTGTCCACATACATCAACGATTATGCAATTCTGTGTATAAAAGTCCATTGTACATTAAATTCGAGAATGTAAAAAAAGAGGAAAATGCGGACTTTTAGAATATCTATTCCAATCACATTTGAGATAGATATTATTCATTGTCACTAATATCCTCGTCAGTCGTGAACTCGGAATGTTCATCAGCTGCATCTACATCCTCTGCAGTTTCTTCGTCCGAAATATCCCATTGTGGATGCTCGGTCGGTACTTCTGGTGCTTCCTTTACGTCCAACTAAAAGACGATACATATCAATACATTGTTGCAAATGTGTAATTGTAAAAAAAACCGAGACTTTTTACGCAAGCACGCATACATACGTTGCTTTGTTTTTAAATTACTTACTTTGATATCTTGAGCTTGATCGAAACCCAGATACGAATCGCTACGTAAACACACGGTAAATGTATACAACCCTGGCCAACGTGGTGCCGTGAATCTTAGTTGCACTTCTTCGAAGTGTGCTAAGGACGTGACGTGTATAGGGATTGTTAACAACGTTTGACTTTTGCGATCACAGATATAGACCCACCAATATTCTTGCTTAACATCGGGAAAAAGCGGGCAATGCACTTCATGCGATAGATTACTCCTACCCTCTAATACCCTTTCCCTCTTGGAGATTCTTTGTTGGAATCTGTTTAAAAAACAAGAGAATGCATTTATAATGAATGTATGTATTTCAAACGAAATACATATAAAGTGTAATATATTAAAATATAATGTATTATTTGATATATAATGTAAAAAAATAAAAACTTTTTTTTACTTTTCCCATTCTGTATCGTCGTCCTCAAAAGACACGTCCTTCTTGTCATGACTATCTTCGTCGTCACTTCTCTCGCTCTCGGCTTCACTGTCACTGACGTCGGACAGCTTTTCCTTGGAAGACTCTTTCTCCATCTTATCATCCTTTTTTCTTGCATTAGGAGTATTACTATGTTGAATATTATTGGCCACAGTCTGGGACTGCGCCTGTATATTTTTAACAGGAGCAGGTTTCTTGTTGGTTCCTTTTTTATGTGACTTCTTTTGACCTTTTTTTTGTTTAAGCCATGCCGGTTTTGCAGCTTTTGTCGAGTGGTTTTGTTCTTCTGAGGCCTCATCGATTGCTTCACCTCCAGCTTTATTTTCATCAATCATTGTTTGTTCATTGATGGAATCATCTCCAAAAAGATGTCTCATATCTTTTCGCGTTAATGATACCGTTACAGTTACGATAGCACCTGCAGTGTAGACTGTAGGATTCTCATCATCGATTACTGAAATGTACACAGTATAATATGAGAATAATAAGTTAAAGATACAATATAAATCATCATATTGTTATAGTCAACATAAATGTACTTAATATGTTATTTTTAAAAACCGAGTAACAAAGAAAATGATTAAATTACCTTCAGATCGTACTTTGAAATCTATGTACGGCATATTTCCGAGAACTTTCATAACATCTTCATATTGACTGTCTGACAAATTTCTAAGTATCAGTCTTCGTTCTTCTCCTTTCAATTGTGCAAATTGTTGAAGACTTTTGATTTGACGCTAGAGAAAGGTCACATTTATTTCTAAATATTATCAATGTATGTGATTTTCATTGATAAAAACATTATCAATATAAATAGAAATTCATTTTTATCAATACCTTCTTTGCATGGAAGTATTTTAAATTTTCCTCAGTTATATGTGGTAATTGAAGGAGAGGGTTTTTAAATTCCCAGAATCCTTGAACAATCATTGGACACAATTTCATACAATTCTCTATAGTTGATATAGTTGGCACCCGTGGTACTATAAAAAAATTTTCATTAGTTATCTATTCTACATACAATTACATATGTTATAATTTGAAAAAAAAAAATAAATATTTACCTCTTCCAGCATAAGCTAAAAGTATTACTTGATGGACACAGGCAACCATTTCTTGAATCAAATATGGACATTTTCTTACAATATACTGTCTGTCTTTATCTAGTGTCTCAGGATTGAGCGGTATACGTGATAAATGTGCGTGCAGTAAGGCTCTAGCTTTAATTGAATACAAATGGCATAGTGGTACTTCTCTGTTTTTCTCTCCCAAATTGGGCAACTGCTTGATAAGCTGAAATATGTACACAAAAAAACGATATATATACAAAGTGTGTGTGTAGTCTATACAGTAAATTTGTTATATATTCATTTAAAAAAATAAATAAATAAAAAAAATGTCGAGATACGAAATACAATTAAAAATTTACCGCAGGAACTTCTTCAATATCAGTATGTCTTTCAACAATTTCTGCATTGCGTTTCTTAAAAAATTCAAAAGAAGCAGCAAGTATCATGATCACTCTCTTCAATGACATAGATGGTGTTTTCACAAAGAAAACATAATAGAGCTCAGTTGTTGTCATAAGAACCTAGAAATGTAAATATATATATATATATAAAACTAATACTTTATCATTGTACAAGGATTTACTTTGGCATATAAAAATGCCAATTACTTGATCACCAGTGTAGCGAATGCTCTTGTACCACCACATTCCTACAATCGTTGGTAAAGCAACCATGAACACTAATGCATATAATCCCAAGACCCACACAGAATTCTCTTTTTCAACAATCCAGGAAGGTAAAGCTATACCAAAACTCATTGCCCCTGGACCATCTGGATTTCCATATTTTTCCCAATTTTTTCGCGCTTCATCATCCGTTAAAGCTTGATAAGCTATTTTTGTTAATGAAAAAAAAATTTAGTTAATCTGTATCCAAATTTAGAATATTTATTAGTAATGAAATGCAATTTTTTTCTTTTAATACCAGTGTAATAAAAATTAAATATGATAGTAAATTTTTAGTCATTAAGAGATTAATTTCAAATGCAGATATTCTAACCAATCCTAGGTCATTCTACATATTGTAATATTTGTATGCAATAAATGTGTTATAAATTTATCAAATATACTGTAAAATATATTTAATATACAAATTGCGATGTGTTTTCTCAGTTCTATGTATAACTGTATATCTACAATCTCGATGCTCTATACCTTTAGTTAACTTCATAAAAGCTTTTCCATTTCCAGTTTCTTTATCAGGATGAAGAATTAATGAAAGCCTACGATAAGCTTTCCTAATTTCACTTTGCGAAGAACCCTACAAATTATATACAATTAGAGCTTGGTATTATTTTTATGTGCAACAACAAATCATTATACGTATAAATTTTATATACTCACAGCTGGTACATTTAGTATTTCATATGGATCAAAATTGGCCATTTCATAATCAAACTGAGACACTTTATATGCTAAGAATATCAAGATGGCCCATCCCAGAATGATTAAAAATTTCCTACAATGATAACATAATTTTATTAAAATAAAAAGATAACAAGCATACACTTTATATATGTATGTGTATGGATACATGTGTGTGGGAATCACAGATATTTTTCGCAATAAAAACTTACATAAAAAAAGCCTTAGTTTCCTTCCAAGGTTTATTTGCTTGAAGAATAATTTTTTTCTTTTTGCATCCATCGCACTGGCATTCTTTGGCTAACTGATCAGGATCTGAATAAAATTAGAAAAATTATTACATATGCAACAAAAATTAAGAAACATATCTTGAAATACTATTATCATATTTTTTATTCAAAATTATGTTATACTATGTATTATTTTGTTATATTTAAACAACAATGCTAATTGAAAAAAAGCATTCTTTGATTATTTGTTTGAATAATATGAAAATATTTTTAATATATAATTATAAAAATATAATAGTTTATAAAGTAGCATTTTATTACAATAAGATTCAAGAAAATATGTAAAATTAAATATTTCATTTATAACTTTTCTAAATATTTATCCACATAAATAATCTATATATATTTATTCAAGTATTTTCCTTATTTCGCTTTCAATTCTTGTTATCAATATTGAAAAATTATCATATTACTATTGTGGAACTTAATAATGTTAAGGTGAATTTTAATAAAAGTTTTATTGTACATACAATTAGAGATTTTGAAATTAATACATTTTTAAACTATTTAAGCAAAGTTTTAATCATTTAAAAACTTTATACTTAGAAAAAACAAATTAAAACTGAACAAATATCAAAATTTAAATAAAAATGAAAGAATTTAAGAATTTTCACATAAATTTTATACGATACAAAAAATAGTCTTATAAAAGTGAATCACCAGACTCTAAAGAAATGTCAAAACCATATAATCATAATGTTTATAATATGACTAAATTTATCAATTAATATAGATACTAATATTACATATATAAAAATCGACGAGTAACCAAATCAAATATTTTTGTTTTCCCACATTAAGCGAACATAACATTGCTCCGATGAAGCGAGATAAGTCGAGATGAAGACATAAGATGAGATGCACATTTGTGCGACCGAGAATCGTGTTCGAGGAACGATGATTATGTGGGGGGGAACGGCATCACGTTGATCACGTAAATTACTCGATCTGAAAAATTGGATCTCGTCGTGATCTCTAACCTTGTTTCGGGCAACGTGGCCAGAGGTAGTAGGTCCCGGGTACCAGCAGTAACGCCAAGAACGAGAGCAGAAAGTAAAAGAACGTCCCTCCGCTCTCGTCATACTGAAACTTTTGACCGCTCATCGCTCATTAAGTACTACGGAGTTATTTTAAATGATAGACCGTTTAAGTACATTCATTCGTAACATTATCCGGGCTCGCGCTGCAAATGTGCACGGACACATGCAAATCAACAGTTAGCGGGAGAACTGCCTTGTCAAGACTGCCAACTCAGCACCTCGAGTACCCCTCGGCAGTCGGCAGTTCGGCAGCTCGATGCACGCACTCTATCGACTCTGACGTACGCGCGACGACTGACGACTGACGTGACGTTGTGAAGTTGGTGTTGGTGATCGGTTGATGACGTCGACCGTCGACCCCGTCCAAGAGTCGGAGTCGGAGTCACGGCTATTAAATTGGGTTACACATTACACGTTAGACGACAAGAGATCGTCATCCAACGGTCGTAGGCACGATGAAAAAAAGGCCTACAGACAATGGCCTTTTCGAGGCGAATGCCAACACGTAGGATTAAATTTATATTCGTTTCGATTGCTCTTATTTTTTCGTTTCTCTTTCTCGATCATTATCTGCGATGTATATCATATGTTCATCTCGTTTGACAGGTGCACACATCAGCTGAAATTAACAGATATATTAATTTTTCATACGTTCTCCTTTATATAAAGTAAAAAATAATAAAAAAATAAGATAAAACATTACTTACTGGAAAGGAAAGAAACAAGGCATGAGAGAAGGAAATGAAAAAGTACAGTGCAAGCAACAGGACGTTGCTATTTTAAATAACGGTTTCTTTAATACGGTCTTTTAACATCACGAATAAGCGTATCATGCACACAAAATTCATAATAGAAAAAAACGATTCTCGTAATGTATAGTATAAAATTTGTCCAATCTAGGAGCGAGAAAGAGCAAAGGCGGGAAAGGAAATCAAAAATATATCGTAATACGTAAAAATACATCTGGTTGATTCATAACGTACATTACTCTTGCTCTTGAATTTAATTATATAAAGCCGCTATTTCTATAGCACAATATATATACATTTTGTTCCACAAGAATTACACGCATACATTAATCTGTACAACTCTGTTTTAAATAAATGTTTTCTTAAAATTAAATTTCCACGACTTTTATAATTATATAGAAATAAAGTATAAAAAGAGTAAGTTAAGTAATATTGTGATCTGTTCTATATCTGTTTTTGATTTATACCAATATTCTTCTCATTTTTCAATAATCTCTCTTTTTTCTTCGTTCAAACTTAAAATATGTGCGTGCTTCATAATTATCGTATAAATAATTTATAAAGTAATTCAGAGTCATGAATAAGTCATGCGATATAACCCCACTGTAACATTATTGTTTGATGGAGTGAAGGGAAAAATAATACACGCGGAGATCCAAGAGAAATACTCTCTCGTAAATAATTTTTTTTATCTCTGTGCGGAAAATGTGTGAATCATTTTGTGTACTTTGTCATACGCTTGGTATCGCGTCATTCTAAGAATGTTGTTATCGCATTGATCTCAGCAGCACAAGCACAACAGCGGCAACGCACAATTAACAATAAGCCTTCCTTATCGAGCGTTCCAAGCGCTCTAATAATATTTCTCGCGCAATAACAACGCGACATAAATAATATTGCATTGTTGCATCGTACATCGCTAAATGAGGCCGCGGAGTACAGTGTCAGTAGTAATTAGTAGATCCCGATTTGCGCTACATCGCGATCGATGGCTTCGTTGTGCGTGTTAATGTAAATACTGCCAACGTATGATTTACCTCGATAAAAATAATTGTGGTGGCATGGTGGCATGCACGTTAAACGCACGAAAATGCTCTGATAAGATATCGTCGACGGTTCTGATGCACAGTTTTTCGTCAGGTAGGCTATTTAATGTTCTCAGCACGAGGTTAAGTATACACTGTCCTATAGCTTTCTAAATCGAACCGGCATCACTTTGCGATAAAACGCTTGACTTGTCACATGGCATTTTGTTTACTATACATTTCTATCCAATTCTAACATTACTACATAAAATTCTAACAGTACTATATTACTATGTTAAATGCTACGCTATGTAATTGGGAAAAGGATTGCTACAGCAGAAAGTTATTCGCTTGCTATAATAAGATAATTGGTTTGTGTTGATATAAATCTTAATCTAATACCTAAAATTTTTCCTTTATACAGGATAAATACGCTTCAACAATATGGATTTGACAGTGAGAAACGTTATCGAATGGACATGCACCGATGTAAAGATATGGCTCATAAGAAATGGTTACGAGGAGTATGCAGATTTATTTTATTTTCACGAAATTGATGGAAAAGTCTTGTTGACTCTAAAGGAAGAAGACTTAAAATCAAGTATTTTGAGTATAAAGAAAATTGGTGCTATAAAAAAATTATATCTCACTATAAAACAATTGCAAAGAGACAATGTTGCCGCTTTATTCGACTTGGGATATATGGATTTGTCTCCTTCGCCAAATTTTTATACTCCGCCGAAACATGAAGTAAATAGAAATTTCTTCCAATTAATGCTTTTTTGACAGAAGAATAGATGAAACGCTACATTTGAAATAATCTTACTGTAGATGTCCACTACTGGTTTAAATAATGAGGGATCTATAGAGCACGAGTTTTATTCAGCTTCTGTATCAGACGATGGACATGCTTCTCATTTACCACCTGAAATTTGGAAGACAGTTATTAGTTTGGGATATTTGTTTATCGTCACATGGATAACTGCCTTTGTGATGGTTATTGTCCATGACAGAGTGCCTGATATGAAGAAGTATCCTCCATTGCCAGATATATTCTTAGATAATGTACCTCATATCCCTTGGGCATTCGATATGTGTGAGGTCACTGGAACTTTGCTCTTTGCAATATGGCTTGTTGTGCTTATATTTCACAAGTATAGGTAAAGAAAATTATAAATCCATTTAAAAATATACAAGAATATAATTTAATAGTGAATAATTTATTAAATGTGCAACAGATTCATTTTACTACGGCGATTTTTCGCATTGTCGGGCACAGTCTTCCTATTAAGATGCGTAACAATGATCATTACTTCGTTATCGGTGCCGGGTGCGCATCTACAATGTCAACCACGTAAAGTCCCAGAAGATTGGTCAAGGTGAGATAAAACGATAAAGATAGAGAGATAGAAAGCATATTAATATATATAACAATATCTTTTCTAAATATAAATAATATATATTTACATTCTCTTTTTTTTAGTTCTGCATATATCGAGTTGTATAATAAAATAGCAATGGCTTATGTTATTTGGCGAGGTGCCGGTATGTCTATTCAAGGTGTAAGAACTTGTGGAGATTACATGTTTAGTGGACATACGGTAGCATTAACTATGCTTAATTTTTTCATCACAGAATGTAAGTAACAGTATTACTTCTCGACAAAAAGAAGCTGTAATTTATAAATATACATTTTGATATATTTACTTTCTATTACAGATACTCCAAGACACTTGTATTTTTTGCATACTTTTACATGGATGCTCAATATGTTTGGTATTTTCTTCATTCTAGCGGCGCATGAGCATTATTCCATTGACGTTTTCGTAGCATTTTATATAACTTCCCGATTATTCCTTTATTATCATACTTTAGCGAACAATCAAGCATTGATGCAGCGCGACTCGAATAGAACTAGAATCTGGTTTCCATTATTTAGCTTTTTTGAATCATCCGTTGATGGTATTGTTCCTAATAAATACGAATCGCCGTCCTTGATAGTTTGCAATTTAGCGGACATGGGGAAGAACATTTGGCAATGCATGCGATCTTGGGTTTACTTCCGAAAAATGCAATGCAACGTAAACGGCAATTTAAATAGCACAAAGAAAGAACGCTAATGTCGTACCGATCCTTTTTTTCTTTTTTCTATTTCTGTGTATCTTTAAAGTAAAAATATGATGCGGGAGAACCGTCACTGATTTCTTGCTCGATTGTGATTATATATATAAAAAAACGTGATACAAGTAACAATTCTTTGAAACAGATTGCACATTCCTACCTTTCAAAAAAACAAAGATACATATATTTAAAAAATTAAAAAAATGTATCTATATATATTATATATTTCTCTTTTAATACTGTTGATCGTTTATTTAACAAATCTGTTTGTATGCTAAAATATTGAGCAAGATGTAATATTGATTCTAAATATTTATTTTTGTGATATTATATATATACATATATATATTACAATACCAAAAGAGATTAATATAATATTTATAATATAATTAATTACACATAATGTAATTAAAATTTCGATTATCACAGAATTACATACACACACACACACACACACACACACACATATATATATATATATATTGTATATATATATGTATATATATGATAATTTATTCGTTAAGAATAGAGCCTCCAAAGACAGATCTTAGTGTATAAAGTATCCTAAGGTTCAACATGCATTTTCTAAGCGTGTTGTATCATCTATAAGACTTTTTTATTTTTTTATAATTGTATATAAAATTGTCCAGGTAACATTATTCATACAAGTACTTTTGTTTCCTTTTTTTTATAAAAAGAAAGTTGTATCAAGAAACAATTGCACATTGTGATAACTTATAGAGACCCTACATTTTATCAGGAATGTTTAATGATTTTGGATAGCGAGACCAAGTTAACGATAACAATATTTTACTTTACTTATAATACTTTAAAATATTCTTATGTTAGACATATTTTTACAAAACTTTTCCTTCTATTGTACAATATTAACTAGAAGAAAATATAATATGTTGTAATATTATGCATTCCTGATATATGGTAGTATTAATAACTTAAGATACACTAGAAGATAGATGTGTGTGGTGGTATTACAATAAGCAGAGGCTGGAAACATTATATTACCATGACTTCTAATGTATATAAAAATATGTCTGTATACAATATATAGTTATACAAATAGTTTTTATGTCATTTATATATAGAGAAACTACTATAATATAATAGCTTTTTAATATTTCATCCATTTTTTACTTTGTGATAATCAGCTTATCCTGTTAGCATTATAAGTACTGATTATGTATCGGTAATTTATTGATGGTGCCTGATTATTGATGATGTTTATACATATTTCCACAAAACTATGCAGCAGTAACTTTTTTGCTAATATCGACCAATATTCTGATGGATCGGAAATAATTAGATTGATTCACGAATAATATTGCAAAACATATGTACAATAAAAGACGTTAATATTTCAACGGAACTGTACTCTTTATCAATATATTTAATGTATCATAAATCATCCTCTTTATCTTCCATATAAACAAATGTTTCCAGAATAAATGCGTTCATATTCGTGCTTTTTCTAAAAGTATATTTTTCAATCTGTAATTACAAAAATATCCGTAATTAAAAAAGTATCTTGGAACAAAATATATGTACAGATTTATATCAATATTCTTAATCGGAAAATGTAAGTACCATGACGCATAGACGTATCAGCTAAGCTTATTCTGCGAGAAATGAAATATATGAGAATAATTGAATATTAATTACAATAAATACATGATCATACAAAAATGAGATACATGCGCGAATAAATTGAATTGAACCGCATCTGACATCGATATATACGATCATTTGTTATAACAAAAATTATTTTGTATGATGAGCATGTTACTAGACTAAAATCCCTAGAAAGCACACATTCTTATTGGATATAAAAATATCATATGCGGTGCAAGTTCTATATAAAAATTTATCATCTATGGCGTATGCCGACTATTCCGACTAACATGAAAAAGGATGGTTACGATAATTGTGTGTGACGCGTATTTATATTGTAAATAGATTCTTTACTATAATCGTGGATACAATCGTTTGTTATTGACGATATGGCATTCACGTTCGGAAATCCAGCCGTCACTTCTAGTGCCACGAGTTTTGGATTCGGGACTCAAAAGTAAATATAATCAATGTTAACCTTCAAATAGTATTAAAGATTATATTGTAGTTTCAATAATTTTTAATATTGAAGATAAAGCGTATATTTCGTCGCTCATTAAATATATATTTAATATTTAGATGTAAAATTATTTTCCGCAAAAGAAAAAAGATTAAGCGCTTCATTGTCATGTATAATTGTTTTTGTTATCCAGAACAGCAACGAGCTTTGGTTTGACAAACACGTTCGGCAGCACAACCCCAACGTCTAGCACATTAACATTTGGCGCTCTGCCCGCCCCAACGACGTCTATAGGTCTTAATTTCGGATTCGGTACAACAACAACATCTACACAAGCGCAAAGCAGCGGTTTGCTTCTAGGCACCAATGTAGTTACTACAATGACCACACCTGCTCCTAGTTTATTTCCCGCCCCTACAACCTCCGCACCATTATTTGCGGGTCTTAATTTTGGCACACCAGCTACAACAAATGCTCTAACGTTTGGTGGAACGTCTAACACAACAGCAACAGGAAGTTTAACTTTTGGTACAGCTACTACCAATAGTATGTACATTATATTAGTCTAATTTCCTAAAACAAGGGGAAATTTATTCTTAGTGTCATACAATTGTCATTTATATGCAGCTTCTTTATTTGGGTCCAATAGTGGAAGTACTTTATTGGGTGCTAAACCAACAATCGCCGCAACTACTACTACCAATACAAATAAAGGACTCGGTGGCTTAGATGTTTCGGTTAACAATAAAGGTCTTTCTCAAGGAAATAGTAGTTCAACAGCTGCCAAAGAAAATCTACTGCCAAACGAGCTTATGCAAACAATAGATAAATTCAAGTAATATTATATCTTGAGATTTGTACATGTAAGATATGTTTACGCAATATTAAAATAATCGTATTTTATAGGGAGTTTGTAAAAATGCAGAAAGGCCTATCTTCAGATATCGCGAGGGGTTCGGCTAGACCGTTGAATCGATGCGCGGAAGATACAGCATCTTTAATGGAAATCTTATCTACCTTATCTGGCTCAGTGCAACGGGATCGTTCTTCGGCTGATAAATTAAAACAAGACACGGCAAAGGCATTGCAAAGTTCCGAAATAGCTCAAAGAACTCACGATACTCCGCCAGGCTTGCAATATGAAAATAATGCGCCCCTTCAATTTTTCATGGAATTAGCTGAAAGCTTTGAGCATGATTTGATGTTATTCAGATCACAAATTGAGACAACGGAAAAACATATACAGGCTATGATGGCGCCGAGAACATTAACCCCACAGGGTATGTTTCTCAATTCTTTCATTAAATATATTCACTTGAATCCATTAGAAATATCCTTAATCATGCATTGCTGCTTATTTCCATTAGAATTGACAATGGCTATGAGTAAGCTTCACGAGTCCCTAGTCGCGGTTGCTGGTCGATTGCAAAGTGTGCATGCCAAGGTGCAACAACAGAAAGAACAATATCTCAATTTCAGGAAATATGTATTAAAGGATAATACCAATGTTTTTGATAGCATCAAAGCAAGCGGAAAACCTAGTCGTAACAGTATCGAAAAGATCACGAGCGGTCCCACTCCTTTTGGACCAGGTAATAATGTTTTATGCACGTTTCAAAATAACTTGAACATTGTAAGTCTTGAAAATAAGGTTAATGCATAAGGTTATTACAGGAAATAAAAGCTTTTTGTCATCAACGACATTAAGCACGAACCGGCCGGCAAGTTATGAAACACGAAATCCTTTAGGTAAATAGGCCTTGTTGATTCTTTTGTAATTCTATATCCTCGAGCTACGAGTAAGAGATTTGTAAGAAATGAATTTAATTTTAATTACCCCCCTTCCCCCCTAAAGATTTGCTACCTTCAGGTCTTGCGTGGATCTAGTTATGAGGTAGAATTTACTAACATATAACGTCATTTATTACTAAATAGAATTAACAAGTGTTTATAATTATTTTGTCTATTTTTTTCCCTTTCTCTTATTTGACAAATATTCTTAACTTTGAGCTTTTTTTTATCTGTATTATCTGATTTTATTTTGCCTTTCCAGGAAAAAAGTAGAGGCTGTAGTTTAATTATTAAGGTATTAAATTTTTATTTCAGTTTCTTTATGTTGATTACGGGAAAGGGGTAACACGCTTTTCTTTGCCTATATATATATATATATATATATATATATATATATATATATATATATATATATATATACCTCTTACACAGGGTGATCAATTATAAATTTTATGTAGACAATTATAACGCGATATTATTAATCTCTTTTATATACTTTGCATTTAGACGTTATCTCGAAAGATTCATCTTTAAATTTACGCTTTCTAACAAAAATAAAGCGTCATTACTTGTATGTGCTTTAATTGCTTTTGGCTTTATTAATATTATATGGTAATGCTTGCAAATATAGATATTAATTAGGAGATGTATCATCTCAAATCTTTCATGGATTCAAACAAACTCTGTAGAATGTATGTAAAGATATTTAAAGTACATACTTGTCTGCATTGTTTCAATCGAGTTTGAAAAGGAAAATCTCTCAAAAAAATTGTTAAATTAGATAAAATTTTATAAAGAATTTTATAAATGTGCTAATACAGAAATATCAATTAATGCTAGAATGTATCAATTCAAGATTATGATTCACTAACAAATGATAATCTCTAAAAATAAAAATGACGAAATTGGCTCTATATTTTTGGAAATTATATTTTATTATATATATATTTTATATATATATATATATATATATATATATATATATATATATATTTACTATATCTTTAATAAACTGTAAAAAATATTCCATGCCTTTAGCCATTATACATGTTTTGCCTCCATGTCGATAAATGAATAAAATGTAATGATATAAATATATTGTTACAGTTTGGGAAAGTTCGACTCCGGTATCGTCTGCTAGTAACATTACTATAGGCTCATCCATGAAACCGCCAACAGCAAGCTTAAATTTTAACGCGCCGATTAATTTAACTGCACCATTGCCAGTGAACGGAAGCGGCTCAAACTTTCAACTACAAAAGCCCCCCGTTGGTAATAAAAGAGGGAAACATTGATCGTTTGTTTCAGACATGATAATTTTTATATGACCCATATTTTTTATAACTCAAGTTGAAAGTCTTCTTTATCGTTGATAATATTAGAACAAGTGTGTTTAAAAATTACATATTCAGTATTGAGCATGATTATTATAATATTTTTTTAATACATTGTACATCAAGTGTACATTGTAATGTGTGATACTTTTATTTAAATTCATATTTTACAAATATTCCATGTGTATCTTACATCAATTGTCATATTTTTATATTGTCACGTATTTAAAATTTAATTTCGAGAGAGAAGCAATATTCTAAGAAAAGTACAGATGTATTAAAATAATTTTCTATTATTATTTTATTAATATTCTGGTTTATTTATATTTATATATCTATTTTGTGTTTAACGATGATAACATAATATAAAGATTAATAACAACAATATGTGTAAATATATTGAGCTAATAAATTGGTCCCTCTCTTTTGAATATAAATGTTAAATAAAACGGGTAAAATGGAAAGTATTTGTGAAATCGCTATAATCAATAATTGAAAATATATTTAATTATATCGTCTATGTAGGTAAATATAAGGTATATATAAAAAATTCCTTTATATTTTTATAATATTTTATCAGATTGCACCAACTTGTAGAATAGGGATGAGAAGTTTGAAGGCATCTTGAATATATGAATTTGCGTTACAAGCCTGTGTGAAAAGAATAAGCTCTTTTATAATAGTATTATAATTATTGTGTGCATATGTATGCTCTACATGATTTACACAAGAGAACTCACTTCTGACGAAATCCTTTCCAAATTTGCTTCAATATTATTCGGTTTTTCTACAGTCTCAGCAAGTTGACGTAATGTATCATAAAATGAATTGGCTAATAAGTTAATCTGATCAGACAGAATATTGGTAAGTTGCACCAAAGCGTCAGCTTCGTTCACAGTACTGCGTCGTTCCTTGATTAACAGCAATTCAGCTGTTTTATGAAATCTTTCTATGGAAAATGCTGTAAACTGTGCTAGAGTTGATATAGCATTCTGAAAGATTTCTTGATCCGTATCTGTCAAAGATGATGTAAGATAACTTTTCGTTTCTATCCAAACCTGAAAATATCGACAACATTAGATGCTGTTTGAATGTTTACAATGTGACAATAAAAAACATCCTGCCGCTAGATATTATCTTCTTACATTATATAGTTTTTCGTAAGTAATGTCGACACCAAGATCATGACAAGCGCTCTCCAATTTGTCCTTTAAATCTTTATTATTTTTATTATCTTCATCATCTATGTCATTCAAATTACAAAGTTGTTTAATCTCTTCCAACGTTTCTTGCACAGAGGTCAATTCGTTTGCGTCTAATTCAATTAAATATTGCTGAATTTTCATACTGCTCTGTTTTGATAATATTTCTAGAGCTTCCAAGTGAACAAGTCCTTGATAATCGTCAAAAAGGCTCTCGAAATGAACTTTTCTCGCCAATTGGCGTTCCTCGATTGTTTTTTGCTCAATCTCAGCTTTTTCCTTTGCTTCTCTAAGAATTTGCGATAAATTTGGTTTTTCAGGTTCGTTCATAAAGAAGGCTCTTTTCTTTTTTAATCCAGGATCACCATCTTGCAATACTTCCATCGTTTTCTTCCCAATAGCCTCCAATGTATCTAAACCACCTGTCATAACTTTGCTAGTAAATTCTTTGCCAGTAGATTCAACCAATTTTGTAATCGAAGATACTCCTGATATCAAATTTCCAAATCCAAATGTACTATACGATTGATTTTCCTTTTCTCGAGTTTCTGAATCTGCATCTATTAATATGAAATTGACAAGTTTTAATCAAAACAACTGTTATACATAGACTATCATCTTCATATATGCAATTGAGTTATATCTAATAAAAAAATAAGATATTTTCATAAATGTAACACAATAAATAAAAAAAATTATGTGTATACCATTCGCAATGCTATATAAAAGTTATGCTAGATATTGTACCATCGAGTACTGCAGTTTCATCCTGTTTTATCTCTGCCAGTTCTCTAGAATCCTGTATTCCTATCGTATCTTCCAAAAGTGTAAGTCCTTGAGACACACGAGTAGTCAGAGTAGAAACACTTGCTGTAGCTGTATTAAGTAGCGTAGTTACATCCCAATTTCCCCAACTACTCCAGTTTCCTAAAGGACTTTCCGGTTCTTTGTTCGCCACAGATAATCTCTCCAATACAGGCTCTAATTTCTCTTCCATCAATTCGTCCGGCAATTCGATGTCATTCTCAAGTCCTTCCCATCCTTCAGGCTGAAAAACTTCTTTAAATTTTTTATTCGACTTTAATTCCTCTGGCATGTCCATTTCTGACAAATCATTTGTACCTGTTGGTTTACACTCGTCATCTGTCGATTGATTGTTTTTCTGCAATTCACATTTTGTATCTTTGCACGTAGATTGTAAAGATTTTTTATTCAAACACTCTGTACTTTCCTCGTTACTATCCTTTGTAATTTTGGTTGCCAATTTTTTTGTACCCAATTGGTGAGACGAGTTTCGTTGTTGCGTTATTTCGGAGGTTTTTTCAGCCTTTGCTTCCATTTTAGACATGGTATCATCTGATTTTACAATCAAACTGTCGTCTGCCATAAATTGAGCATTTTTGTCCTTTACCGATATCGATGAAGTTAAGCAAAGTGACTTTTTCAATTCGATGGGCGATGTATCCTCTTGGTTATTAAAAGTCTCTATCGACTTGACCATATGTACATTGTCGTCACCTTTGACATTACCAGCAATTTTATCATCCTTATCACTGACGAGTGTCTCTTGACCCGTTGTCACATTCGATCGCGCGGTTTTTCTTCTTTGCCAATTGGAACTTTTGTAAAGCGGACGTTGAAAGTATTCGGCATCGTCATCCGATTCGGAATCGACCGTCGACGATGTCCAATAAGTGACTCGGCTGTCCTTCTTGGGAGGCCTATTACGATCCAACTCCTCGTCCGCGCTTTCAAAGTCGGTGTCGCTATCGGACGTTACCATCTCTCGTTGAAGCTTACAAAATCCTAGAAAAACGTTTATATCTTCCACAATTTCTACGTTCGAGATTAAAATGAGTCTGCAGAAATACGTTGAGATGCCCTTCGTCGCAAGTCTAAGGGAGATGAAACTCGTTCAGCAGTAAAACGCAAACACGTATCAACATATGTTCCAATTTATTATACGTGTATATAGACCGTGCACGGGTTTGTTTGTGTATGTACGTGCCAAACATTGCGGTCACGTGGACGACAAAGTCATCGGAGAGGCATGTTTGGCACGTCGAACGTCGAATTCGCATAAGCCTTCGTGGCATTAACGGAGATTATTGCGCATGCGACGGGATTGGTTCAGGGCTGCGTCAAAGCGTGGGTCCGTTCTTTGCAGCTGCGCTTTAAGCCTAGGTACATGTATAATGTACGCGTTGCGTCTCGTTTACGAGACGGTCGTATGCTTCAGCAATCGTCGTACATACGTTGTTTTCTTTCTGAGAAAAGATACTTGTAAATTTACATTTAATTTTTTTAAATCTTTCCGTTGATTAGGCTAATGTTTCGTCATCTACCTACGCGTCTAGGTTGAATTCTTCGATGAAATAAAATTTTATTTCAACAAACAACCCAACGCGTATTCGCTGTTTAATAGAGCAGCGCGTATTTAAATACAGGGTGTACGTAAATCGAATTTTTAAACGCCAGATGATCGATAATCGTAACATTCGAATTTTAAATTTATTAAAATTTCTTTACAAAAGTAACGTTTAATTTTTTTTCATTTTTCAGATTCTTTACACTCTGTCGGAGCTTGTCATTGACGTCCCCCTTGCCGCGTGTTCCTTTTTCGTACTCGAAACAATTCCGAGTCCCGAGGTGCACCTGCGCCCACGAATCGTAGAGTGGCGCCATTCGAGCGGCATAGCGGCAAATATGCGAGGCTGCCGAAAGGGCAACACGTTCGTCTATTCCCGCTGCCTCTCATGCGCAGCGGTCAGAGACACACGGGCTTACCGACGGCGGTGGGAGAAAGAGAGAGAGAGAGAAAGAGTGAGACGTCGGCGGGAGCGCGACGAGGATCGAGAATGATCGTCGACGAGTGGCGAGTGGAACAAGGAGAGGGCGACGAGGACGAGCGTCGAGAGTCGAACGGAGACGGGGCGGCCGTGGTGGAGGGGATGTTCTTGCGGAAAGGAACGAGGGGCTCGGGGAGTGGAGACGAGAACAGATAGAGCGCGAGCGGGAGAGAGAGAGAGCGAGAGGTATCGCCAGATCCGCGCGCGGCATGAACGTCCAGTGGCATGTCTCAAACACTCGGCATGTTCGAAAGCTGACGCGAGGTGGTAGTATCGTCGGAAACGAGAAAATCGTCCGTCGCGTATTTATCGCGAGAAACCTGGTGTACATAATATTCCGCGCCAAGGCGCGGATTATTCCCGGCCTGTATCGCGAAGGTGCGATCCTCCTTGACCGTCTCGACGAGATTGCGCGGGGCGATCCACCGCTGGCGGTATCGTCGTCCGCGTAACGCGAAATTAAGCCGGAACGGGAGTTTGGAAAAGAAAAAGGAAAAAAAACAAACGGTAGATTGTCCTCTCGCACGCGCCGAGAGAGGGCGTCGAGTTCCCACATTCCTGCGTGCGAAAAACGTCAAGATCCGCTGCTCGGCATTAGCATTACAGTCGCGGCTAATGCAACGAGGAAAAGGGAACACGGTGAAACGTGCTCCGCCGCCGTACGAAGCCGGCGATAGCGCGCGTCGCTTAAAACGGGTCGCGGGCCGTTCCGCCGCCACCGCCACCGCCACCGTCGCCGCCGCCGCCGCCGCCACGAGAGACACGACGTCGTCGCTGTAGCGTCCGGCACGGCACGCAGGGAGATTGCACGGAACGGTGCGCGGCAACGTTCACGCGGGTCAAATCGCGCGCGCGGTCGCGAGCGATCGTCGAACGTCAATTCGCGGACGATTCCGACAGTGGGGTCGAGCTCCCGTCAGTTTGAAACTCGAGCGCGCCAAGTGTGTATGTACGTCGTCGGCGAACATCTCGAGGTGACACTCGGCGAGGGAGCGCGATTCGCGGGGGGTGAAAGTTGTGCGAATCGAGGACGCGACCGAGGAGGTTAAGCGACGAGAGTGCGCGACGAGAATCTCGGGGTGTTTCGTTTTTCTCCTTATCGTTCGTCCTCTCTGTGGTGAGAATCTCGAATCGAGAAGGAGCGAGTGTCGAATGCGAGCGAGATTACTCGAGTGTGCGCGAGTGCGAAAGGAAGAAGCGGCAAAGAGGAAGCGGGAAGAGGAAGGCCACTCGGGCCACCACCTTGGGAAGGTGGTGCGGCGATGATACGCCAAGTGCACCCGATCGATGCACCCGTGCGAACGCAACACGACGACACTGTCACCGTCGCTCGCCGCCCGCCGCCTCGGGCCGCCGCCGCTTCTCGACGGCCAGCTATGTTAACGGTGGAATTCCGCTCGAGAGGAATCTGAAGGCGGGGACTCTGACGTCATTTCGCTTATGATAATGAGGTATTCATGATGGCGGAGTAGCGAACGAGAATCAGAGAAAGAGAGAGAGAGAGAGAGCGAAAGAGTTGGCGCACACACACATATACGCCCCTGGTCGCGTTACGCTCGGTGTGCGTGTGTCCGCGCGCGCGCGCGCGAAACGTTTCGTCTCCGTCTTCGTCGCTTCCCCGCCGCCTCTCTCGCTCGCTCCTTTCCCCCCTTCCACCTGTCCGCCATCCGACCGGGCTCTTCTCTCTCGCGTTTCGCGTTTCTCCGTCTCTATCCCTTTCGCGCCTTCCTCGCCTCCCTTCTCTCCCCTATTCTCACGTTGGCCGAGCGAGCGAGGTGTATATGCGGCTCGAGAAGCGGGTGCCCGCGCGCACAGATATGCGCCCGTCGATCGCACGGCGATAGAGAGAGAGCTTTTGGATGGATTTAGAGCGCAGTGAAATATGCCAAGGAGACGGAATGGGGAGATACCGCTTCCGGAAGGATGGGACGTCGCCCAGGACTTCGATGGAAAGGTGTATTTCATCGATCACAACACGCGAAAAACTACGTGGATCGATCCCCGGGATAGGTACGTAGAATAAAATTTACAAGAAAAAAGAGAGAGCGAGGGAGAAGCTCCTCTCCCGACTCGCGCATCTCGGAGCGCGAGCGAGAAATTCGCCCGCACATGTGCGGCGTCGCGATGCGCGCGAGCGGGTGCGTGAGCTCCGACGTCACGACCGTGTCCCGCTCCCCTCTCCCCCTTTCTCCCGCGCACGAGACCGCGATCTCGCAAAGATATACGCGATTCGGCGGGAATGCACGTTAGATATATCGCGCGCTTTCTCTATACATTTTACGGCGGATATACGGAGAATCGAGGCTTTTCTTTCGCGAGGCTCTTTCATCCGTCGTTTTTAATACGCGAAAATTCCGAAATCAGGATCGTCGGTTCGAGGTATCCCTTTACGATCTGGAGCACCGAATAAAATTAACGCGCCCGATGATTTATAATTGATTTCTAAACCCGCACGAAGACACAACGCGAATAAGTTTTTTCTTTTTTTTTGCAGAGAAGGGGAATTACGCGCATGCTAAAATTGCCTCATTCCGGGATATTTCCGTTTTATCGAGCGCTAGCAAAAGCGCGTTATAAACAGTTGTTGAGCGCGGGATCTCGGTTGATGTATCTCCGCTAATTTTGGAATTTAAATTACAATCCCAAAGAGAGAGAAATAAAGGTCTCTGTGTAAAATTTGCGTTGATTTATTTACGTTTCTCAAATTTTTAAAATTTTCAAAAAGTTCCAACTCGATTCTCAATCGTATATAATGGAGGAGAGCAAAAATTGATGCCTCGATTCTAAAACGGCATCATTGTTTCGAATATCTGTCGTAGAGAGAAAGCGTGCAACTTGCGAGACATCTCGTACGTAGACGTGTAAATCGCGCGAGATTGACGCGTGTGAACGCTGCTTAAATTTGATCGAGTATACACACGTGTATGTATGCACGTATGTACACACGCGCAAATCGCAATCTCGAAGATCGAGGCTACATAGTTGCTTATAGGCGCGTGCATCGATCGCGAAAGAAATTGATAGCTAATTCAACTTTGATCTAAATCTCTAGCGTTTCGTCACTAAATGTGTTATAAATATGCCGTTTGATGAAATTTCATCTCTTTTCTTTTTTGCACAAATAATCGCGAAGTTATTCTCGCGACGCGTGTTTATGCGTCCGAAAAACTAAAAAGATACATTTACAATCCTTGACAATTTTCAAGGTTCACGCTTGACAAACGATATTTAGCATAGACGATAAAAAAATTGTCGATTATTGTCGTGGTTTTTACATGTTGGATAATCGCGTTAAAATACAATTTTTAAATTTCTTTATTTATTAGCCGATATTTTAAATGAAAATCGATGAAAAATGTCGCGGAAAATCGATAAAAAATACATCTAACAATCTCCGAGACATTTCGCATTTTATCATTTACGATCTTTTTTTCGTTTAAAGGATAACAGAGTCCTTTAGCGAGAGATGATGCATTATCTAACGTTTTTCAACGATAACGATACTCTGTAAAAATCTCTGCGCTAAATTAAACTACCGATTAACGACAGCTGTTATCGTTATAAAAAAGAATTCCGCCCCCTGATACTGTTATCAGCCGTTTAAGCGATAGTCCGCATACCAGCGATATTCTCCGTTGAATCCAACATACATTTTCCTTCGTATATATTTCACACGTCGCCGATGGTCCTCGCGATCTTACGTATAATCTACGATCCCGTGTAATTCTATCGTCCATCTTTCGCGATTCTCCGCATTCGTCGCGATCCAAACGATCCCGCTACGTGTCTATGAAAATCTATGCCCGCGCAGATGGAACGGTACAATGTTTCTCGGAAATTAAGAGAATTTTTAGACCGATGTAAAATTGTACAGATACTCTTGCACTTTTAAATGCGAGTCATAATTATCCCGTTCTCTAAAGCATCTTGTCCCGTCCTCGGAGATTCGATAAAAAAATCTTGGGCGAATTTAAGGATGCTTTGTATGTACAATCTCAGCAAAAAGTAGCTGAAAATCAATATTGACGAATATATCCACTTTTGGTGTATTTTGAATATGAGAAATTGCATGGAATTGACCACATATTTCCTCTGTATCTAAACTTTTGCAAATTTGAAACAAATTCTGAATATTATTTCCATGCGTTTTCGTCATTTGAATCGACGTGGTTATACGTTTCCCATAAGAACACGTGTTAATTCGGTGCAAATTAAAATCCTTATAACTTGTGAATCGATTTAAAAATTGTACTAAAGATTCTAAATACGTGTAAGGACATTCTGTACAATTTTCATTAAATTCTCAATAATTTTAAAAATAGGTACGAAACATCCTTAATCTTCGTCTCTTGGAGACTCGTCTCCGAATTGGATTTTCATTTCGTGAAAGCTCGCAAAGATACTTCCGAGGAAAGGAGCGGGGGCAGACAAGTCGCATTCGCGCTCTCGTCGAGGAGCCGTGTGAGCACCGCTTAACCCGACAGAGTGTGTTCCGCGCGCGAGTACGCGTATATATCCATAGCATACGGCGCGCAATGCGCCGAGCGCCGAGCGCCGAGGACTCGCCGGGACTCGCCGCGCCCGCATTCCATCCGCCAGGGCCGCGCGCGGCGCGCGGCGCGATCGCTCTCTCGCCTCGCTGAAAAACGCGAGAAATCTGGCGATCAGGCTCGGGTCTCGGCGCGGAAATCGAAACGCCGCCGCCGTCGTCTTCGTCGTTATCGTCGTTGGGCCCCGGAGATTGGAACGACGGAGGGACGATGCGAAAACCCGCCGCGCCAATTTCTCTCGGTTAAATTTGTAAAACTTGTCAAAGCATTGTCCATCGAAACGCGCGTCATTCCTGTCCGCCGAAAAGATCGCGAATAATATGCATATATGTCGATGGAAATATGTTTCGTCATCTCAACCGATGCTTAAAATTTATAAATCGAAAGAGAATCGTCGGGAAATTTAGAAAGTCACGGTAAAGTTTGATTGTATATGCGCGAGAGAAATATAACAAATATTACAATTTGAGATGCAGTTGCGCGAGTTTTTTCTTTTAAAGTCTTTTCTTAAAAGTGAGTCTTGTGGAAAAAATTGGTACCGATATAAAATAACTATACAACGTGAATCCAATCGAGGCGAGATTATATTCTCGCTGCAACAGTAGCAGCGTAATAAAAAGAGACATCATTTCGCTCATTTTCGACGGTTTACTGTTACCCCCGTTAATGCGGCCTGCCCTTTCCCTCGGTTAAACGCCTAAGCCACTTGGGAATGAACTCGTTTTGTTGGCCAATTTGTAAGCTGTCGTTTGGCGGCGCGAAAAAAAAGTATGATTTACGATTGCTACCTCGTAAAAGTGCCGGTGGGGTGACGCCGCGAAATGTTCGCCCGGCGAAACATATATCTCTTCGTGGTTTACGCGCAACGCGATGGAGCTCGGCAGAGGGAGGGATGGCAGAAGGGAGGGAGAGAGAGAGAGAGAGAGAGAGAGAGTGTCGCGATAATGCAAACGCCAAGATTCGTAGACGGCGTAAAAATGTCAGGCGCCAATTTTTTATTCCGAGCGTCTGGCAACGTCAACGCGATGCATTTGTAAACAGCGCTTTTTACGCGATTACAAACGGCCGCCTAGTCTTCTCCGAGGAATGCCTGGCAAGGAATACCGCGTGGAAAGGGTCCAGGAGCGAGACTTTCCAATTGCATCGTGTAATCGGAAAGGGGTCGATTAAAATCGAAACAGAAAAATTATTAAAATGTAACAATGAACTTTATACGATGGTTATAAATAAAAAGAAACTAGGATATGTGTATAATTATAACTAATATTTACTCGCGTATTAGTGTCGAAATAAAAAAAAAAATTTGCGACTCGTATGCCTCAAAAGTCCGTATATACGATTCACGTATACGTATACGTAACCGTGGGCTTACTATTGTGTAAATGCACCATCTTACAGGGCCAACCGGTACATAACATACCTGCAACCGATCTAAAAATAGTCTCTCTCGCTCGCTTTTAGTTTCTTTCACATTATTAGAGTGACGCGCAAAGATATTATAGTCTCGTATCGAAAATATAAAAGTATCATCGAAGGTCTCGCTAAATTAAAAATGGAATATTGAAATCCTTTATATAAATTTTACACGCATATATAAAAATGATAATACATGTATTATTTGAAAATTTCTTTTTTCTCATAAACGTGTATTCTTTATTAATAACAAGTCTATTTAAATATCTATTCTGCAAGCATTATTTTAGAAACTTCGCTCTAATTTTCAATTCATTTGAATAGATAATCGAGAAACAATAATCTTTACTCAAGCATGCATATAAAAAAAGATGTGCGAATAATTTATTTATGATATACACGAATGTATATTCATATAAGTAGTTTGTGGTTTTTCTTTGTCTTTGAAATTTAACAATAGACTGTGTTGAATCTCGTTATTAATTATGAGCGATCGTTCGTGGACGATTCACAAATGGAATAATCCGAGGATAAAACGAGTAAATCGGAGTTTAAAATTCCTTCTTTTCTATTTCGAAAGAAGAATTTTTGAGAAATCGTGATCGCGCACACCCGGAATTAATTCGGCAGCGCCAGTTGTTCCTGTTTTCATTTACGCACTGTCGAAATGCGAACAACAGCGGCACACAGCCATTCCTTGTATCGCTTTCCGTTCGTCGAAATCTCGAAATTTCGTTCCTCGAAATTTATCCCTTTCTTCTCCGGTTTACTTCTCGCCTCTCTGCGACTCTTCTTTTCTCAGAGGGAAGGAGCGAGAGAGAGAGAGAGAGAGAGAGAGAGAGAGAGATAGCTAGCTAGCTGCGTGGCGCGATACGCAGGCACGTACGCACGCGGTCGATTGCGATCGGGTGCGCTGCATCTGCTCGTCGTCTGTGTTTAGAAAGATTTCTCTCTCTCTTGCCCCTCCCCTTCTCCGTCAGCCTACTCGGTATCGGTCGTCCTTCGCATTCCATTTGGTAGCGGATCCCTAGGCGTTTATCGTGTCGT